AAGTATGTTGATGTAAGTTCATAAGCCTTCATAAATAATTGTAAACAACTAATAGACGTTATTCATTATACTCATTCTTGTTAATAAAATACTTGAAAGTACACAAAAAATAAAAAAAAATCTTCAACAGGAAAATAAAATAAACAATTCTATACATCTAAACAACATCACTACATTGGACTAGACATGATTTTGTAGTCTTATGTGAATCATTTATCACTGCAGTAATATTTTTTAAATTTGCTTATAAAGGGTGCCTCAAAAAAATTAATGACTGGGTCAACTTTTTATCACTAACTTGTTAGATGAAAATAATAAAAATATCGACTTCTAGAAAAATATTAAAATATTTATTTAATTAAACCATTGATTTAATGCAAAAGTATAGAATATGGTTTGCCTGTCAATTTTTTTTTCAATTTAGTTTAATGACACGGAGGTGGACACCAAAGCCATTCTGATTCCGTCATTAATAAATTTTATATTTTCGAAGCGGCTATATATATAATATGTATATACATATATATGTTCGACTGTATTTCAGGGGCACGGATGTTCTGACAAAATAACTTTAGACCAATTTTTTAGGGCCTAAAATCCGCCCTCACATCACAAGAAATTCTCACAGTCTAAATATAAATATTGATTAACAATACTGTGGGTGTTTTATATAAAACTGATTGAGTAGAAAAGAAAAAGGAAGTTGATTCAATACAGTTGTACTTTCTCAGTAGGCAGGAAATTGTTAATGACGTCAAAATTTGGAGAACCTTTTTCGCAAGAAATATTGTTGACAGTTTAGTTTATTATTAAGCAATCTTATTTCTAGAAACGTATTTTTATCTCGCCTTTTAATTGGGCCAAACATAAGGAGATCCTCGCCGTACAAAGTCCATATTTTTGTTGTTGTTTAAGTTGATAATTCTTTTGAATTGTGTTTACGGATTTAGTCATCAAACAAAGTCCACCGGATTTTTTGCGAACTGTCTACTGATAATTTATATTTTTTACAGTCCAACTTTGTTCGCGTCTCCTGATCTAGAAGTTATTCTGGCAAAATATTTGGAATCTGAATGGGGAAGGTGAAAGTCCATGTATAAAAATGCACTTCGATAAGATAGATAAATTGCGAATACCTTAGATGTATTATTGGTTGCATACCACACGAAACAAAATGCTTGTAAATATTTTAATGACAACGTTACGTATATCCGATTCAACTTATTGTTACCCTTTTTTGTTGTAAAACCACATCATTTAATTAATTTAGGACGTAATTAATTTAGGAAGTAATAAATCACGTCGCGTATTTATTTATAAATATTAGATAATAAACAATGAATCGAAGTTTACTTGGACTAGAGATAAAATAATTCTGTCACTTGGGTACACAGTGAGATTCACCTGTACATAATATGATAATACGGTTACGAGGCGAGATTAAGTTAAAGTACGCGGGGAAAAAGCCGTTTGATACGATCAAGTTCTAGTGCATGTACACAAAAGTCAAGCACTTAATCGCTCTCAGATACAAAAATCTTATTTTTGCCACTCAGTATCGAAGTTCGTATAAATGCAAATGACAACCCACTCTCCCCTACCATGTTTACGCTAGATTGTAGGCAATAGAAAAAATGCGGTAAAATTCTTTGTGACCGCAACCATAAAGTGCGAAAATGGTTTATGGCTCAACAAGTGTCAAAACAATATAAAACCCGGAATGCAAACAGGATTTATCAATATTTATAAGTGGAAAAGTCTGTTGGGTCCACGAAAAGTTTGCACCCCGAGGGTCACTCGGAGTGCTAATTTCGTAAGACATTCTTTCAAAAGTTTTTTAAGGTCGAAGCTCGAAGTTGGTCATTGGAAAGTTAAAAATTGGTAACGGACTTGCTATCCGATCTTCACTTTCACAGTTCTTTCTAATAGCAGAGAAATGTTCGTCAATAATAGTTATGATTATCCGAACTTAGCGAGGTTTCAACGACCTCATTTCTTAATTAATTGGTGACAATGTAGGTCGTTTAATTGTCTATCGCACGATTTTTCCAATCACTGCCGTTAACTCCGTGGAAACTTACAAGGGACAATAACCGGTCATTCGCGAAGAGTATATACATCGTGGATTCTTATTTTTCTTTCTTTTACCGGTCACGTTCGGCGAAGTTATTTGTTTACGAAAATTCACCTTGGAAAATACCCGAATACATATAAAGCAGTAATAAACATTTTGCAAATAATAAATTTTATTAATATGTTTATTCTTCATTCACTGCCAAATACCCTATTCGATCACAAATAATTCGACGAAATTAAAAGCATTTCCGTACTACGGGTATCGATTTGCCCCTAGATAGTGAAATTTGTTCTAGAACTTATCCATTAATAAGATGGCATTGTATACGTCAACGGGGTTTAATAATCATGTTTCTAGACCATTTCTATATTCGGTCTATATTTTTTGCTAAGGTTTGACATACCAGAATGTCTTCACGAAGTAATAACAATAATAATAATATAATCACAATCACACTACGTTAACGTGATGTCTGTCCATAATCATTATTTATATCCTTTTAAAATCATAAAAACGTTTAATTAGTACGCTAATTATTCGAATAAAAATGTATGTAGGTCTTTTTGTCGGGTCACTTTAAAAAAAGTTTTACCTGCGCCGTAGTTCATTTCGAATAGGTTCTCCAACGTTCAAGGTCGGCCATTTGTGTCTGCAATCGGGCATTTCATTGTCTTAATTTTTAACTTTGAAGCAAGGTCATGGAAAAAAAGCAGGAAAAGTATTCCTCTGATTATTTCATGTTTTGCTTGTATGTAGATAACTGCGACAGATTCGACCGTTACCGTGCTAAAACCAGAGATGAGAAAATTCGGAACTTTTTTTGACTTTGTCAAAGGTCACTCTTGGCATGTTGTAAATAAACTGGGCTATTTACAATGAATACTAGAACGTGTGTCAAATGTAACAACCATCGTTTGAGCCTTTAAGACATCTGACACACAAAAGGTGGTGTGGATATAGCTCGCTCCGCTCGCTAAAAGTATGTAAAAAAATATTATTTTGAAAGTAACACAAATAGTACATGGGAATAACGGTCATATAGAAACTAAGAGTTAAAATGTTTGATACTTTCCTTACGTACATTATAAGCTTGAAGCTTGAATGGATAGAGAGCTGCTTTGTTTGTAAATTATTATATAATCCCGACAATATATTTTAATTGGTTTAGTAGTTCGAAGATTTATGTGTCTAAGCAGCAAACGACGTTTTCGTGTTCTACAAGTTTTGAAGGGCCATTTCTTTTTTCTTTTCACAAAAACCGTAGTTAATGCCTGGAAAAAAATCAGGGCTCTGTCTTTTATGTGGAAGGACTTACGACTTAGGCGGAAAAACCTCGATCTCGGAGCATACGTTCTATTTTAAATATTTAAATTTTATGGTACGTAGTAGCAAAACATCAAATTCTTAGAAAAAAAAAAGATATTCTGACTTGTATACCTTCACAGGTAAATAGATTACATCAGCTTCCTTTTTTCATTTGTTGACCCATTATTATGTTCAAAAAGTAACACTTTGAGGGAAAACGTCTATATATTTATTTTTGGTTATACAATTTAACAAGAAAAATGTATTTAATTATGTATATAACTGATTTTTTTGCGTGTTTAAACTGGACAAAACTTACCAAAATTGACGCTTTTGTTATAAACGTGTGAAATTCTGACTCTTTTTACGACTTAAAAACAATTACTTGGTATGCGTTGCCTAAAAACAAACAAACGCAAAATGCGACATATGCAGTGTTTGGATGATTTTAGAATGTGTAAAATGTAATTTGGACCATGCTGCCTTCACTTTAGCCACTTTCAGCGTTTAATCCACGTATTTTTGTTACTACGACCAGAATGTCAGCGTGGACGCTATGTACGCCCAAAAATCAAACCATCGATCGTATGACTTCCCGAGATGCTGTTGGTGTAATAAAAAGCATTGTTAATGTACTAGATAGAGCTCTGTTATTATGCCCACACACAAAAGTAATCATAGTCACGCAAATCCAATACAACACATACAGAAAACCGTTACTTGTTACTAGGTTAACGTAGTTATTTACAAAAACGAGAAATAAAAAAGTGGGGGGTTAAAACAAACAAATTTTAAACAGTATGTAAAATTGGCATTATTAGAAATTTACATAGTTATCAAAATAAAACAATAGGCAAAGCGAATGTATGATAATAAATTTCCCTTCATTGTTCCCTTCTGTATGCATATTAAAACTTTAATGGAATGTGGACGATATCCGTTCTAATTGTTTAGCTTCACTCGTTGAATGAATAAATTCAGTCGACAAAAGACGCCGACAATTGAAAAAAAACCACTCCAATTTATAAATTTAAATGACTAAAATTGACGACAATCGCCCCGTGGAATAATGGAAAAAACTTAAACAAATTAAAGAAACATTTATCGGTGCAGTTATATTCCCACCGTTCGGAATTTTTCTAGTTTTTTCCAGTAATTTATTTTTTTAAATAAATTTCCGCTGACAAATAAAATCTGACGAAATGCATCTCCACTTTTGCAAGCTCGTCGAAAAATCGATAAACATGTTTAAATCTTCTAAAATTAAATAATGCGCCCAAAAAGTGGCATCACCCGCTGCGCCCAATCAGCGGAGGCAATGTGGAAACCGCCAATCACGATCCAGTATTATGGTCTGACTGTCGGGGCTCTGGAGCAGGCGATCCGCGGCGACCCGCCGGAACTGTTCCGCAATTTTAGGAAACAGAATTCGGTGGTGTGATCTTCCTGTGCGCGCGTCCAGCAAGCGTGGCAGATTATGACATACTGATTAGGCGGTAATGAGCAGGGCAAAAAAGCTCGTTTGAATTAAATGCAGAGATCACGACCTTTGCTAGCGATAACGTTGTCCCGCCTTCTCCAGAGCCCCACTCCTGTCATCCGTCATCCTCGTATAAAACTAATGTGTGGTGTTCAGTCTAGAGCTAGAGCAGAGCGCGAGGACTGACTCAAATTCTCAATTCCCCGAATTGAGCAGTTTGTTGTTGTGTTTTGTGAATTTGGTTTGGTTTTGTGACGGCCAAGGCTCGAAATCGTTCGAGATGAATTCTTACGCCGATAATATCACAGCAAGCTTGGAAAACAGCAGGTATGCGATTTTTGATCGTTAAGGGTTGTTCACGCATTTTCTCGACTAACATTGTTTTCCACGTCAGGTGAAAGCTAGCATTCGTTCATTTCAAATTCCACCTGCTACTGCTTCAGTTATGCAATAATAAAGTGTGTCACACTTCATAAACGAGTCTTACGAATTTTAGAAGTATGATCAAAATCAGGAGATCCGCCCTCGGATCATAGCGTGATCAATAGCATGATCACCACAGCCTACTTAAATGAGGTGATGCTAATTGATAAAACTCGCAAAGCGCGTCTTCCGAAACCACTTCCATTTTATTATACACCCATTCTTTTTTACTTACCTCACGCTCGTTCAAATCAGATGATTGCATCAACTTGTTCCTTTTGAAACTGCGTTATTTTTAACCGTCGTCTATCATTGCTTGGTTTTTATTGAACAGGCCCGCAATGGGTGATAATCAGCCCACGTATGATTGTTTTAGAATTAGTTACAAATCCAAAAATTAATCCCTATATTGTTATCAAAGTGCGGCCGAAGTCGCCGTTTTTTTTTTTTTTTTTTTTAATTCGAAAAGATGTACCTCGTGATTAATTCTGCCCATATTTACGTAAAGACGTGAGTAATAGTCTTATCTTGAAATTTAGCCGAAGCCACGCTTCCTTCAAATGATAGTGCGATTGTGGTTGATCAAATTTACGTATTTATTTTATAGCATGTTAAATTTGGTCTGACTGAAAGTGAGCGGTTTCTGGATTCTCCCAAATTAACAAATATTTACATACTTGTCTCCCAGGTGCAAAGAACTAATTGGCGGGAATTCACGGCTGTGGCGTCAGAATTCCCATGACATAATCGCAATCAATAATTGTTTTGATTGAAATTCCGCATTCGCAAATTGTAAATAGCAAACCGGCCACGTCAATCATAATCGCATAATCAAGTTTTTTGGAGTTGGCCAGGTCCGAAGTGGATTTCCCGCTATCCGCGCCAAGCTTTATTTTGGTCATTGAACTATTCTTAGATTTTGTAGTATCATTCTATCACAATCGACCTCCAACTTGTAGGTCAATAGGACTCTCCCCCATCCGTCTAAGCGCGCTTTTCTTTTCTTCCAGGAATTGTCTTCGTCGCATCGCTCGCAACGACGACACGGAATTCTCCAATCACAGCATCTTGCACCTGATGGAGAAGTTCGTGAAGAGCGTCAACACGATGGACGAGACGATTTTGGTCCCTTGTCGCCTGATGGATCTGAAAGTGGGCGACGAGAACGACCCGGCACGTCCCAAGAAGCATAACCAGAAGCCAAAACACGGGGTCCAGGAGCTGCTTAGTTCCGTAGACCTGTTCCAAATCTACAACATGCTGCATAACGTGAAGGCCGATTTGCTGTGGGGACAGGGGCACGCGGGCGAGGAAACCCCGGCCCCCGCCACCCCGGCGGTCAAGGGGCACGTTCGCAGGCCGTCGACGGTCAGCGTGGCGTCCACCAATTCCTCGGCCTCCACAATCAGCGACTCCGAGTCGGACGCTGGGAACGAGAACGACTCGGGGATTGAGGAGTCTCAGGAGTGCTACGGCGACCGGTCGGAGCAAGTGGCACAGAATTTCAGAAGGCACTTGGTAGGGCTCACGCACTCGCTGAGGCAGATGACCGAGGCCGCCCAGTACCTCACTTCGCGGTATCAACACGATATTGGCGGGCCGGTGTGATAGGATGTCGAGGGATGGTGTGAATGGAGAGTGCATGATCAGGTGTGGACGAATGCGTGCAATTAATTTAAAAGAGTGATATTGTCAATTATGTTTGTTTGCTCCTTTATTGTTATTATTATATTTATTTTAGTGAGAGTTAAATTGTATACCTCTGGATAAGTAAAGGAAATTCATTAAATATATTATTTAATTTAAAGAGGGTTTTATTCCCATGGGGAATCCTGGTGACGTAGTTGCTGTTTTGCAAGTCGATTACATAGCGAATAATCCGTATTTACATTTCCATTTGCCGAGACTATCTCGGTTCTGACGGGCAACAACACGGTGGAAGTGCGAACTGGAAATTTCACACAATGATGAGAAAGTGCATACAAATCACCATCAACTGGAATAATATGCGTGGGAATTTTATCTATAATGGTAAACCTGTTGGGCACAAATGTCACCTCTGTGGATGATACGCACCACGCAAACAATCGTCATGATAATGAACAAGTTTCGATAAGCAAAAACCACCACGCTGCATTGTTACGCGGGAATGTAATCACAGCTCACTTTTCTACGCCTTTTTAATACTTTCTCCACGCTGAGCTAAAACAATTGCGGCCAAATCGAGCACTTATGGATGCCTCAAATTGACCTTGAATTTGCCAATTATATATACTTTACAAACAAACTTTATTGTTCGTTATGTAATCAAGGGGTTTTAAAGTTGATAAGCGAAGGAAGTTTTGTCGTATTGTTTAACGAGTTTTTTTGTGAAAGCATGCAATTTCCGTTATCGCATTTTCAAGGATACCCACAACCTACATAGTGAAATTTTCAAGGACCGATTTTCAGCACAACTACTAAAAACCGCTATAAAAGTAACATTATTCTAATTCCCCTGTCACTGTTTACTATCAAACGGAAGCACTTGGAACAAAACCGCTTGATCATTGCACCTTGAAGGTAACATCGAGGAAAAAGTCTGCAGTCGTTCAGTAAACTTTCAGTTATTATTTAAAAAGCATGCAATTCCGGGTTTATTCCGTGGAAGTAAAATACAAGAGGAAGGGAAATGCGCGGAAGATATTATATAACGCACATTACTTAAGACGTTACTTAAAAAAACCACCGTACTTTTCCTATGACGAAAAAGTCGAAAAACAATGATTAGCTGCACTCGTAAGATTTCTTCTTTAGGCTTCAATTAATTATTCTGTTGACGCAAAAACCTTGAGCATGCCGCACTTGTAATAGCGTAATTTCACTGATGTGTGTATCTACATACTGAACAAGAAATTCCATACCTCAACGTGGACATGATACGACATTTTGTGTGTGGATGCAACCACACACAGAAAATTCTAGAACGCCTAATTTTGCTATTTTTTAATTATACGCGTATCCAGTAGATTTATCGTGTAAACAGCCCCCACCCCCCACATCACACGATACAATTGACGCCAATTGCTTAAAAATAGCTTTTAGGCGGCAAAGTACAAATGACATGTCAGTCAAGAAACAGGTCTTAGCACTCACGTTAATCCATTAATCGACTTGTTTTGATATTTCATGTACCAACAGTATCAAATGTCAATTGCGAAGGTGAAAATTTACAATGGCCGAGTCGCAGAAATTTTTTTTCCTGCCGTGTTGCCACACCTGCATGAAAATAAATCGGTGATGTACGAAATTACAGGAAATAGCAGGTACATTAACATTGAAATTTGGCAATGAATCGGTTATTTTCTTCGCCGGACCTTCACCAACCTAAAGTAAATCAAAATTATAAACATCGAAAATCCGATTGCAACAATTGGCGAAGTGAGAAAATGTTTTGCTACATGAGCACATAATCGTTATATAATAACGAATCACATTATGAAATCATATATTTCGGCCAGTAATTAACCTGGTGAGTTATTTTTCTCGCTTTCGAAAGTGTCAAATAGAGCATGATCAAACACCGGAAACCAGCCAGATTTGATGATCACGTTAACCCCGCCCACAAAATGGCGGATACGAAAAGAAGCGAATTTTGTAACGATTAACAAAAAAAGAAAGTTGGATTCCAAAAATGAGGTAGCGCGAAGCATCAGACGGAGCGTCAAGGACGTTAATGGTGAATACCGGACTTTGATCCAGTCTTGTATACGTTTTTTTTTTGAAGATTTGTCGCGGAACTTCGAACTATTACTGAGTCAAGGTTTCTTGAACTTTAATTGAGAATTAATTTTAATGTAGTGATAGGCGAATCAAAACAACTACGCGGGGTGGGCGTGGCCAAACCGAGACATTTAGTTTCCCAGATGCAAAAATTCGCTCCTGCGACAGCAGTGACACATTATATAATTTGTCGTATCTAGCCCTAGAGATTAAGTAGAATTTCGTTAATCATAATTATCGGTGATAGGAATAACCGAACAAAAGGATTTTTTGCCAGGTAGCATGTTCTGAATGGTTGTAAGCAAAGTCATCAATGATATACCGACTGTTTATATTAAACTTGTACGACTAAGGTCGATTACATTTTTGTAGGTTACCTTCTTTATGTTTATCGTTTAGAATTAACTCCAGCGTTTATCAGATGTTTCTATAGCAACATTGGGATTGTCTGATGCAAGATTTTCATGTGACTCAATTATTTTGATGTTTCTTAACTGTTTTCACCAATTTATCGCGTGACAATTTCAAAACATTTCCGAATTTAAATCAGGCGTTTCAAAAAAAGGAATGCCATTAAAATATTTTTACAATAAGTGTTATTACCCATATCAGATTATTTAGGTGATTACTCGATACGTTAAGTACTTAATGTTGTTGCTAATACACTAATGCACAATTTAGCCACACTTATTAGCAACAAAGCAATTTCAAAAAATAAATATTCTTTTGTTTACAATATTTCCTTAATAATTCGTTTTAATGATCGCCTTTTTTAATTAACAGAAAAACAATTTATACGATCATTATCCCGTCTCGTTTTTCTAGGTAATTACCGTACGATGCAAGCGCAAACACCACAATTAATTATTGTTTTAATTTTTCTTATTTTTTTTTTTGCATAATTGACACTAGTTGTTCTATTTACAAAAAAATTTACCGTCTCCATTAACATAACTATCAACCTTTTTTAAATTTTACGATTTTCGTGATAAACATTCACGTAATGCACTTAATTTAAACCAATATATTTTTATTAGTAGGTATATTCTTTTGTCATATTGAACACTCAGTTTGACTAGACCGTTTAAATAAAGTAAGTACATATGCCAATAACTATCGTTTAACACTTTTTCGAAATAAAAAAACATCTTTAAAACAACGCCAGTGACGTATATGCATAATTACTAAGCTTTTTGGCGATTTAAAATGTTAATGTTCTTCATTGACGTATTTTATTGTAGGCAAATTTTCTGTTTTGCATGAAAATAATAGCCGCACGGAATAATTAAAAAAATTAACGTCGGTTTTGCTAAAAACATTGTTGCTGTGGTGTTGATTATGTAGTAGAGGTCACGACTTATTCAATCATGTGTTTAAGTCACAAATAATGAACAATGAAAAACAATTACGCAAATGACGATATAAATACTTTTAAAAAATTAAGAAAAAATTGCATCATGTAGTATACAGTCGTACATGTTTTGCTGTAGAAACGACAATCATTTCTCATGATAGCCAACTTTTGTTTGATCCACAAAAAACCAGTTGTAAATTTTGCGAGCGAAGCGAGCTGTTTTTATACCGGTTTCTAGAACGACACCATAAACATTGTTGGAATTCTTTCAGCAAGCGAAACATCAAAACGCAATTCATCATTTTATATTTGAAACTATCATCATACGAAATAAAAGTATTACACGAATCAGCAAAAATAGCTTTCGAATATTTTAGAAAATAAATGAACCGTATATTTATAAGCAAATTATAATGCTAACACAGTTTTAGTAACGTGGCTAAAGACAGCATTAATTGGGAATTTGTATTAATTAGTGATGAGAGTGAACTACATATTTAGAAAAGTAAAAGTTGACCCACTTGGTATTTGAATATTTCTGTGAAATATTAATAAAGATGGCGCATTTGTGTCAGTTGATTCCTGCTTTATATGCGCTTGTAATATCTTAAATCTTGTCCAAAAATGCATTGAATAAAATTTTTAATTTGTTTTTTATCATTCCGCCAATTCTCTGAAGGAAAAAATTGTGCCTTTTAATTTTTTCAAAAATAAGTCAAGTCATCGCGCATAGTTTTCCGAAAATATTAAAGGAGTTTCCAGTCCGATTGACCCTGCTAAAAGTTAGCCTCTTTATGAAGCTTCTCGGGAGAAAATTTTCATTCCATACGTATGCGCGCCATCTGTGTACCACATTATAAAATTAAGTGCGTACATGCAGAAATCTATTTCGTCATTCCCCTCATTACAAGATGGCGTTGCATAAGTTGCAATTTAACGAACACTTCTCAAACGACAAAAGAAAAAACCGAGTTCGGACATTTATATTTATTGGCATTAAAAAAACATGAAAATTTTTGTGGAAAAACTAAATCACATTTGTTACTAATAACAATCAGATTAGATCTGGACAACCTTAACATGTACAAATCATAAATAAGTTTCGAGCAAGAAAAAACAGCACATCATTGAAACGAATTAAAATTGGGGCATTTGTCAAGCTCCAATTTGGAGAAAACCTGCCTCAATTACAAAAAATGAAACCTCAAGATCAAATCTTGAAACTAAGCAAAACATAAAACTTCTAAAAAATCGACAACTAAGCAGACACTTTGTCATTTTTCTTTTTCAAAACGATATCTTTTACATTGAGATGAGCAACTTTTTCTTTGCGTTTGGGAGGTACAGACTGCTGGCAGAACCGTTTGAATGCTTCCAATTCCCGCTCGTCGGCATCCATATCGTCCTCTAGAATATCTTTAGGAGTGAAAACGTTATCTGAAAGATGAAAAAAACAATAAAAAAAACTACAACTACGATTTATTAACTACCATAATGTAAGTCATCTTTATCAAAATTAAATTTGTCGGAGTTGTTCGCCGGTATGATGGAAACCTCGGCGGTGTGACAGGACTTCTTGTTATCCAAATCGTTTTTCGTCGCATTTTTGTCAACCTTCGTTATTTCGATACCCGGCAAGCCCGATAGGATCTCTTGAGCGTTGAAGGACGATATCCTCGAGAATTCCGAGAAGTTGCTCGAAGACATGTATCCTGTCGGTACTTCGGGTCCAAGGACTGGCTTCAAGTCCGGCAACAAAGTCGGAATCGGTGAACCGCTATTTAAGCTCTGCTGTAACCGCGAACTCCTGATCGTAACCATCCCGTTTTCATTTTTAAAGATGGCGGCTTGCTGACATTGCCCGTTGTTCAAATCGGGCATCATTTCGGGTTCTTGCCGCACGTGTTGCATATTTTGGAATATGGGGTTTTTCAATGTTACCATTGAGGGTTTACTGGGGACTGGGGAAGGGTTGGTTTGTAACTCTTTCTGCTTTTTGTTACGTTTCCTACGGCTTTTTTTGCTGGGGTTTGTGGTCCCGTTCGTCGTGACGCTGGATTGTTTTATTAACTTTTCGGTGTCTACGACGATTACCCCGGATTTACTAACTGGAATATTGGAGTTGTAGGGCGGGCTTTCGATATTCGCGGCTTTGTAGTTCCGATCAGTCATAGGACCGTCAACCTTAGTTATAGTAATACCTGAAAATTACACATTATGTTTACTTTTATTATTATTATTATTATTATTAATAATATTAGTACCTGGTGGCAGTTTCAACATCGGTATGTTAATATCGGCTTCTTTACTTTTTTCTTTTTTGTTGTTGTTGTCTGGTTTCTTGTTAATCTTCGTTTCACCCTGTTTTACTTGTTTGTTCTTCTTTTCGGTAGCTGCGGCCGGGTCTACCGCTAACGTCACTCGTAACTCCTTTGTTATAACGTTCGATTGTTGATTGCTCTTGTCCGTCTTATTTTTCTTCTTCTTCTGATTCGTAGCTGCGTTCACTTCTAAATTAACAGTCTTAGTAACGGGCTCTTTGTTCTTTTTATTTTTCTTGTCGTTTAACTGAGCATTGTTTCCGTCGTGTCCATTCACTAGAGTATATAAAAGTTTATCTTGATCGGGCGTCGACCCTTTCAACGTTATAGTAACAGTCGGCAACGCGTTTTCGTTCTCTACGACCCTTTTAATAGTGACCATCGCAGGAATCGTCTCTTCCAGCAACTCGGGAGTTTCTTGAATCTTCCCTTTTTGTTTCTTCTTCTTGTTCTCTTTTTTCGTGTCTGGGGAAAAAAATGATAATGAGAGGTAACAGTGAGCAAGCGATTGTGTTACTTTTGGCTGCTTTTTCCGCGAGCTGCCTCGCCAGCTCCTCGTTCCTGAGTCTCTCCTCCGCCTTCCTTTTCTCTTCTTCTATCTTTTTCCTTTCCTCTTCTTCGATTCTCAACCGTTCTTGTTCCTGCAACCTTCACTTTACTCTCGTTCTCCCTCCACCCGTTCTTACCTTTTTGTGTCTTTGTCTCGCCTTCTTCGCCGCTTTCTTCTCCGCTAGCGCGAATTTGTCCACGTTCGTGTTACCTTCGATGTAATTCAACAAACCATGTATGTCGTTCATCAAAGGGTTGGCATCTTCGTTCGTCGGCGTATTCACTTCGCTGTGATTATGTTTGGCTGCGGCAGGAGACTCGGGTTTGTTTGTTTTGCTGATCGTCTGTGACTTTTTCGGAACGCCGTTGCCATTTTCGTTTCTTTGATTTAGTCGTATTCTCAATCTGTTGCGAGTTTCGTTTGCTTTGTGTACGTGTGAAGTCTGCAAATGCTTCATTGTGACGACCAACCAAAACAAACTAATTGTTAGATTACCGTTGTGCCGAACACCTCGCAAAAAGTACAATCGCACTTCTTCGACTCCTTGTGGTGGTCACACGTGTCTTGATAAGCTTTTTTGAACTCTGACACAAAAAATGATCAGTTCCTGCTACAGAATGTGGGTTTTGGTTACCTGATTTTAGCTCCTCTTCGAGTTTACAACTGTGCCCGCAGGGAAAAGTCATACCGGAGCTTTTGTTTGAGGTGTTGGTACCAACTGATCTGTAACTGATTTTTGAAAGAGAGAAAGCTAGGAAAAGATGACTTACTTTGAGTTTTTAACTACATCGTTGCCTTTTTCGTCGGACTTAGGAGCTACCTGCTTAACCCTTAAAAGCGTAGGATTTATTAAAGAACTTGTAATACTTACAAAAATCCACGCTGGAGAAATGCAGTTGAAAAGTTCGCAAAAATGGCATTCTCCGTTTTTCAATGAATAATGAAAATGTAATTTGCTCTATCGACACTAGTGCACACTCAAAATTTATATTAAAATAATAATAATAATAACACGGCACCAACACCAAGATATGAAGCATCACGAAATACTTTTACTATATTCCGCTAACTAAAATATTGTTTTTTGTTTCTAAAAAAATGGTGCCCGACATAGACGAAGCATATAAGTGATTTACGTGCCACATATATATCAAAGCCACTTTAATTTTTAATTTTGAGTATGAAAAATGTAATACTTACGCATTGTGGCCCGCCACCGGCTCCTTCGTTCCCTTGACGCTCCTGTCGCACCGATTTTCTTTATCCTTCTCTGACCTGGGCAAGAAATTTCTATATTTTAAAAAATTACAAAAAGTCTTTCCTGACATTTTTGTAACTTCGACGTCCGGAAACGAGAACCTCGTGACGTCAATATCGTCGAGATCATTTTTGAAGACGGGCGGTTCGTTTGCGAGTTTGGGATTGGGGTCCTTAGATATCTCCCCGTTGCTACTTTCGTGACGCTTAAGAGTATTTTGGTCGTGAATAATGGAACCTTGAGAATCACCGTTGTTTTTTCGGGAGTTTTTCGGATTCGTCATCCCGAGTGTTACTATTTCCATGTTTTCGGATATGATTTTTGAGAGGTTTTTACAGCCTTCAAGTTCGGCGAGAGCTCGACCTAAACATAACTGTAAGCACGCGTTCGATGCGCTCCCAAACACTATTACCGTTTACGTGCTGCTGGAAATGATCCAGATCCACTTGCTGCCTGCAGAACCTACAAGAAACTTTCATGCATTCAGAAGATATCTTGTTTTGGCTGTTTTCAAGGATAGAAGTGTACTTAATTATTAGGCAGTCTTCGCAAATACATTGGCCTGAGTCGTCTAGGGTTGCGTCCGGCATAGTTAGGTTCCTATTACCCACCAGAGTGAACAACTGACAATCAAATAGGCGCATATCTTGTAACGCTTTCCTAAAATTGTAGCCAAACTGACTTCAGTCGTTTCAAAAATTGCTAAGACACTTACTCGTCTGCAGACCGATCTATCCAAAAATTTTTCGACAAAACTCGTTTGTGCGATGACATCATTTTATTGTCCAAGCCTTTAAACTTCGCCCCGAGTTTACTCGCTATAACCGTGCTGAAATCGCATACTGAATCAAAAATTCACCCAATCTAGCGACTTACTTAATCCCTAACATTTGAGACCTCCATAATTTGTGTAGTTCTGTTAAAACTGTGTAAATCCCCGCGGCTTTAATGGATACGTTGTCTTTAACCTACAACAGACTTAAGTCATATGCGCACGCGCTTCGAGTCACGTACCTGTTCAAATTCGGCCACTACGGTTTGGACGTACGAAGTTTCGTAGAAATAGTACATAAATATTGATGTGTTGAAATCAAGCCAACCTAACTTGTATGTGTTGATTAGAAGTTTTTCTAATTCGGGGAATATTTTACATATATTTTTCGTCGCCGATAAGAATGCTTCGTAATAGTAAAATAAACCTGGAAAAGAGAGTTGTGAAAGAATTAAACGTAGAGCGAGAATTTACTTTCAATGGAGGCCTCCATATCTGCGATTTTTTGGTGTTGTTTCTGAGCGAATATAGTGTATTCTCTGACCAGAGAAAATAGTCTAAGGCAAAGTTGGACCTGGTCTTCTTCCATCAAGCTAAAATGATATATAAGCAATCTAATTAATACAATATGAAGCTTCTAATGCAACTTATTGTTGGATTCAAACAATAATTGCCATGAAATTTATTTTTATAATAATGAGGTTGATATGTTGACCTTTTGTTTGACAATTACTTTACCGTAACTGTCAAACCCAATGAGGAATGGGCTGGTGTTAAATTTCCAAGTCGCACGACAATGGTGCGATTAAATTTCGCACGTACTTTAAGCATAAACTGTGTTTATCAACAAATATTGAAAACATTAAACAAACATAATAAACGAGGTTCAATTTCATTCGTAATAATTCCTGATGGTATTTTGAAAAATTCACACTCCAAAGTATCGTCTATATTATTAATGTAATTATTTTATTAATTTATTTAATTTTATTGCGTTAAATGTGAACTTGGTGACTACACAAAAGTCAAGCTGATAATGTTATAATATTTCAATACTCATACTTGTGCACAAATGTAGTTTTAAGGGTTCTACAAGTATCATTTAACTTTTTTCTTTAGTATGTGAAATTTTTCGAAAAGGCGGCAAATATAGTGCGCTGTTCTTAGAATGAGCGGGAAATAATCAAATCTAAATTATTTAACTTTTCAGACGTCTGGTTATTGTTAAAAGCGCAACTGAAGTCATTCCTTTAAAAAAATTGAACATTACAATTTTTAAAAAGCAAAATGGCGTCTGTAACATTAACAAAAATTTTGTTCAGAGATCTAGTGGGTCTGGACGTTCATTTGCACTAAATGCTTAATTTCATGTAATATTTGATGAATATAAAACTAATAAACTTAAAATGTTAGGAATGAACGTTGAATATTTGTGACAAAATTTTGTAGGTTATGTGTATATTCTTTATATATGAATTTTTCCAAGTTTAGCGGAACCTTGTCAGAGTGTTTGAAATTGTTATCAGCAACTGATAAAACGGGAAAAAGGATACTTATTGCATGAAACATAATTTGTCAAGTCTGAAAATTTGGTTCAAACAAAAAGCGAATTTATTGTAATTGTATTTAAGGACCCAAAATGGCGTAATTGGCAGTGTACCTGCACACGATACTCCTCATATCGGCAATGAAATACGGCGAAAGAATCTCCTGTTCGGGGTCTGGATCGGTGGTCATGCAATATCTATACACGAAACACAAATAATGCTGCAAGTCTGTCCACTGTTTGGCTGGTTGTGATTTCATATCGACGACGTTTTTGAAAAACTCCAGTAGGATTTTTTTCTGTTTGAGAGTGAACTTGTCTTCATTTTCGTTCGTACCCTCTGTTTCGCCCTGCAACAAGCTTGTGTAATTTAAGGTTAATTTTATCCACATTACGTACATTCTCGATTTCGTTGCTGGCTAGACTGGACCGAATGATTTTGTGAATGTTCTCTTTCGGCCGGTCGTATAACGCTTTCAAAAATTCGAGCGAATAAATATTTGATGCGTCTGGAGGTGATTGATTTGAACCCATTTCAAACTTGTAAGCGAAAAAGCGACAAGTCTGCTTCAGCATGAGTAATTCAAGTGAACTTAAGTTGCTCATGGTTAAGTGTACACTTAAAAACAAACGTTTTAGCCACTATCCAATTTTTGCTTTTATGGCAAACTATGGTCACAGCACAAAAATAGCCAGCATCTAATTTGGAAAATGGAGATATTGTCAAATGTCAAAAAGCGTGCCGTGCGACAGAATGGAACTAATGCTATTAAACGAATTCCCTAGGGCGGGAAATGGATAGAACTTTCGCGGAAACTCGTACGTCGCGTAATCGGAAACGAAAATAGTTAAATAGTGGAAAATTCGGGGGAAAACAACGATAAACGACTACAGGTTTCTGCATTGTAGGCGGCTTTGACAGGTAGAGGGCGCTCGCTCAAACAAACAGGACGCACAATTCAAAAATATAAACATTAATGTATTAATGACGGTGCTGAAAATGCTAAACAGTCGTTTTATAAATGAATAATGTATTAATAATGTTGTAAAATGGCCGTTTGTGTGATAAAAAATAATGTCAACCCGACAAGCGCGCGTTCGGTCATAGCCAGAGGCGCCCCAAGCGTTTGGTTTTTTGCTTCTAGGGGACAAAAAAACCAAGACAATTTGCCTAGAAAGTTTCAAAATTAGAAAAGACTAGCTTTTGGATACATATTTACACATTTTTTTATGCGCACAACAGTTTGCTTGTTAGTTAAGATATCAATCAACATGTTGTAAAAGCTAAATCTAATGACAAAGCGAACCAAAAATGTTATGGCATTAATGTCAAATAAATTTCGATTTTATTTGCTATTTCACATGAACGGGGGCGGTTATGGCCACAAGACTGTGGATTTCATTATTATATTCTTTTTAGTATATCGTTAAATTTAGCTTTTACTGTATGTCATTATTTTCACTGTAGCAGGCGAAACTATAAAAGAAAATTTGGTACTTACGGAATACAGTATGTTCCGTAAGTGTGTGTTAAATTCAATGGAAAATTTAGAAACGGAACTTGTAAGAAACGTTCTGATGAAGAATTTTTTCACGGTTTTTTTTATTGACGTCAAACTTATGACATAATAAATCTTTTAAAGATCATTTACATTAAATTACATAACCGCTTACCATTTTTCTTATAACAAAATGAACGGTTTAAAATGTAAGAGTGAAACTTGATCACAAAGAAAATATTATTAATGTCACAACTGAAAGTCGATTTTGAAAATCTGGCATATTTTATTTTTATTTATTGATAAGCAGAAACGTCGTTTTGCAAATTTTCTAAAGTGTGACGTTTCATGAGTAATGATTTTATTAGCACTGTAGTAGTTGTTGACTCATATAATCAAGTTTTTCTGTTAATTAATTGGACTTGTGTATAAAATAATCAAGTAAAATACATACAAATATAGTGGATATAAACACGTGCAAAGACAGTCATTAATCATTATTAATTAAATGTAAATAAATTATAAGAAAAATGAATGAATTATGCATTTCAACGGCACTAATTAATTTTTATCCGTTTTTGGAAAAAAAATGTGGACAGCGCCCATCCCAGCGCGTAGCTTTCTATTCGAAAAAAGAATTTGTGGAACGGCCTCTCGATTGCGATTTAAAACGAAATTTATGATCTGATTAAACTATGAATAACAAACTAAAACAAGAAATATGTAAAAACCTCGGTAGTACTCCGTAGTCGTCTGATTTATACATCAACCGAGCGAATTAATAGCGAACTTTGATAAAGAAGTGGTTCTCTGACTGGAAAGGCTACCACATCCAGGCGTGTTGGGTACTATTGTATGGTTGGGTAGAGTACGATGGTATGGTATGATCAGTACTCGTCAAGCAGTGGCGATAGGAAAGTCAAAGCCGAAGCCGCTGAGTGGGTTGATACGAATTTTTTCTCTCAACTCGCGCACTTTCTTCTAAAGTGACTTAAGTCAGTGACAAAAATGTGATTTTGTTTATCGCTGGGAGTACCGGTTTCGGAAGGGTGAGTCGATGGTGTTCACGTTATTAATGAGTAATTAGTTATTGTTACCATTTCTCGCTCGCGATTTAATCAATTAAGTATAAATGGAACGAATTTACATTCGCATGTATAAGTGATATTAATTAAGTAATTGAGTTTTAAAGGTAATCAGGACGTTGCATTGGAGGTACAGACGATTACACGATTACATAATTTCACAAAAATAAACTTCTTGCATCATAGCACCTTCGAATATATTGAAAATCCCCATTTTCGATTTACATAACAAACCTTCAACAGTTTCGAGCTTTTGATTGCACAAAGAGATTCAATTAATGGCAGGTCGAAAATGTTGCAGGAAGGTCATACAATAAAAACGATAAACTCTTTAGTAAACAAGGAAGTGACTTTGATTTTTTTTGTTTTGCTTTTTGGACGACGCAATAAAAACGTGAAAGCTATTCGCAGGAAATTGTTATTATTACACGCACAAGTAAAAAAACTGGATTCAAAAGTTGTTAGGACGTTTAATAATTATATAACGATTATTTAAGAGATTTAGGAGAATGTGGCTTCTCTGTGAGAAAACGAAATGCTACAATTTTATCTAAATTGTCACTTACGGATACAATAGCTGAGAAATTCTGGTACTACTTAAAATGTACAGACATTTACTGTATCGGTACGGTTCTCCTCTGTTATAATTGTGTTTCATCAGTACACCTATACATATTTATGGTGGTAGCAATAACCCGATTGTTGCTTCTAACTGGACTTATTTATCGAACTAAAACAAAATTTAGAGTACCTTTTTTTTCTCTCTTGTAAAATTTATTTAGTCATCGCTTTCCTCGAACAGAAAGTTGATATGCAAATCCATATCAGCCCATCAATGATCACATTGTTTCTACGACCACGAACACCGTCATCCATTATTAATTACCAGTACCATGGCATCCAATTGGTAGTTCGTTAACACGATCCAATTTTTTGGTTAAACGAACCGTGTTGTAAATATTTGTCATTATCGCAAACGGCAATAAAAATCTCGCTTTATGCTTGAAAAAACCTCAATGTTACTTAACGGTGGTGGTTATTATGGATCTAATAAAATCAATCGTTCTGGCAATGTCATACAAAGATTTCGTCCGATTTCACAGGTTCGTAGTTACGAACGAGTACTCTTCAGGGTTCATGGTACTGCCGGTATTGATGCGGACATGTCATGTCACAATACAAAATTCACGTGAAAGCGATAGAGCTCATCATCCAGTTTTTACATTCGGTTTCCGGTTCTCGGCCATTCTTAAATTGCTTTAAGCGTGCACTTTATGCATTTCTCTTTCGATACGGAAGGAAAAAATTATACTATTGTGTATTGTCTGGGTAATTTATCGACTCATACTTTATAAATTATAAATTACGTCAACAAAGAATCCATTCGATCGTTGCGACATGCGTTAGGTATTCTCAGAACGGTGATCAGGTTAAAAATTGGCAGTACGATCTACAGTCGAACCTACGAATACTGATAAACACAAAATCGAATTTCGACGAGGTTGCTATGCGAAGCGAAATCCTAGTTCACATTTCAGCTCTTAATATTTTTTAAATTGGAGATTTGGCGGTATGGTGGTGCCGCGACCAGGATCGGATACAGTTATATATCGATTCGAGAATCCAAGCCACTAGGAGCCCAGGAAATGCCGGAGCACGAGAAACCTGAAACGGGAAGTACGAGGGAAAACTGAAATCTTCTAAATTTCGCAAAATTGCTGTATGTTAATTGAATCATTCGATGCGGTGAAGTCCGACTGTATGTTAATGTAAATCAGCCATTAAATGTATCCACGAACCTTATCGACGTGTTGAAATTAATCAGCTTCTTCTTTAAAGAATATTTTTTGCAAATCTGCCAGAAAGGTTTCGGAAAAAGGTGAAGGTTTCCTAGGGGTCAAAAATGCGAATCTCGTCAAGGTTGCAATGGTTGCGGCAGATCAACATGATGCTACATGTTCACGTTTGATTAAAATATAGCGTTATGGTCTCCAAACTCTCAAAATTTGACCGCTATAATTGCCAGGTAGAATTCCGGTAGCTGAAATTTTAACGATCTAATCGTTCCGATTTATTAAATGAAAATTAAAGTTCAGCTATAAAAGGCTTTTAATATTCGTTGGTTCGAACCTTGAGTGTGAATACCTCGACTATAAATAAGTTTTTTCTCGATTTTCAGCCACAATACACAAAGTCGAATTAAGGTGTGGGCTTTTATTATTCATTTGCATAAGTTACGAGAGAAAAAATTTTGCAAACAAACATTATTCACAATATTTTAATTTAAATACAATAACAGGGTTCGCAGTTTCTACAACAACAACGTTAACCTTCGGGAGGTGACGAGTACTTAAGGGGCAACACGCTATTTCGCTCAAGAACAACATATGTTCATCCCAAAAACACGCCGCTAATTTCCGTTATTTACGACTGTGGGTTTTGTTGAAGAGCAGCTTCACAACAGAGTACTGTGCTGACGGGTCCAAGTGCCATGGAACGTAACGGAAGCGCCAAGACCTACGAAAATATGTAGATTAGATCTTGGAAATGCTAAAACGACTGATTCGAATACACGGGTCGTGGCGTAAGACGGACCGAAAACAGCTTATGGGTATTTTCCGGTAAAAAACGTCCAAAAAATATCGTGTAATGAATGTATCAGTGACATGAATCATTCGTAATGTTTGGCTTGATATCCAAACAATATCTTTTTGTAATGTCCCATGAATGTTCCGTAGTGTGTGGCGTAATTAGCTACGAAGGTGACTACAGATAAGTTTTGAGAACGAGACTTGCGTAATTTGTCTTATTTGACCGGAATATCACAGTCCTTGTGTGAAACTGACACAGAAACTTCTTGAAGCGATTGAGGTAATTTGTTTTGTTGGTCAGTTTTTCAGATAATGAGTCGTTATAATGGCAGCTATTAGAATTTCCTTTCGGTTGGGGATTATTCGTCACTGTTAAAAATTAAACCGTAGAGCACCAAGTCATCTTTTTGGCTAGTCATCGCGGTTGATTCAGCGCATATTTAGGAAAAAGTTACAAAAGAGCCGACGGAGAAGCGCTCGACAACAAGGATAATAAACAAAAATAAACACCTCGGGTTACTAAATAACAGGTGAGGCAAGAGACCTGTAATTTGTAATAATTAAGTTTATTTGTTATTAATTATAATGTAGGTATACATTCCTGCATTTTAATGTGATTGTTTCATTTGAATAATTCTCTGCAATTATTTGGAAGATGGGTAAGAACCAAAACCACAAATATTCGGTTACAGTTGAGCAAGCCAATTTAAGTCCGGTGCAACGAAAAACGACACCGAATTTACGACTATGGGTGCTAATTAACAATCATCCCTTCTTTCCGTGACCGAAAATAATGCGATGATTTGTGTATACATTTTCACACGAAGCGAATGGCGAACTGACATTAAATTATAAGTTGGCCACAACAGCATTTGTTGTGTAATATTTTCTCAATGTAGAAAGTACACTGGAATTTCAATTATGCAATATAATATAATTAATCATGAGAAACGTGTATGATCGTTCCTTAATATTCGACGATCTATATATGTTTTTGGAGCCGAACCGCGAAAATCACTTCCGCGTAATCATGGTAATAACGCGATTAAAGATATTAGAAATGCACTAATGACATAATCGACGAAACATTGCTCTTTACCGGCGTTAATAATTTTGAATGAACAATAAAAGCGCAATTACGAGTCACTTGACTTACCCAAGTAATTAAAATGTTGCAGGTGTGGCCTTTTCACGGTTCACAGCATTCACAGATTTGCCGTCGAATTTGTGGATATTTAATTCAAATTCGAATTAATAGCGACAATGACCTAATTAGCAAATTCGCGTGACATTTGGATCTCTACTTTTTTAAATGCACGCATAATTAAGGGATACATTGTTAATACTAAATGATTCATGAATTCATCAGAATTACTATGATAAAATGCGCTGAAATATGTGGCACAGGCTATAACAACATTCCTTCGATAATCGCCTCCAGATACGAAAGCGAAATTTTCAACATTCATGTAATGCAATCCGAAGACAAATTATGCTTTCAGCACTGTTAAATAATTAAAAAAAATACCCAACACGTGAAGAACTCGTCCCGACGAAAATACCGCCATGCGGTGACTCATCCAGATAATAACATTTTGGAAATCGCCGAAACAATCACAATCGCAGATTAGCACGCGAATACTTTAACCCGACAAATATTTATTTAGACAAGTCGGACGTCCACACCTTCGTTGGTTACTCGTGAAAGCGAATTTCTTGCAATTGTGATACTTCACTGTTCCGTTTTAGACAAAACCCGATTTTTACGGTTCATCGAAAATTTACAAAGCCAGACCAATTATTATCAAACCGAGGACATCACCCTAAATGCGCAATCTGACTTTCCAAACGTCACATTTTTGCATCCAAAACTTAACGCCATCCTGCAAAGGCAAGGAGATGGCCATTCCAAAAACAAAACCGAGTTCTAGTGTCTGAGTGGTGCCGTGACCAGGATATGGTGCTTCAAGGCACAACGAACTTTCGTCTCTTTCTCATCGCGAAACTTTGGCACAAATTTGACTCAGTGCCAAAAAACCCTATAAGATACTATATAAGTAAGTAGTATCGGGTTCAAAATTTTCCACGACGAAAACTTGTACGAAGTACAATCGCGTCGTCTCTAAAATGCTCGAAAGTGGAGGAAGTTGTCGTTGCGTAACTGCGTGCAACATCTTCGCTTGACTTTTTCTAAAACGTCTAATTTTCTTCGTTCCCTATCTCGCAATGATAATGATACGTATCTTCCCCGCTAGGACAAAAACTGGTAAGGACGCGGTGTAATGGCCGTGGCTCGACTATATTTAAGAAGTGTGTATGTGGCGTAAGTCTGTTTCAATATTTAAAAGCAAACAAAAGCTATTATCTCGTACAACCTTTGTTCTGGCACAGCGGTGATAAAGTGATTGTTCAAACACGGAAAAAATGAAACATACCAAATTGGACTATTACTACAATTACTGATTCGATTTTATTATCGTTGGAGGTAATGCGGCGCGGTTTTATAACATGAGGTGGTTGGATGGAGATAAAATTTTGAAAAAAAGAAAATCTGTACGTGGGTTTTTCGTAAAAACGCATTCAGTGCCGATAAGTTAAGTTGAATTTATTGTTAGTTTTATCAAATTTCTCCTACACATGCCTGGCCTCTTTACGGTAAAAACGATAACTATTAACTTTACTACTTTAGAAATGGCCAGGTTTGAAGGTTTCGAGAAAGCGTGGATAAAATTTGTGATTTGGATGAGATAAAACAATCAAATTATGAGTTTGTAGTGTCATTAACACAGTTGTAAGGAACGACCTTGTCTGGTGGGGTTATAAAAATAGGAAGTACTTTGTTTGCTTCTTTATCTTGAACACATCGCAGCTAAAAGATTCGTTGTGACCTGCGTAATTAATGTTGTGGGTTTTATTTCTACTATGTTTTCCGAGTAGATGCACATCCATCACGTCTTCCATAAACGCAGAATTGCGATGCAATGCGTAGCACGAAAAAATTGCCTTGATATTTACTTTCAAAGAAAAAATGTCGATAGAGCACAATTAAGAATAATTAATTGATTGGAATGCTGTGGTCTCACATGGTTAATTCACGTGATAAAACATTTAAGTTATAAATTAACGTTGGTTATGAAGTTTCCCATTAAAACCAGTTTTTATACAAAAGTAGAATAGTGTTATAAAAATGACTTAAATCGTCTTTACGACAGACTTAAGACACTTTAAATTAAGACGCGCGGAAAAACTGTTAATTAAAACGGCTTCCACAAACACGGCCAACGACATCAAAATTTCTTATTGTTCTATTGTGATTTGAATATTCGCATGATCGAAGAATTTTGAACTTGGCACTCTATATACATATTCCTCGATTGTAGCGCGAGTTATTTCAAGGCTGCGGCAATTTCAGAATTCATAGAACGTACGAACTTGTCCTCTCTTAATAAAAAGAAAAGTTCGTTTAAAGGTAACAAGTTCCAATCCGAGATAGATTCTACAATTGCGAAACCAGTCGCGATGAAAATTCTATTTATGACTTTTTTTCTAGCAGATGAAGTGGTTTCGTAAACAGGGCGAAGCCCCTAGACTTCTCAGTCTGTCGCCGCTGCGGACGCCCGAAACGGAGCAGTCGTCGAACCTGGACATTTTGGCACCTCCGAAACACGTAAAACGGAGATCAAGACTCGGTAAACAACTTTTATTTATCCTTGTAACACAAGCAATATTATCGTTTTTTTAGAAATGTCCCCGGCAGTGTGGGCCCGGAGGCAAAACAAAAGCGACACGAACTTCTACAATGTAGAAGATAGCGTTATTATTATAGAAAAGGCGGACCGAAGGCGTTACAAGTCACAACCGAGGGACAGTGGCCACTGCCGCGAAAAAAGAAACCCCTTGTTGGACCGCGTTAAACACACGAGACTTTCGTGTTTTCGATCCAATTCTACCGCGTCGACCGTAGTAGATGTGCCTTCGTGTAGTTCGAAAAACTGTAGTGACGAGTACGGCCAAACTAGTGACAGTCAAAGTCTGGACTTGGAACTTTTAGGTGTGTGTAGTGATAGTCAATACGATAGTCTCTCCCGAGCGTCATGTTTCACTGCCAAACTTCGTGCGATGTCGGAAAAGTATCTCCAATCGTCAACCAACAAGTTCCTAAATAAGCTCTACAAAACCCCAGTGCCCCTTGCCGAATCCACACCGACGAAAAACCCTCGACGAAAGAGGAACCTTCGTACCAAACTACGCAGTTTCTCGTACGGAGCCTTGCCCGGACTGGAAGAATTCCAAAAGAGCCATAACCCTTTGTGTCACGAGCCTGATAGGGACACCTTAGACGATGAAGACGAACGACTTCTTCTAGATAACGAAGACTCCGACAGCGGTATCATCGTCAACGACTCAGCGCTCTCTTCCGGACTTGACACAGACACATACAAGGGGGATTCGCTTCTTCACGATTCCGAGAGAGCCTCCAATCGCAGGAGCCACCCTCAACGGGCTCTCTCTCTGGACAGACGCGAAATTTTCCGGAACGCGTACCCTCCAGACAAACCCGACTCCGAACTCCCTTCCGCTCTTGCCAAAACAACAATGCTAGTACGACTGATCAAACACAGCTCCGACGAAGAACTAGGAATTTTTTTGACGCAGAGTCGAGAAGTCTGCTACGGGTTCGTCGTCGCGCATATCGTCCCAGACGGAGTTGCGGCTAGGTAAGTACCACGATTTTGGTACCCCGCTACATGTTCCGTCCGCAGACAGTCAAACCTGGCCGTCGGTGACGAAGTCATCAGCATCAACGGACGCAACATCTCCGGTTTGAACATGGCAGAGGCTAAACAGTCTCTATGTACGTCAACCCTGCACGTTGACCTTCTCGTTTGCCGGAAACACGAGACCAGATCTATGAAGGAGAGTTTCGTTGATTTCGACAGATGTGAAGCATTTTCCAGTCCTTTGTACAAACGCCACCACTACTTCCAAAAGAACAGTTGTAGTCACGGAAGCTACAATAAGGTCTTGCGACGCGCGGCTACCGGTTCTGCCACCCAGTCCAAAAACATAGAGACACCTTTTCCTTCTAGTCCTAAACCCCAAACCGACCTTAACACGACGAACTTTTGTACTTTGCCGCGGAGGCCGCGTTCTACGATCTGTACCTTCCACACGGTCATTCTGGAAAAGGGACCTGGCAAAAAGTCTCTTGGGTTCACCATAGTCGGCGGGAGAGATTCCCCGAAGGGTGCTTTGGGGATTTTCGTCAAGACTATTCTACCGAACGGGCAAGCGGCGGAAGACGGACGCCTCAAAGCCGGTACGTAGAAGCGTAGCTTCGGATTATCGAATCTAACTTCTGCTTACAGGTGACGAAATTCTAGCAGTGAATGGTCAAGTTTGTCACGACATATCTCACGCAGATGCCGTGCTTTTGTTCAAAAGTGTCAAAAACGGACCCATTGCGCTACATGTTTGCCGGAGGAACAAATCGAAGTCTTTGTAAGTTGTACGAAGGGGTGTATTGTGGTTCTGAGGTGTTGTTTGTAGATCGACCAAAGCGAAATCTTGTACAAACCTTCAGTCCAGTACGTGAACTTCCAAGAATGCTGAGCCATAAATATGACGAACTGACATTTTTGCATTTACTTGGGTTTTGTGATAATGTATTTTATAAATTTTTAATAAAACGATGAAATGTTTGGTTGGTTTTCATTTCCTGAAACGCAACGGGAGAGCTAAAACATGAATGTGCCGCTCACACTAGACTGTCAACTCTGTGTCGATCACGTTGACGGATAAAAAAGCAATGCGCGATGATAACTTCAACACTGCAATTTTTTATATTTTGGTTTTACCTTTTACATTTGATGTAACACGTTATTTGAACATTGTGAAAGCTGTGAACATATAGAATTTCACAAGAAACAGCGGTGTTTCGACAACTAGTTCTCAGAAAATGATTATTATGAATTTCACATGTTTAGTGCATGTTGCATATGGACTACTGATGCTTCCGGGTATCTGCTAAATGACGTGCAAATACAAGTGCCAAAAACCTTCACAAAAGGCACAATCTTAAGGTACTTACTACGAATGAACCGAAAACAGTAAAAAAATGAGGATCAATAAAATCAGTAGGGTGCAATTAGTTTTTCGACCACAATAATAATAATAATGATGATTGTGTGAGTAGGCGCTTATATGAGAATACTCTCTTACTAAAAACACGGAAGCTGATAAATCATAATAATAATAATCCTGAGTGTGATAATGACCTGTCGGAAAAGGTAAATATTGATGTGCACCTGATGTAGATTTGTAGCGAGTTGGTGGAAAAATAATAACATGTGCTACGACATGTTGGTGCATACAAATTCGTGTCTACAGTGTTTTACATGCTAACGAGAAAGGTCATTGTCTCTCTAAAAAGTAGCTTATTATTGAAATCCCAATTCCTTAAGAAATTCTTCGTCAATTAGTAACGAAAGAATTGGAAGAATCTCGAAAACGCCATCCAGTTCGAATCTATAAAATCGAGCAATCAATAAATTGTTTTAAATGTGAATGAAAGTATTATTAACCTGGCGTGTCTAAATTTAGCCCTTTGTCATTGACAGCACTTGACTCACGAAAGGCTGTCATTCCGCATCGAATGATATATATGTCTGGCTTTTGGGTGGTCATTATCAGAAAAGCTTTCAATTTGATGAATTTGTATAAGATTGGGCGTTCATGCATTCCGCACTACTTTATGCAACTATTGATTAAAAAAAACGAAAAAGAATAATTAGAAAGCACTTGCGTCATTACAATTGGGGTGGCTGGTATTGATTTTAGCAGTATTTGTGAGCGCCGATGGGGGCGGTCGACGCTTACCGACTCTTATTGCGAGATGGCGGGAACATCCTGCACGTGTATTTTGACGTCTGTGACTCAGAAAGTAGAAAATATTAAGATCTGTGTGAGTGTGGTGAAACTAATTCCTCTCTAAGATGTTAACGTTGAAATCCGGGAGGAGAATCAATACTTGTAAGTCATGATCCTGCGGGTGTATAATTGCGTACGTCGTTTTTTACCACTTGTTTGGGAGGGATGCATGCATTAGGTTTTTTAAAAAGCACGCAACAGGAATTGTATGAATTGTACCTATAGAGTGTGTGCGCAATGAGCTCTGTTTAAGCACAGTACTTTTTTACGAGACGCTATGTATGATTGCCGTTCTTACGAGCAACACATTTTTAATTACTAGGGTGGAATTTTTATCGCGAATCGAATCCGATGTGTCAAAATGGAAACAAATGTACTCTCAAAATGGTGTCGGATTTGTTCTTCTGAATTCAACGCCGGGATTTTTCTTTTCGGTGAAGAGGCTAGAAGGTTGTTTCTCCATGCGAAAATCAGAAGATATCTTGCCCTAACTGTAAGAACCCCCTTTTCTTGAAATCAACCTCAAATTTGTGTTTTAGATTTCTGTTGAGGACAAGTTGCCGAAAATGATTTGTGAAGACTGTTATAAGAAACTAGATGGATTCCACAGGTTTGCAACCATGGCTCTTAGGAACCAAGACAAAATGACCAAATTCGTATGCACAACCAGTAGTAACGTTCTCGAGCAGAAAAATATAGAAAATAAATCTTTGCTGCACACGTACCTAACCAAAGTAAGTCCATACGCTGCATGTTGTCTTTCCCTCCAAGCGTCATTTCAGGGAATCAAAGAAAAAGAAATCCAACCCGAATCAGAAATAACCGAAATGGAAGTCCGAGTCGATCCTATGATGATCCTCCAGTGCTCTCTAGAAACCGAAGAGGACGACGAAGACGCAGACAGAAGTGACGCGGCATCGGACAGTGAAGGACACGTGCAAAGTGAAAACTGTGTCAAATACAACAAACCATATCTATGTCCCACGTGTCCCAGAAGTTTCACTTCAGAACTTGCCCTGCAGAATCACACCTGGAGCCACTCGCCACACACTAAACGAATATTGAACAGCCACGACAACTGGATGGAACAAGAAGTAGACGAAGAGAAAGAGACTGAAGAAAACGATGCTTCCACAAACAACGAGGACGAAGACAACACCGAGGAATTTGCAAACTCCAAGTTTTCCTGCCCAATTTGTGGCAAAGCGATTTCGACAAAAGGTAACTTGAAAGTGCACCTGGAAACGCACAGACCTAAAGGAAAATACGGTTGTGATATCTGCGGACGAATGTAAGTCCGACATGTCGTGTTATCCAAAATAACGCGACTTTTGTAGATTTAAAACGCAGTGTAATTTGTACAGACACAAAGAGTATCACGGAGGTATCCAGTATCCTTGTGGGGTCTGCGGTAGAGTGTATCCCACAAACAGCACCTTGCGGGCCCATTCTATCACTCACAGCGACCTGCGACCCCACAAGTGTCCCCTATGCGACAAGACATTCAAGAGGAATCAAGATCTTAAAGTAAGTTGATTGAAAGAAAAAAAACACTACTAATTCGATTTTAGTTTCATATAAATCAGCATACTGGTGCTCGGCCGTATCAGTGTCCGTACTGTCCTAAGGCTTTCGCGAGTTCAGGTAACTGTTTTTCCCACAGAAAAAGGATGCATCCCATCGAAGTCGAACGAGACAGGGAGAGGGCGGCGAAAATTATGAGATAATTGAGCCGGGATTTGAATAGGTGCAATTTTTAAGAGACCCGAAGTCCGCCTGACGAGGTAAACAAGTGAGGTTATGTTCTGTTTTGTCAAAAAATGTTGTAAAAAAGCTATCATTGTATGTGTGTATAGATAACCGGGTGTCATATTCAAAATTATAGAATCTACTTTCACATAATCTAATAATCTGCATTAATTTTTCTGATTTGCGGATTATGTTTCGTTGTGGATTACGCCTTTTAGAAGTCCACTTGGTGTTTAGACTTTGATCTGTCCTCGAAATAGAATATTTTTGGATATAACCCCACTTGGTACTTTTCTTTCGTAAACAACAAACATTTTTACCTTCTCTCTTATTATAGTAGATCAACTGTGATGAATTTTGTATACGATTTTTTATTTTTATTGATATTACGTAGACAAAATGAATGTCAAGCTGTGTGGTAGAAAAATTAATGTCATTATTTACATAGCAATAAAATCATTTCTATGGAGAGTCACAGTACTGACAAAAAAGGTGACAATTTTTAGTTACTAGTATAACAATGGCTGAAACTTACAGTATTATATTGTAATATTAGATGACCGTGTAAATACAGTTGTTGAATAAAGGACATTTTAAAACGAAGTGGCATTTTTTTTCGTAATTATGTAAATTATGAGTATTTGAAAAATCCACTTGGCACGTCACGTAACGCATTCGAATTTGACTTTCTAAAAATGGCAAGGATACATTCCTGTCTACATGACAGAGATATTCGTCGTGACATCGCGCACTGTTCCCGTAACGCAAAAAACCTTATCAGAAACTTCATCTCGCGAAAAGTCAATTTATGTTGATACCTATGTTTTCATCGTAAACAGTGTTTGCACAGATCAATATAAAACTACGAATTATATAGTAAAAGATTATTTTAATTTTCAGTAATACTGGTCACGGCACCAAAAAGACGAAAAGCGTAATTATGCGTTATTTTGTGGTCTCTGTGGTTTCCCCCATTGCCAGTGATTTAATACATCTTTCTGGGTGTTTTATTCTGAAGTCATCACTCTTGTATCCATCCGCTCTTCCCTGTATTGTTCTTGTGGTTAGAATAAATTTAAGATACGCCGCCACAAAAAATAACATTTATTTTTACTCTAGTTGCAGGAGTTTTCGCGTAAAAACCATTAACTACAGTTGAACACCCACTCTTGTCAATTTCATGATTTGAGCGTAAATTAGTTTAATAATTAAGAAACTGAAAACACACTCAATATGTCCTAGTTTACAGTTTTCTCATCATCTGACATTAACCAATCGAGGTCAGTAACAAGAATAGTGGTTCTACACAAATGTTTTTATTTTTTGTGGAAAGTATTCCAGGCGAACGAACAGACAGTGCAGATAAGATGCGCACACAAAAACATGATAAAATAACAAGGAAAAAAGAATAAATATTTACTCCAAGTCGCGGTTCTAGAAATTCGGACACAAAGTTAAAATGTAATAAATAACAACTATGAGTTAAGAGAGGTCAAAGCATAGAGCACCTCGCTCGTCTGTCTGATTAAAAATAATAATAATAATGATCCTGGTAAGCGAGAAGCTTAATACTGTCTCTTAAACAATTAAACAATATAAGAAATTACACTTTGATAAGTTTTACTGGCAAACAAATATAATAAAAGCATTTGCAACAATAAAACGACACTATAATCCCGGCCAATGAGACAAAAGAGTGGTTTTATTTCGGGCGCTTATTGGCTGCCGCGAATTTAAATCCTGGCGGGTACTTCAAGAGTCTTCTGTCTTCGTCTGAATGCGCGACGACAGATAAGCGATAGCAGTCCGACAGCGCAAAACTAGCCTACTTCTATTCCAGTAAAATCGGGGATAAAAACACTTCGTGTGCGATAGTGTGCGTTTTTAAACGGCGTTTCGATAATTTTTCCTTAAATCGGCGATCTACGGTAGTCGTAATGCTATGATGCCCTTGCATTGACCTCCGCGGTGATCAATATTTCTACTCAACACGCTTGTACACTATAACTAAATAATATTTGATCGACGAGTGTAAGATTTGAGCGGTTTACAATTTTAGTAGCGCATTCGAACTCAGCTTGCACAGATGACTATCAACCGTACGAAACAGCAAATTTATTTGAACTTGTGCTAGCGTTGCGAAGTCGGACCTACAGCAAACTTCGAAAATGACAGAGCGAAGGTTAGGACAAAACGGAATCGTGCAGCCGCTACTTACAGGTAAAATTTTTTTTATTAATTGAAAGTACGCCTTAAATGAGTTCTTTGCAAAAGGAAGTGATCCTTGGACTGCGGGCATTTATACGTTTGTGGTATTTTCCTCGTTTTTTGGGTGGCAATTTGAATTTACTCGCGCTATACGAGCGCGCGAAAATTATTAAACTTTTTCACGCAACGTGTTTTTGCACGGTTTTTGTAATAAATGTTGAGTCATCGCAAAATTTAGAGCAGTTGTTGTAAAACGTTGTTTAAGCACAACTTCAGATTTTATCATTTGCACATACAAACAAATATTTTTTTTCAAGGATGTTTTCATTAAATGTGAGATAATGCGTCAAATTAATTATAATCTGATAACAAGAACTAAACGAACTTTATTTGCGACGTCGAGGAAATAAGTTTTGCGATAATTGGAATTAATAAACTCGCTAAAAATAGTTTATTCGTTTTGATAATCCATATTTGCAATTAGTACTTATCAAAATTGCACAGAATGAGGGATTCCCCTATCTATGGAGTTGTGAAAGTACGTGCATTGCCGCAAATATCTACGTCGTACATGCACTCCACACCGGTGCAAATGGTAATTAACATATTGTGTTGACCAAAGCGATCGCCTTGCGTAAAATTAACCTCATTAATTCAAGACTAAAAATATTGACTGTATCGTCTTCAATTGCGACAAGCAAACCAAGGTTATTCACCCCGCAACAAATTTGCACTGCATTGTACAGCGCGAATTATTCCATTTCGAATTCTATTATTACTACTATTACATCATTATTAAAAAGTCATCCCTTGGAGTTAAATCAAACTCCACCAGATACTGTAGGTATTCCTAGTATCATCATAACCATCTGCAAAGGTCTAGATAGATACCGGAAAAAATTTTCGTAGAGCCACTAATAAAGGTCAAAAAAACAAGACACATGTGTCCACCGCATACTGAGTCTAGCACGGAGGACACATTTTTCGCGAATCCATAAAAAAAATTCCGGGTACCTGATGTTACGTTACTATTATTATTATTATTGGCAGATCTCTATCAAATAACCATGGCCTACGCGTACTGGAAGTCGGGCAAGACAAAGGACTACTCCGTGTTCGATCTTTTTTTCCGTAAGAATCCATTCCAGGGGGAGTTCACGATCTTCGCCGGCCTGGAAGAATGTTTGAAATTCTTGGAGAAGTTTCACTATTCTATTAGCGGTATGTCGTGTGGTCCTTACGATACTAGTGTCGTAATCGTTCGTTTTAGACATCGAATACTTGAAGCAGACTTTGCCGTCTAATATAGAAGAAGAGTTTTACGAATTTCTGAGCTCCGTGTCTGCGAAAGACGTAACATTGTATGCTATTGCGGAAGGGTCCGTTGCATTTCCCAGGTAACCGTAAATAATTTAGTTGATGCAAACTAGTTTTTAAGGCGGGAGGATTGCAGAGTGCCGCTTATGAGAGTTGAAGGTCCCTTGATCATAGTGCAACTGCTTGAAACGACGTTGCTGACTTTGGTGAACTACGCAAGGTAATTTGTTGCGAAATGGGTTTGTAATAGTGTTTCGAATCAATTCGAAAATCGATAAAAATGAAGTATTTTTAGTTATGATTAATTTCAGTTTGATGGCCACAAATGCTGCTAGGTACCGCATGGCAGCAGGGAATATGAAACTGTTCGAGTTCGGTTTGAGGAGGGCGCAAGGACCCGACGGAGGTCTTTCAGCGTCAAAATATTCCTATATAGGTATGATTTATTAGGTATAAATAAGTATCAAGAATTACTTTATGTTGTTGTTTGGTACCAGGCGGTGTGAACTAATACAGGTAGCACAATCAATACCGAATTGCAGATAACCGTCAAGTTTAACAGGATTTCTGGCAACTTATTAACTTTTACCGTGCCATCTGAATTGCCTGGCACCATTTAATGCGCGATCCACACGAATTGCTCGCACACGTTTGATTAATCACCCTCTAGTGCGCCCCTATTATGCCCTTAATCTTAACAGTACAATTGGCTCGCACGCACGACCTTGATTTTTCCCAAATTGCGTTGCAGGGGGATTCGACGGTACCAGCAACGTATTAGCCGGCAAACTCTTCAATATCCCGGTGAAAGGGACACACGCTCATGCATACATTACGTCTTTCAACGGATTCACGGACCTCCGCAACACCAAGCTGGAACCTAAAGCCGGCGGCGAACCGAGAGACCTCCTCCAGCTGGCCCTCGCCTGGAGAACCGACTTGGTTCCCATTTTCAAGGTTGTGGCTTCCGAGGCGAGCGACGGAGAAATGGCTGCGCTGATTTCGTTTGCTATTGCATTCCCTGATGGATTTATGGCTTTAGTTGATACGTATGACGTTAAGAGGTATTCCTGTCGCATGACCCACGCCACCCCCGTGTGGCCTGTCACTCTGCCCAACACCCAATCGCATAACGAGTACAGGTAACCACTTGGACCAGTTTTGGGTGCATGCCACCAAGGGGCTAGATCATTTCAGCTGCCACCAACAGACATCGATGCGCCATCATACCACCCAGACAGCATACACCAGGCCTGAACCCAAAACCTATCGAATCACCAAATCATTTCTTGTTTTTATAGTTTCATAGATAGCCCACTATGGTCGCGTGGGAGTGGATCCAGAGCCAACTTTTTCCGCAACGAAACGTAAGATACAGCTGTAATTCTCTTAGTGTTTACAGACTCTGGATACTGTATTTCTTCTCTCTGCACGATGGAATGTCTTACTGTTTCAGACTTTTATACGTATAGGTGGACTTCTTCAATTTAGAATAGATGCATCAAATGTCATTTTAGGGTTTTAAAAATTTCGTAAAAATCATAGCACTATTTAAGGGGACGCTTTAGCATTGTGGTTGGTAGTTCATGTCTGGTGTATCATATCTGTTTTATTTTAATTGCGTTATGTGGATTGATACAGCGATATCTGTGTTGTTGATGGGTCACAACTAAAAACCAGCAGAAATAATAAACCTGTGCTGGGTATGCGGGGTATGTACTCACTCGCACTAACGTGCACCGAAGTAAGCTTTTTGTGATGCAAAATTGTAATTTTCCACTTTGTTTCAATACGTTTCATTTGGAATGAGAGGTAAATTAGTGAAAGCATGGCAAAGTATCTCCCATTTCTATCATTAGGATTTCTCGCCACTACACTCGTCTCTCTTTTAGGAGTGGCCTTCTTAATTTTTGCTCAGTAGCGCTAGCATTAAACGAGTTAGGATATAGAGCTGTTGGAATCCGTTTGGATAGTGGCGATTTGGCTTATTTGTCTAACGTTGCTCGCCAGTTCTTCAGTGAAATCAGCGAAAAATACAACATTCCATGGTTTCAAGACTTGATGATAATGGCTTCCAATGATATTAACGAAGAGACTATTCTCAGCCTGAATGAACAAGGACATAAAATCAACTGCTTTGGTATCGGTACCCATTTGGTCACCTGTCAGAGGCAGCCTGCTCTAGGTTGCGTTTACAAACTAGTCGAATTAAATGATCAGCCTAGGATTAAGCTTAGTCAAGACGTTGCTAAAGTTACCCTGCCTGGACGCAAAGACGCTTACAGACTATACAGTGAGAGTGGACATGCTCTTGTCGATTTACTCCAAAGGTCTGACGAATCGCCGCCAGCCATTAATGAGAAAGTTTTATGCCGACATCCTTTCATTGAGTCGAAAAGGGCATACGTCATTCCTTCAAGAGTAGAAAAATTGTTAACAGTATATTGGAAGGACGGTGCTATTTGTCAGATGTTACCAGATCTTCAACAAATAAAAGAAGGCGTGCAGACATCTTTGAAAACTTTGAGGCCTGATATTAAGAGAAACCTGAATCCGACTCCTTTCAAGGTTAGTATTTTCTAATCGTGAAACAAGAAGGGAGGTTATTTGGTATTTGTGGTTTTTTCAGGTTGCCGTTAGTGATTGCCTGTACACGTTTCTTCATAATCTGTGGCTAGAGAATGCTCCAATTGGAGAATTGTCGTAAGACGGCAGAGATGCGGGCTGCCTACTTAGGAGCGTAATAGTCACACTTTAATGCTTTATACATATACCTAGTACAAATTTTATGTCCACTCATGTTACACCTATTTAATAAAAAAAGCACAGGAGGACTTGTCACGTATCTTGGCTGTGAGTTGTATTATTTTATTGTTGTTTACAAGCTTCTAGTTGCACAGAGAAGCGACTGTAGCTGCTACTTAAAAACAATGTATTTTATTAACAATTTACAGAAGTAGCGCAAACGCATCGATTTCACGCATATTTATACCCACTTTCCCAAATTGTAGAAAATACTAAGTACTTACAGATGTAAAACTGTTGGATTATTTTATACTGCAGTTTATACCGATATTTTTATAATTTCTGTTATATTACAAAAACAACACAATATTTTCTAATAAAGTATGAAAAGTCAGCAGTAAATTTACTTACCTGGCCTGCAATAAAATTAGCCACATTTGAAGTTTTTCCGCAAAGTTGGCGTGATAGGTGGCGCCACCTTCCCCTCACACGTTGAACTAGTATGACTCATCCACCTATGTGGCGAATAATACATCTACATAGCAACGATAAAGATGGTTAGATGCGAGTTCATTGAACTAGAAAAGGACAAAAGACACGACGTGTGAAATCATGGCCGATGTGTAGAATTACCGAATGGTTGCGTTGCGAAGTGATAGCAGTGGCAGCCGCCCAGTGTTTGTTGTCAGCTGCAAAGTTTTGGTTAAGATTCGAAAATAACAGTGTCCAAGCTGTATTGTTTTGTGTGAAAAATTTTACTTTATCGACTTAAGGTAAGTGTTTTTAATTTTGTCAATTCAAAAGACTCGACGTAAGTCTTTTGTTTTGACTGTACAATTGCCGGCTTTTCTATTTTCCGGATCTGGTTATCTTCGATCCACGAATCGTATAAATAACGTTGTTTGAAGCGTTTCCGTGACGGGAGCGTGGATAATTCCCAAATATTCCCTCTTTGTGTCAACAGATCATGGTTAAATTTGATCACTGTCACATTATGAAGCTTGATTCATGCTGAGATTGACATCACTTGTGATTCATCTCAAATTGTCATTTATTCTGACATTGACATTTCGAGTCAGAACTTATTGGAAGCAGTGCCCTTATTTTACCGTTTACGTAACCGATGATTTGTGAGAATCGCGATTGCCTTTTTTGGCTAAATCAGGCCAATGATTTGTATACAGAGAAAGTGTGATCACTTTTATCCACAACAATTTGTTAATAACCGTTCAATTATAGGTGGATTAAACCGCTCCTAAAAATCGAATACATTTCATTGATGACCTGTGGGTGTATTGTTCGCAGACCAAATAACCGTTCCTTTTTTTTAATTATAAATATTTACCAAAAAACTGTAACGAAATTAGAACACTATGAAATTTATGCAACGGTGTAATTGTGTATCGTATAATCTGCCAAAAATATGTGGGCGTTTTCAAGTTCTGATAAACAACTACATTTGCCATCAGGGGACAATATTTTATAGCATTTTATTTTTTGAATCAGAAATATTCCACACATTTTTTAATTGACCATGCTTACCCATATTTCGCGAGATTGGCTATTTTTAGCACGTTCATCAATTTGAATATCGTTTCATAAATAGCGCAACTATAAATAGACGCCATCGCTGTGTTATTGTGGATCATCACACTAGATTATTTTTAACAAAACAAAAATATTTTATTCATTTTCGACTTTCCGATCTTTTCTTTGTATTGGACAGGTTGCATGATGTACATTTTTCTTTCGATATGACACAAGATGTTTTGACTTTTTTGTTTTTTCAATTTTATGGTGAATTTAGTTGTTTTCGTAGCAATCATAGTCCGCCACGTAAGGTGTTAGTTTGACCTTTGTATTATATTCCTCTTTTCGACAAGGCGGCAAAGTATTCTCTATGACAATAATTTGTACACTTTTGTAAAAATTTTGTTCCGAATGTGGGTCAGGTGGTGTACGTACGAAAGAGAGCACTAAGCAAACATGCGTTTGCACATGCAGTTAGTTTTTTATGACGCATACTCTGCTGAGTAAACGAATAAATATGTTAACAAAAAGTTAGATAAACTAGAAAATGGCAGTAAAAGTTAATCTAAATGAGAAATTGTTTGCATATGCGGTCTGTTTTCTGCGTACATAAACCGTCGGAAATTTGATAAGGATTAAATGGATCACAATTTGCAGACCACACATCACACAACCACAGCAAAGCAAAATTAGCTTAGAGGTAAACCAACAAAGAACGAAGTTTGCTCCAGGGTAATTTAACGTTACAGGAGATATTCTTGGCGAAAAATTCATTTAAGTAGAAATTTGTCGACGAAGTGGCGACATCACTCTATATCTAGCAGCGGACTAGTATCAATTAACAATCCCTATTGTGTGTGTTTCTATGAAACTTTTTTTTTCGCATGGCTGACTGACCCATTGTCGGTTCTGTTGATATAGCGGCGGTCAATAATTGCAGATCCTTTTGTTCCCTAAGGCCACTTTTATGTGAAGTACGTGGACTGGAAATATCCCCAAGTGTCCAAGATACAAGCCGGATTTGTATTTGTCAAGGAGGCATAAAATCGGGTAATGAGCATTCCGGTGACATGGGGGTGCCTCGAATCGGCACGTGATTTTTCCCGTAGCGGTGCGACCCCGTCTTGCCCCCCGAACGCAGGTTCATTTCTGTTCGGCGACGAACGGTAGAACAAAGAGAGAAAACAAATAGTTGCACGATCTTGTTCCGTCGAATTTCGTCGTGCCAGGGATGCCTTTTGCTCGTAATACGGAATTGAGTGCGTGCTCGTATTGTGGGTTAGCGGATGAAGAATTTTGTAGGACAGTGCCGAAATGTGGTTGTGGAGGGTTGACGTTTGACAGTGCGGGCCGCCATCTGCCGCAGTTTGTCTATGTTATAAATTGATTGATGAAATGATTTTAGTGCGGTGAGTAGCGAGACAAAGGCAAGTTTCCGGCGCGGTAAGTCGGGAAGTGTGTTAGGGTTGGAATACCGTGCGATACCTCCGTCCACATGATTAATAGATGATTTTTCCCCGTGGCCTTTTGGGGGGATGCATCTCGGCTGGATCGATCTGCGGATGCGTGCTGTAGTTTTGAAATAGTATCTTCGCCGTCGCCGAAATTTTTGCGGAAGTAAAATTGTGTACGTATCGTTTTTGCGTTGGTCGTCTAGGGCGCGGTTTGCAAGGCGCAGGAACTGTGCTGTCCTACAAAGCAGGACGAATAACCCCCGTTTCCTCCAGATCCCCACCAGGATCAGGATGTTCATCTCGCGTGTGTGATGCTCCGTCGCGTTATGACCAGTCACAGTGCACCATGGAATACTGATCCCTACATCGTGTCCCCATGTTCTCCAAGTGTTGCTGGTGCAGGAGCAAGTCGAACAACGAATCAATGCCGACAGATGCGGGGAAAAAGTGCGATACGCCGAACGCGAGCAAAAACAACGAGCTCCCGATCCTCGACAATGTGATCCGGAACGCCAAAAGCAAGAGCACCTCCGACGGTTCGGACGTTAAGATCGAGGTCTCCGACAACGACGACGAGGTGTTCTGCGAGGGCGTCGGGCCCGCGGTCAAGCTGGCCGACAATTTGGGGACGTGTAGAGGACACACGCCGCTCCCGACGTGGTTCAGGGAGTCCTCGGACGTCGAAACGGCAGACTCTGAGGCGCCGGCGACACCTCCTGCTACGCCGGTCGGCAAAGACGAGTTGGCTCTGAGGAGACACAGGCTATTTTCTGAAATCATAGACCTGACGCAACACGCCGCCGAACATAAGGTCAAATTTGATCCCTTCGGGCCCGTAATTGCTGGAGGTGAGATTTAAAAATACACGTACGCCGCAGGACTTTAATGTCAGAATGACGAGTTTCCTTACACGGGTCAGGTCTCAGACACGCGGTGACACGAAAATGGATATCGCCAAATTCGGTATTTAGGTGGCCGTTTTCAACAAAAAGTGTCGCGGAAACCGGCATTTAAAAAATTTGCTAAATGATTTGCCAATGACGTCATCAGATTTTTAAGTACGGGTAATTACGTTTTAGTATTCGTAGCGTAACCCACAGCGAATTAGCGTTTATAAAATTTCAAGGAATTCAAGGAAATCCTCTGTATAAGAGATAAATAAATCTTCCGCGAACTATCTTCCAATAGTAAGGCAAGAGCACTAAAGTAAAACAACACAGGATCTGAGGCGATGTATTTAGTTAATTTTTTGAGATGACATCAGTTGCCTTTACAGGATGAATAAACAAAAAACTTGTGTTTTTGTATAATAGGTTGCCAATAGACACACGGAAACAGGAAACGTCACAGAAACCACGAATTTAGCGTCTCTATCGCGATACCTACTCTAACCAGTAGCTAAATATGATCGTGGCATAGGGTTGAGTCGAAAGGAAACCGAGGGAATTATCGGATGCTGTTAATTTTCTCCAACTCGGCGAAATAAAATTTATAAAAATTGTTCAACTGAGATAATTAAAACGAAAATCCACGTTTCTTTCATCTTCCACGAATCCGCTACATCTGTAGGGCTTTCGTTTAAATTACTAATTTGTAAATGTTTACTGTTTGTTGTAAGCAATGAAACGTAAAGTGACATCACCCTTTACGTGAGTAATTTTGCGTTGCTGCTGACATGTTTTTTAAAACTTGGGGCAGTGTTCTGTTGGTTTACATAGGATTTGATTTTCGCATTTCACAATCCCTTTGTGTTGTTGGCAGTAAGCCCTTTCGAATTTACCTCGCTAAACACACAAATTAGAACATTATTCCACCGAATCAACATAAATAGGTTAAGCTTGTGCGTATTAAAAATTGATAGCAGTTATTTCAGACGGAAAATCTGTTCTTTGAAATTTGCTTAACGCCACTCTATCAATCATGTTGTCAGAGGAAGAAGTGTGGGCGGTTATCCTTGGTTTATTGAATTTCCTTATCTTGTGTATCTTGCTTTTCTGTCGTTTTAAATCAAAGCATAGCTTATCTAAAACGAAAAGTAGCCATAAAAGGAGCAATAATTATTAATTATACTGTCACTTTTAAAAAATTGCAGATTGATTGTTCTGTAATCTTGATAATATTCCTATTAAAACGAGATGAAGTAAATCATTTTGCTTTTTATGAGGTAGTTAATCATAGCTTACGTGTGTAGATAGATGCGTTGCGGTTGGTTCAAAAATTCCGCATCACGCGTAACCCGCCGGATCTCTGCTCTCTTTTTAATAATGAGACAAAACGCGTCACTTTTCGACCGCGCGTAGTTTATATGCACATACTATTTCGTACGGAAGTTGCAAGGTAGATATCATATATAAATAAAACGATAGTGGTTATTGGAATTGGATCGCCGCGTGCAGAAAAATGGTTGTGAAACGATTATTTAGATAGAAAATCTAAACCTTGCGCACCAAAACTGAAAAGTGGAAAACATTTGCCAACGCATTCCAAAAATACCGATTTGCTCATCTTTGCAAAACATTTTCAGTTTTATAGTGGACGCATTGCTAAAACATCGTTTTCAACATCGACGGTATTTGTAAGTTTTGAAACGTCTATTATTTTATTAATGAAAAACTGTCGCCTGGAGCGGTTTACGTTTTAGGTGTATTTTTAGTTTGTGTGGTGTTGCGGTTTTTCATCCGTTAAAACTTGGATCACACACGATTGGAGAATAATTATCTCGTGTTTATTTTCTAAGTGACAGCGTCAAGTGTTTTAAAAAAACGAGACACGTACTTATCTGATAAAGCGGTGTTGATAATATAGTTAGGATACCTAATTTGGGAAACTCGGGGAGTAAATCACCAAATTATATAACCGTTGTCGTAGTTACTTGATCTTCATCCGGTTTCGTTTCTGTAGATTCATCAAATTGGATTAATTTCAGGTCCAGATGACAGCTGCCTGCGTAGTGACTTGGAAGAGCTAATTACAAGACTAGAGTCAGTTACTTCTCGTTTAGAAAAAGTTTGCCTTCCAATCGAACACTTGCTGTAAGTCCGTACTATCCAACTAAGCCAATCTCTACTCTTTTTTTCAGTAGTAACTTTAGGAAAACTAGTACACCAGAAGAAATAAACATGAGTGTCCAAGGCTTCACAGACATCATTCAGGGACCACTAGCACAATACCTCCAAATATCACAACAAATCGGTGGCGACGTAGGCCAACATAGTCAACTAGTCCACAACGCCTTTCAAATGCAGTTGCAATACTTGACTATAGCTAGTCAGTCCAAACAACCGAGTCAGCCGGAAATCATCAACCTTCTAAAACCGACGAGTGATCAGATTAGTGCAATACAAGATTTTCGCGAGAAAAATCGTACGTCCAAATTTTTCAACCATCTGTCGGCCGTCAGCGAAAGCATACCGGCGCTGGGATGGGTCACCGTGAGTCCCGCACCCGCCCCCTACGTCAAAGAAATGAACGACGCCGGTCAGTTCTACACGAACCGCGTCCTCAAGGACTGGAAGGAGAAAGATAAGAAACACGTCGACTGGGTGAAAGCGTGGCTCCAATCGCTGAGTCAACTTCAAGCCTTCGTTAAACAACACCACACCACGGGGCTGATTTGGGCCGGAAAGGGGACAGCCGCACCACCCCCGCCGCCACCCGGATGCCCGCCGCCGCCGCCGGTCCTCGACTTCTCGGCCGCCCCGAGTGCAGGCGGCGACGCCGACAGGTCGGCCTTATTTGCTCAAATTAACCAGGGGGAAAATATCACTAGAAGTAGGTTGAAAAGGTTTGCAACGCCATTTTGATTGATTGGGCTTGTTCTTGCAGATTTGAAGAAAGTTACGTCTGATATGCAGAGCCACAAGAACACGGCCTTGCGGGAGGGTCCAGCGCCTTTTAAGGCGCCCGAGAGGGCCGGTGGGATTGGGTCTGGACTGGATAAACCGCCGAATTTCGTGAGGGAAGGGAAGAAGTGGCTTATCGTAAGTAAAGTACGGAGGGGTAGAGATCGGAAGGTTAATTTTTTCTTGTAGGAGTACCAAAAAGGGAATCATAATTTGTTGGTGGATAATGCGGAGATGAACAACGTGGTGTATTTGTTCAAGTGCACGGATTCTACTGTCGTGATTAAGGGGAAGATCAACTCCATCACGTTAGATTCGTGTAAGAAGACTTCGGTAGTTTTCGACAGTCTGGTGTCTTCTATGGAGTTTATAAATTGCCAGTCGGTGCAGATGCAAGTACGTTTGTCAAATTTGACTGACGGCGAGTTATAGCGTTGTCTTTTAGGTGCTTGGTAAAGTTCCAACAATATCAATAGACAAGACGGACGGTTGCCAAATGTACTTGAGTCCTGAATCGTTAGATGTGGTAATTGTCAGCTCCAAGTCATCAGAAATGAACGTCCTTGTACCTAAAGGAAACGGCGATTATGTAAGTATTGTTGGTTGTTGCTAGGACTAAATTTGATTGTTTTCCATCTTCCGTAGACGGAATATCCAGTTCCTGAGCAATACAGAACCACGGTAGTTCCAGGACAGGGCCTCAATACCACCATAGTGGAGAATAAAGGCTAAACCCGTTTATATCTGACTTAGATTATAATTAATTTTTCACATTTAAGCAATTTTATACATAAATTTGTAAATTCGTACTTCCCTTATCTACCGCTATATGATAAGCAATATTTAATTATCGGTTGTGGATTTATATCAGCGCGGTTTTATAGAGATGACGTGATTCAATCATGGGTTTACCTCATCAATAATTTAGTTAATTTAAATTATGTCTATGCCTTCATTAAATAACAGCTTTCTAGTTCAAATGGTTTTTATTCAACCCCGACGCAAACTTCTGATAGTTTTTCAGGCCAAGGTCGGACGGTGCTGCAGGGAGCGTTGTCCTTGACACAAACAGTTAACTTATAACCACGTTTCACTCTTACTACAAACTTTTATAACTCCCCTGCAGCATTTCTCCGAGTTTGGATGAAACCCAGGAAGTATCTATCCCTTGGCTCCTTATTTCCAAGTTAAGAACACATCAGGATGTTCAGTGGGTGAACACTTCCAATACTTACCTTTCGAACGGTACGCCACTGGAATAATTTGACAGCTACGGATCGCCTTTTACGAAAGGCGGTACAGCTGTAGTTCGGATCAATTTTGGAGCTAGTGGCGGGAATTAAAAAAAGGCTTTCACATTTTATGATTTTTATTAAAGAGAACACAAATAAAAATATGACAATGGTCATTCTCTTCAACTGGTGATGAAAGAATATGGCACAAAAGATGTCCGAGCATCGCATTAAAACCACGTAACAAACGCATAATAAATCAGTATGAGTAATAACAAAAATCTCACTAATATGTCAAGGAGAGGTGAGAGATTAGTTACCAAACGGGTGGTATAAATGTGAAAGAGCCATTACGCCTAAATGGTGCTTTCACAGTGGATACTTAAAAAGCTACAGTAAAATTATTGTAGAAGTAGGGTTAATACTGTCAAATGAAACAATATGAAAATAGAAAATTTTCAAATAAACTAAATACGCTATGACTTACTCTTGAGAGTATTCTAAATTCCTAGCACAGCCATTATTGGTATACTCTACCATAAAGCTTTTTTTATATGCACACCCCACAGATCATGTTAGAAACCTTCCACCATGCACAGTTATACCATTCGATATTCACAAATAATTCTACAGCATTGCTCCTGATAAAAAATTTTAAACCAGTCCTTCAGTATTGTCACAGACAATAAATCACCTTATCGACAAAGCTACATTTAAAAAACCTAACATAACATCACAATCCTTATCACCTCTTCTAAATTCATTCCCTTGTTTCATTTTGGACAGAACTCGAGTCCATCTTACTGGCATAGCAGTTTGTTTTTGAACGATAAATAATGATGTGCAAGGAAATAGCAGATTTGTCAAGAGCTGTGATTCCTAGCCGATGCCAGGAAGATGGATAAAACAAGAAAATTACAAAGTACGATTAAAATATTTAATTCAACGGGACCCATTTCCAAAGGTTGAACGGATCCCTTTGAATTTCGATGATTTATCTACATGTTAGTCCACCGAATCGGGTTTATCCATAAAGCAACCCAAATGCTGCTCACAAAGTATTGTCGGGGTAAAAATTAACAACGAAACAATCATCCTTCAAAAGGAATAACAATCTAATTCGAAATAATGAGATCAACATGCAAACACAAAATTGCACGTACGACTAAGTCGGGAAATACCTTAGGACTTAAACAATAAATAGTTAACTCTTAAAATCGAATTCTCAATCTCTAGCTCGTTGACGCGTCCTTCCAAAGTGCTAACTCTAGTCTTCAAGAAGTCGACCTCTTTGTGGACAGCCACCATCAAGTGAGTCTTCACAGCGTCCTAAACAAAAAACCACCACTACTGTTACGTGTCTGCCACACCGACACGATTACGTAACGCATCCCTTAAAACAAAAAACTCACCAAAGCTTCTTCGATCTTCCTATCAATGTTGTTGTTGTTGGGAGCAGACCTACATAAAAAAACCAATTAACCCACAAATTTTTCGGCCTACGTGCGATCAACCAAAGCAGTGCAGACCACCCGATGCACTTACCCCACGAACTTTTTTATAAAGCAATACACGGCGAACACCGTCGCTTCGTTAAAATCGTGGCTAGGCAAAACTAAAGGCAAATCTTCTTCGGAGCCCTTTAAAGGGCTCTCCACAAGTTCGTGGTGTTCTGTCGTCATTAGTTCAAGCAGAAAATTGCATGTTGCGGTAACCTTTATATTACTGCGTCTATTCGACTGTATCGATTCACTTTTGACGCCGGCGTTCTGACTTTCTTAAGGTCTTTCTGGCCGGCGCGCACGTTTCTGAACGCAGCAAAGAGCACAACAAACACGATTTGCCGCCAAACGACGAACCTTCAAAACCCGGCGACGAACCACCACCGGCCGTCTCGAAGCAAACTAAACCACTAAGGAAAAAACGTAGCTGCAACGTACGTCCGAAAATAAAAGATAAGTGCGCTTCGCGCATCAAAAATCGGGACTCGCGTCACCTTTCTAACCTCAGTCCCGATTTTTGACGAGCGAAAATGAGTGCAAATTTAGCTGTGCAACAGCCGCCTACACCATTTCTAACTTTCGTGCCACACACCAAACGAGATCACTTCACGGATACAGAAAACGAAGAAATTTGTTATTACAAACGCCCCCAAGTAGCACACGTGTTTTAATGCCAGAGTGAACTACTGTCACCACAACTCAAAATAAGAAACAACAATTACTCACAATACAGTTACAAGGTTTATTATCACAAAATAACTCACTATCGTGCCAAAATCACAAGTGTTTTAAAAATTAAATAATAAAGAAAAAACTGAAAAAATAAAAATAATTCACATAAAAACATGCAGTCTTCTCGAACTTAATAATAAACTCAAACCATTAAAATGTAACACAATGAAGAAATCAAATAAAGTTTTACTTTATTTAGGCGTGAAACGTTATCCTTTGCATTTTGTTGGGAAAATTGAATGTGCAAAAGTTAAAATTTCACTAAACCTTTAATAAAAGAACTTAAAATAAAATAACAAAGAAAATAACGCATTACTGCTCCGTATCACACACCAACCTGAAATAAATCAAGACCTTGTAACTATACGAATTAAAGTCGCGTCATCCTTGGACGTCAATCGTGTATCTGTGCTAAATACAAGTGATAACCGTCGAGTTAAATGTCAAAAAAAGATCCAATTCATTTGTGATTACTTGATTAGTAACAAATGGAAGAACCGGAGCATCGTTCCGATTTGATCGAGATTCGCGGATCGCGTCCCGGGATGATTCGATTACGAGTTCTCTTGATCACAGGGAATTTATTAAATAATAATGGCAAAAATCAAGCAGACGGCACTCAGCATGCAAAAATATGTAAATAACTTACCCCGAATTTGAAGCTGGCATTGACGTTAAGGCAACTTTTATGTCAGACAGAATATCGTCCTGAAATAATGAGCATTATCACAAAGCGTGTACAAAGACAAATCGCAAATTATTCCTTTTGTAAAGTGTAATAAACAACTAATTTAAGAAACGAATTTCAAATAACGCCTACGCCTTCCGCTCTCCAAGTCTGGTCGCCAAGCAACACGGATTTTCAGTTCGACTGTCAGCAAACACCTCTCAACGACATTAATTAGATTAAATTTTGGATTAAGTTAATTAGATTAGGCTCCGATTTCCCGATTATTGCCAACTGAAGCAATTTCAGGGTATTGTCAACAAAACGTCTCATAGTTTGCTTTACGAGTCATTATTGAGATATTACGCCTCCGTGAGCAAATACCGGACACTTGTATCTTGTCAATAGTAACAGGAAACGTTCTCACACTATTATAATCCCATTCTGTTTGTTACGCAAACACGGGTAACAAATGACGAATTTATGGTACTTATCTATCGGGACACAATTTTACACTATCGCGATTTTTACCAAGGTTACTTGTATAACCCTTCTGTAAGATAACCCGTAACAAATAAAAGGTTGATAACTTGCCACCCGGTGAGCGTATGACCTCAGTTAATTACACCTGTAGGTTTGGCTCAAGTTGTAGAACAACCATTTCGCTGATCTTATAGAACTATGAATTGCTCGATTTCTAACAAAATTTGACTTTTCTTTAAAAAGTCGTAATTACCTTTTGTCCATTCACATTGGATGGTTGAGTGGCAGCCTTCTGGTTATATTGGGCAATGTTTTCCCGGCTCACAAAATCGGCCGGTTCTAAGCCTTCGCTAGTCAAAATTGAAGAATAGCCCTGAGGAAAACCCTTCGCACTTCCGGCAGGTTTGGTACCAACAAAACTGAAGTTCTGCTGAATAGTAGTATAATGCGGCGATGTGTAAGCTGAAAGTCGGATTTATACAGCCACTGATAAAAAAGGAAAATTTTGGTTGCCTGATAAGACACAGAAATGAAATTTGTAGTGCACACTCTAACAATAAATGCTAAAAAATGCATACACTTTTTAAAAATAATATACTTTCAATAATTTACCTATTTTGGATTTTTCACTTAAAACGGTATCGCGTGACCAAAAAGCGTGGCTAACTTATGGAAAAAAATCACCAGACAGCACGAAACGGTAAACTTATATTTTCGTGTTTTAAAAGGTGTGCAATCAAAACGCGAAATTGGACTTTCGTCTACACTCGTAAGAAATCGGGAACAAGTAATATGAACCATCAATACATTTTTTGACACGTTTATGACCGAAACACAATTTGACGTTCAACGAAGACTCGACTCGGTTCGGTAAAAGAGAATTAGATCAGAGAATTTTTTTTATCAAAATGTAAAAATAGCCCTAGTTTGGATAAAAGCGTTTCTCAAACACTTCTTAAAACGATACGACACGTGTTATGCCTTTTTTACAGCTCTTCTCCACGAAACATACATAAACCTTTGTGGGTAAAATATGGTGTAATTACAAAATTTGACAATGGGAAAACAAAAACACTGTCGTAAATTAAATTATGATGTAACATAAAATAAAAAATATCACGTATTATTCAGATTACTCATATAAAATAAGAGAATAGAGGTCTATTTCAATAAAAACCTATTGTTGAAACCTAGTACATGATTTTGTCGAATTGGTATTGAACAGAAATTAATTTAGGAAACAGCGTCGTAATCTAGCCAAGGTATTTTTTAATTAAGCGGAAATCAACAAACCCAGACGGGGCGAAAAGCGATTTTTCTCTGGTTTTAGGAGGTTATCCTCGATTATGCCGTGCCTACGGCATTCGTAACCTGTCGTTCCCAAATCCCACTTTAACTCGAATTAACTGTAAATAATTTTTTGTTTCTCTCGTTGATGCAACTCCTGATATCATCGCCGGAATTATGGTATTGGTCCAAGGTCAAAACAATAGTGCCATCGCCTTTTCCTCACACCAGCATTAACGCTTTAAGATCGATCCAGAACGACAACAGCACACCCATCTTACCAGGCAACCCTTTTCTCGGCGGCAATCTACCTTGCTCTTGTACCATAGCAGATCTCGCGGCGTTGTCCAGCCGCTTGGGCCCCTTCTCGGTGGCGTCGTCGAAGTAGTCGACGCAGATCCATCGCCCCCGACTGAAGGGGGCGGCACTTGGGATCTTGACAATCTTGAAGCGCTCGTCCGGCGGCTTCTGCTTCACCTCGGCTTGCGGTTCGGCCGGCGCGGGGGCGTCCAGCTGGTGGTCGTCCGTGTCGCGCGAGTCCTCCGAGAAGCTCGGCGTCTCGTTGTCCGTCACCCTGGAGATGTCGTCGGTGTCCAGGTCGTCGGCGGAGTCGTCGCCGTCGGTCCGGGTCATGCTCACCCCGGTGATCTGGAAGGAGCTGGACGAGTTCTGGATCTTCTTGCGCGCCGCCTGCGGGTTCGCCGGCGGCAGCACCCGCAGCTCGGCCTCCCCCAGCCGCAGGGTCTCGCTGGTGGTGCGGTTAATCACGTTGGTCTTCTTCTCATGCTTGTGCTTGGACATTATTGCGGTGGACGTCGCATTGATGGGCAAATGAACGCGGAGCGGAAGATGGAGATTCGGGGAAGAGGCGCGATCAAAATAAAAATAAAGCCCGAACCTGAAGAGAGGCTACTTTACGCAAAAACTTAACGCCACCTGCACCATCACGACATGCATAAACGGACACGATTGACATAAGAAGACATAACGCAAAACCACATTGCGCCAGTCTGAGGAGGCCAATGGTGAACGATGACTCACGCAAGCGCAACCGCTCGACAAGGACAACGAGCCATTTTTCCCATTGGTTGCTTTTTAAAGTTTTCGACAATCGCAAAATTTAATTACGGGACTGTGTTCGTCGAGATGGGATAACAAGGAATGAAGAATGGGTGCCCCGGAAGAACCTAATACCGACACGTCCTAAATCTTGCCAAGCCAGACGATTTTTTTTTCGAGGATAAAAATTCGACCCGAAATTATCATAGACACGCCACTTTCGCACTAATAATTCATGGAATAAATTAACATTTGCAAGTTTGAGGCGACATCTCACTTCCAACACCGTCAAATTTGAAAATTTAATAGCCCCAATTTAATTAGTTTCCAAAGTGTCTGAAGCTAGAGCTAATTAAAATTTCACTTTCCTTCGATGTTTGTCGGAAGTACGGGCGCTAAAAAGCTAAAAAACGTACGTCTTACGTCATTTCGCATTCCAAAAGTGTTTCAGAATAACTTAAACTACGTGAGTATGAATGAAAAAAAAGTTATTTGTATCTATAGAATACTATGCGTAATGACCTCATTTCTTATCAAGGTACACCGTAAGAAATTATTGCACGTAGCAACAGTACTTTTCGAAGATTATGGCATACATCTGATAATTGATGAAGACAGTTGAACACTCGCAGATCTGTGAAGATTTATAGATGAAATAAAAAAAAATCAGTGGCGAGTGTACGGATGAAACTCAATTACTGAGGTTTAAGGCTCCTTTAAAATAAAATACACATTTTCCAATTTAGTCCTTCCGATAGCACTTGAAGAACTGCATTGCATATGTATAGTGGACCAAAAGCTATAAGGTTATATGGCCATCATAAGTTCAGTTGTTTACAATAGAAATGGTTTTAGGGTCGTAAATAACGTGTCCGCTGCAGCTCGACCGGCTGTTGTGGTTTCGTTCAGGGGCGGCTTTCACTAAATATGAAAATCCACCACTCCACTATTTCTTTACTACCTGCAGCCGCTGAGGGTTCCGAAATAACCACTCGCTTTGAAAGCCGGCCCTGTTAAATGTGAGCAAGAAATGTTTAGAAGACGATTTATTGCCAACCGGTAAGCTTAGTGCGAACCACATAAAGGGAGTATTTATTTGCGGTCAACTACTTTTATGATGGTCATATAACCTTATACCTTTTGTACTAGTATACTTGTTTTTTGTTGATTCGTATTATAAAATAATTTTTGAAAAATAATAACCTTAATAACCACCTTAAAATATCTTAAAAAGTTATATAAAGGGACTTGATGTGGCCTGACCTGACCTGAAGTCGCTAAAAACCTTTTGTCTTGTCCATTGATTAAAAGGGTGTCTGCATCCCTTGTGTGATCCACGGTACGTTTCGTACTGTATGAGGTGACGCGATCGCAGCGCTAGTCTGGCGGGCGCCCCTGGAACTACGTCAGCTTCACCAGTTCGTTTAATTTTAGAAATTCGGGTTGCAATTTTTTCTGCAAAATATTTCGAACGACGTTCGAGTAACTAATATAACTCTGTTATTCCGCTTTTAACTTAATTAATTAAGAAATTCTATCCACGAGTTTCTTACGCACTTCAAAAGTAAATGTATAACAAACAGTCGAACAACAAAGTTCAGCTGGCGAAATTCTAGATCCGGTGTTGACTCTAAAGTTTCAACATTACGGAAACAAACAACAGTGGAGAATTTTTCCATCAGTTTGTCGTTTCTTTGTTTGGGCAATTTATTGTTTTTAACGTTACTTAACAAATAGGATTAAAAACAAACTATTGTTATTAAGATCAACCTAAATTCTCGTCTAATTGTCTCTGTGGTTTGTGATTTCACGATGAGATAAAGCGAAATAATTTTTTGTCTAGTCAACAATAATACTAAACATGGGTAAAAATAAATACGCTACATACCATAACCGTGTGACATCGGAATTGTAGGTCTTTGTGTGATCTTAAAGTCTTATCAGACGGCAGTTTTTCCAAAGAGTGTTAAAATTAGAGTTGGTTATAGAAACAAGATAAATGTATATCATACAACGCCAAAAGCCATAAAATTGTCACCGAATAAGAAAGCCACGAAAGATAAATAAGCGTTTGAATAAAAGACGTATTATTTGCCCAGTATTTGATAAAGTTGATATTTATTCTCACTTACGCAACGGGGGTTATTTTTATCATAATCCCACAACCAATAGGAATTAATTAGTAACCAATTGAAAAAATCAAAATTCGGGTTCTAGCTAAGAAAATTGTGTAACGTTTGACACTTTCGTCACAAATTTTGTCAACTTCAAATGACAGTGTAATGATTTGTCAACTGACTCACTATTTAAAGAAGCAATTTTCTTAATTAATAAACAAGTATCAAATTACAAAAATATACTTTCTACGCACTATTGACAAAAACATTCATCTGCTGTTATCAAAAAACAAATTCGCAAAAATTATCGAATGCTAAGGCCGCGTCAAAACGACTTAAGTCATATTTGCACTATTAAGCGATTTTAATCACATATTTAAAAAATGTGTTTAAATTCACACATGCAGTTGAATTGAACAAATAGTATGAAACTTATTTCATTGTGCTTGACATTATCTTACTCTCGACAAATAAAAATTTAACAAAATCTGCCAGTTGTACAATTCATTACACTTCGGCGCGTGAAACAATACAGTGAACAATGGGTACAGACACAGCAACTACCATGGAAGAGAAAGTGCCCCTGCCCAAAAAAACAAAAAAATGGGGCATCAACAAGAACCTGATTATGTTAAAAGTGACCCTATTCTTCCTTTACGGAGGTAAAACTTAACACGGCAACAAATCAAAAATTTGCTTTATTTTTTTTTTCAGCAACCTCATCCCTCGTACCTTACTTAACCATTCACATGCAAAGTTTAGGTATCACAATGGAAGAAATAGCAATGATATACCTCGCGCTGCCCTTCACCACGTTCGTCGCCCCTCCCATCACCGGGTTCTTAGTGGACAAATTTGGAAGATACAAACCCGTTGTTATAATTTCATTTATTCTAACAGCAGCACTACACCACTGTCTTCTCTTACTACCGCACCAAGAAATAGCAGGCGCTGTTCCCTCAGGATACATCATCACGCATCCCAAAAAAGGATACGTGGAAGTGTGGTGGAGTCCGTGTCCCAGCAGGGAATGCCCGGAAGACGAAGAACTAGACGTTGCTTTAGACATGTGCGTAGATCATTGCATCTTCAAGAAACCCCAGGTCGTACCTGAGGGAAACAAACTCCTCGACCCTGGAAATACGGATGACTTGTACTTCCACTTGAAGAAAAACTTGAAAAACAACACTCGGCATGGGTACGTCGAGTACATTTTTAATATCTTTGAGTGAGCAGACTAACTGCGTTATATTTGTGCAAAATTGATTAAAAAACCGGGTACATAACATAACCCCTTAGACTGGAACCACAAGAATTTTCGAAAATTTCCTGAACGGCGAAGCTAAGGGGCTACTTAAACGGTCCAAGCTTTGTATGACTCTCAGGGAGCCACAACTGCGTGTGTTCCGTCTGATATTGTTTTCATATTCTCTTCCGTTGTTGATATATTCCATCACATGTAACGATTCGATGGTCGCGACTAATCTCTAGCCACGGAAAGACACGTGAGCTGTGAAACTATAACAGGTACCACAATGGAACAAAGAAAGAGATAATTATAATTTATTATCTGTTTGAACAGTACGTCAAAAGAAAAACGTGAAAAACCGCGAAATCCGCGACCTCCACACAGTGGCGTAACTACCGTGTTCGCCGGAACACGGGCCCGCTTCTTCAAGGGGCCTGGTCCGGTTACACGAACATTTTTTGTTTTATCGGATTTTTTATATTATTGCGCAAATTACATTCCGAAATAAAAAATTCGAAAATGTGCGGTGATCCTAGGATCGATCGTTCATTGCTATTTACGATTTTTTGATGCAAAGGGCTGGACCTCTGGCGGAATCTCAGTATCATAGACAGGTTTTAGAAATGCACTGTCGCAATCCCATTGTGGCAAATCTAACACCCCATTTAGTAAATTACCAATCTTTAGCCGACAAAAGTATGACTAATTTATGATTCAGGACAACAAAATACTTAAATTTTGTCCTCAGATCTTCAGTGAAACTTTATGGTGTGGGTAAGACGCAAATAAAATTCAGTTTCAGTTTCGTTTTTTGAAAACTTTCGTATTTTCAAAACTAGTTTAACTTTGTGTTTGTGGTGCTTTTTGGGATAATAAAACATATCTGATGTATGTTACAACTAATTTTTTAAGTACAAGAAACACTGGACAGCGAAATTATTACAGAATGAGTACCTAGTACCTGCACTAGTTCCAGTGAAATTATCACAGCATATTTCATTTTTCTTGCAATACCACTTTCGGTGGCTTGAGCGGAAAAATCTTTTTTGAAATTAAAAATGACAAATTTTTTTTTAAGAAACACGATGGGCCAATGCATTATCTTCACTGCCTGTTACCTCAATTGAAAATCAAATTGCCAGAAGATTAGATGTGTCAAATCTTGTATCAACTTGTGCCCATTGGAAAGAAAAAAAACAATTTTGAGATTAAAAAATGGGCAATTTTATGTCCAACATGTTTCAAAAGGATTTTCATCTAGTCGCCTATGGCTGCAGATTTTCATGAAGGGAAAGACAGGAGTTGAAGCGATTTCAAAGCTATCTCGATGAAAATTATTTTGAAACACTCTTTATACATTTTAATTATATGTATGTAGGTAGTTATTGTATTTTGTTTTTTTTTAATTCAGTGTTTCAGGTAGAATGATTTTAATAAAACGTAAGCCCTAATCGCAATATACTCAAACTTTACTCATAATACTAGTATTTTTAAATAATTTTTATTTAGCTGTTCATTAGGGGCCCCATAGTGTTGTAGAACACAGGCCCGTCGTTTGATTGTTACGCCACTGCCTCTACAAAACCAAAAAAAATTGCATCTCACTAACAAGACCAAAAAAATTGTTTTCCTGTAAAGGACTTTTGACGCTTTGACGTTCACGCGCTCTTAGTCCGAAACGGTTTTTATTCATTTATTCGTTGTTCTTTCGTTGCCAACTCAAAACGACTTAAGTTACATTAACGCGACTCCCATTCTGATATGCGGCGGAGCGTTGAAACGGCGTGGGAAAAAACTGTACCACTTTTCATTATCTAATAATCGCCATAACACAAACAAGTATTATCTCAGCCGTACCGATTTCAACAAATCGTTTGACTTGAAAATGGTATTTAATGTAAATTTTCAGGAACTCAACTCAGCTGCTCACCCTCGACATGCACCCGAATTTGGGCGAACCCATCGAACAAGGGGGTATCGATTTGGATTCGGGTGAAGAAGACGACAACGTCATGGACATCAAAAAACGGTTCAGAGAGAAACTCCTGAGAAGGTATAGGGTTAACGTGACGGAACTGGACGAAAAGGATCTTCGGTGTGGTGGTTTAGTGTCCGACGGGACCGACTTAAGTTCGCAGCAACGTTTACGAAACTACTCGAACGACTGCATTTTACAAAAATGCCATTTCATTTCGGGGGGACCGGAAACTTGTCCCCCCGAATTCAAAAAAAGCGACGACAAAGTTTTCTGGATATATTTCGTTTTGAGGTTCATGGCCAGTATCATGCAGACGGCAGGGATGACTATTATGGACCCTATAGCCCTGACTATGATCGAAAAATATGGCGGCGATTTTGGCAAAGAGAAGCTGTTTTCGAGTTTGGGGATGGCGTTATTTTCGCCAATCACGGGGGCGTTGATCGACTGGAACAGTAGAAGGCTAGGTTACACGGATTACTCTGCCGCGTTCTATACGTATGATGTTTTGTTGATTGTTGCTTCAATCGCTGTGTATTTGATGCCCCTGGGAACGAAGCTACCAGCGGATAACATTTTCCGAGACTTACGCAACATTTTCAAGATGGCGCATGTGGTGGTCTTTATAAGCTTTTTGTTTATCTTAGGGAACTTGTGGGGCTTCATCGAAAGTTATCTTTTCTTCTATTTGAAAGATCTGGGGGCGCCAAATTATCTTCTAGGTATCACTGTGACAGTCGGTACCATTAGTAGTATGCCCTTTTTGTACGGTGCAGACAACATAACGAGAAAAGTGGGCCACATTACTATTATCATAGTGGCGTTTTTCGCCCATGCTGCCAGACTCGTTGGATACTCTCTCATAGAGTATGTCCTACCACATAATTCAAGTACCATTTGTACTATTTTATCAATTTTAGGAACGCATGGTGGTGTTTCCCATTCGAAGCTCTCGAATCCTTGTCCGTGCACATGATGTGGGTGGCAGCGGCTACATACTGTGCGATTTTGGCCCCTAAAGGATTACTAGCGACTCTGATTGGAGTAATCGGCATGGCCCACTTCAGCATAGGTAATTGTGATAATTAAAACTTTAGGTATACATATGGTTCTTCTAGGAAGAGGCAGCGGTAGCTTCGTCGGAGGTCACGTGATTGCCAAGTTTGGCATCCGTCAGGGTTTTCGGGTGATGGGGCTGGTCGCCGTCACTTCTGGTATCGCTTACGCCCTTATCCACTGCCTGTGGTTACGAAAAATTGAAGTCGCTGAAGGTACTATGACCACACGGATTTCCTTGTAAATAAATTATGTTTCATAGATGAAAGTACCGACGTAAAAGACGTGGAGCCTAAATTTAAAGATCAAAGTACGATGGTCAGTTTTGAAAGGTTGAGTTTAGTCATTGAATATAACCAGATTGGGTCTTTAACGTCCTTGGGAAGAAATAGGGAGCACGCTCTTATTACTCGTGCTAGGAGTAATAGTATACGACGTGGTAGTTACTCCAGTGGGATGTTCAAAGTTGCTAAAGGAAGTAGTTCCAAGGGTGATCTGTTAAAATCTGCCATTGAGGTTAACCACCATAAAAGTTCTGGTCAGATGAAGATTTCGAATAATTATCTTAACCGTCAAACTGCTAATAGTACCGGAAAGGTAGGTGCGCATGCTCAGTTCACTTGCACGTGTTTAAGTGACACCTTTTTCAGATTTATGGCGATATTAAGACTGGAAGTCCGTCCGAAATGGAGATCGAGACGTTGATCCCAAACGAAAAAGATGAGATTATTTATGACACAGTCAAGTCACAGAACAGTAATTCAAACAAAGATAATCCAGTTTAGTTTTTTATTACGACGTAGTTTAAAAACAACTAAGTTATTTCTGTACGACTTATGAATGGAATAAATCTAATAAAAGAATTATTTATACAAATACAGCTATGTTTATTTTGTGACAACTGCTAGTAGAATCCAGAAGATTTAATTTTTCGATATTAATGAATTAAATACACATTACACAATGTTATATGATTGAAATCTACTTAACTAGTTAAAAGTGCAACATTTATCTCTTTGACCATTTTTACCCTGTGAAGCATTTTCTCTAAAGCTTCCTGTGGCAGAGCGGTTGTCGAATACCAAACGGGACTATCAGGTACACAAGATCTTTCAGGTTGTAGATAAAAAACATCGTTTCTAGTCTTCACACTTTCCGGACTTAAAAAAAAATAAAACAGTAGACAAAATATTGATCTACTATCACTTACCATTTAGACAAATAGAATTCATATAACTTGACTGGACAGCGCAAGGGATTTTCGTCATTTTCTTGCTGTTCATATACTTTCTTCTTGCGCGTGTTATTTTCTGTACATATATTTCTCATTATTTAATACGTTACTTAGTAATTTACTTACGCATGGCTGACTGAGGTGGATAAAACCGTAATAGAACATTTCTGGAACCCGGAACACGAGCAACTCCTGCTTGGTTCGGATTACGTTTCCAGTGTTTCATGATATGCGAAAATGACAACTGCATATGTTCTTGTACGGTCTATAAAAAATACATTAGGGGCGTTTTAGACACCAAAGAAACTACTTACAGTCAGATTGAAGTGTTTAGTATTGAAAAACATGAGAGTACTTAACAGAACATGTGGGGAATGAGCACCCAGTTGTTTACTTTCCCATAAATGCTCCTCCTCAACTCTGGTTACAATATAGTGAGAATCGTTATATAGGACTGAGAATTTGCGAGCCACTTCGTCTAAACTATCAGTAAACTGTTCATAATAAGGATCACAGAAAATGTTGTCTATGCGGCCATTTTCAAACAAGTACTGTTGAATTCCTGTACGATTTGACTGTAAATAAGGAAACCCAAAGCTTACGCTTACCTAAACATAAATAATATATAGTATCTGGTGCGTACTCAGCGCCGTTCGGTTTTCTAACTTCTTTAACAAAAAGACAAAGAGAATAATTTAATTCGTCTGCAGTTAGTTGCAATATTTCCGTTTTAAACGGTTTTGCGAATTTGGAAGACTTCTCCAACTCGGTATTTTTCGTGGTTACCCATTGTTTCCAGGCGTTAACGCCGAACGTATACTAAAACATTTTGTTTACTTTTATTGAGCAAAACGCTCATTTATTATAAAACTGAAAATTAAGCACAACATGCAAATACAACGTCACAAAAAAAAACAAAAATCCCACTGACTGCGCCAATCCACTACTTTCTACTTAAACTGCTTACTTTAAGACAGAGGTGGGCGTCGGGCTTCTCGGCGGGTTCCGGGGGCGGCACTGGTTGTGCTGGCATTACGGGCATATCTACCGGCTGTGACATCCTTCTACGCTTCGTACCCCCTTGCTTCCCGCCTCCTCTCCCCCGCTTTCTACCTCTGTATGACTGCCTCTCGGCCATATGCATCATGGGCTGAGGGTCATCAACCGCCTCTTCGCTAGGGTTTTCGCTGCCTTGGGGCGCCGTTATAGTATTCGCAGTCAAAGCCCCCTCAAGATCTACAGCCGGTTCTTCCAACTCGGTGGCCATTTTGAGCGCCATTTGCAGCATGTCTTCACCAAAAGTATTGCTAGCGTCGACGGGTTCGGGACTGAACGTTCCTTCGTCTCCGGGTCCGGCGTCGTCGACGTCGCTCTCAGAATCAGTATTTTCTTCCTTTTTGTCACCGGCTACCATTTCGGCCATCATCAAAAGCTCAGCCTCGTATGGATCCGTGGGAATTTTCACTTGGATTTTCTTGATTTCCTTCATTATGCCTTTAGCGGAGTTGCGAGTGGTGGGGATGAAGATGGGCACGGGGATGGGGAGGGGGAATGGGACGGGGTAGGGCGCGGGGACTGAGTACATGGGGAGGGGCGAAGGAATATATACGGGGATCGGAACGGGAATCAAGATCCGCTCAGCTTCTCGTTGCTCTGAAAACAAGAAAACACGAAACGTGTAGCGAATTTTTTAAAATGGAAACAGCAATTAATATGTATTTACCTGTTTGTATGTTTTTGTCGGTCATGATGGGTTTCATGGTGGTGCTCTTGTGGTGCTGGCGCAGTTTGCACATGGTGGCGACGTTTCTCTGGTCTGGCGCCGGTGTGGACTTGATGATGATATGATGTTTGACTTTTACGGGAACTTCGACGTTTGAATTAAGAATGTGTTGTGGTGGGGCGTTGTTTTTGACCCTCTTATTGGAATTCTGTTGAGGATTTGCAAAATTGCCGTTCTTACTTGATGCCAAACTTTGTACGTTGCTTATCACAGGAAGGGGCGGAGAAACTGGTTTAGCTGTCAAATAAAACATTTTAAATTTAGTTTATAGAAACGTTGGTGTATACTAACGGCATTGTGATTCTGTAAGGGCAAATTTTCGATTTTTTTTAGGCTCACCGGCTGGCACAGGGTAGGAGGCGTCATCTGCATTATTTAGAGTGATTGGTGATTTTTTAAATTTATTCTGGAAGGACATTACACAGGAATAGGAGCAAAAATTACGGATTGTGGCATCAGACATCGTTAGGTGATACATGGGTTGATGACGTTTATTGCAGAAGTTACACAATGTCCTGCAAGAGAGACAGATAGAGAAAAAGACAGAAAAAAAAATAAACAAAATACGTACTTTTTGGAATGCACAGCGTTAACTGACACTTGGAACAAACTCAAGCAGTTTATACTGCACATATTCAGTACGGGACCAGTTTTGAAGTACCTTCTGATCATATCGAAGTTATATTTCTTGACTTTGCACCACACGCATGGTACGATTTTTCGATGTGCTATTATGTAAATATTTTGGCAGCTGTTTGAACAAAAACTGAATTGTACGTTGTCATAAAACATTGTATTTTTCTCGAGCACTTCCGTCGGAAAATTTCGTCTGCACATTGAACATTTCCCTGGAGTGATATTATTGACGAAACTAAAAGCGACGAAACATCGATCACTACAAAAGTAGTTTGTGGTTCCGTCACATTCATAGTCGATCGTGATTGGATTATCAGTTTTGCAAACTGAGCATTTGCTTCCTTCTGGAACTTTGGGTGGTTTGTTGTTTGTCATTATATCGTATTTCTCCATGCAACTCTGAGAGCAAAAATCTTTAAATTGTCCTTTGTCTCCTACTGGTGCTAGGAAACCGTCAGATTCCGAAGACATGTCTTGTTGGCAGTAGGAGCATACTTTGAGCCCTTTTTTATATTCCTCGAGGCAATGACTCGAGCAAAACTGACGAATATCGTTGCCAAAACGAACGCAATACTTTCCAAGGGAATTAGGACGTACTTCCGCCGAACAACTTGCACAAATGGATCCTATCTCCTTTTGATATTTAGCTGAAGAAGAAATCGTTTATCAAGAAGTTGAAACGTCAAAATGGCCACCGATATTAATACGAACACGTTATTATACTGTCAATATAGTGACAGCGTAGCTGCTGAAACCCGTCAACAACTCGTTACAATTTTCGCGTGGACAACGTGTTTGTGTTAGTTTTAAGAACTGCTGGAAAAAATACGCACATAAACAAAACTCGTTGCAGAAATCCATGATCTCCCAAGTGAGATTATTTTCCTCGTCGTCGGTTTTCTTCTTACAGACTACGCATTTTCGTTCGTAGGCCGGTTTAGGCGTCGTTTCTTTGTTGCTGGTTAAGTCTTTCACTCTGATCTCGCCTTCCCAATTTAGGAAATAGTTATCAGCATTTTCTTGCTTGAAATTGTCTAAACAATTATCGTGGCATATATATTTAATGGTTTCATCTTTGGTAACTGTGTATTTGACTTTGCGTTTCTGTAAAAAATATATTGCCATGTGGGAGTTGAACGGTCAGCAGTATCACACGCGAGGCACTTGCTGAGTGAATGAAAACTCAGTCAAAACAAACTTACCAAAACACACTGCAAACAGGTCTGGAAGTCTTCAATGTTGCATTTTGATATAACAAATTTGTTACTGGAAGAAGGTGTGTCATCTGAGGGGGGTTGAATAGCATTAGCTGCATCTTCTATAGGGTCTGTCGAAGAGCTTGCTTCTGATATGTCTCGAAGTGGTGGAATGGAAAATGCAGCTTCTTTCTCAGCCTATACAAATCAACAAATAAGAGTACACGAATTTTCCTAGTTATTTCAGATGTTAAGTGTATGTGCATGAGTGAGAAACTGACAACTTGAAAACTACTCAATAGATCATATTTAATTCTCACACTGAATAGTTTTTTGTGAAAAAAAAAAAAAAAAAATCAAAATGCAGCAAGCACATTTTTTCACTGGTGCCACAATGACAGGATACAATAATCACGAAACAGTTAGTACATTGGTTGTGTCAGTGTTCAAGTGACACCAAAAAAGAATACTTGGTTCTTACTTTTTGTAATTTTTGTACATAAAAAACTTATATTCAGACCTCTCTAGGGTGATTGTGGTGTGTTTATTTTAAAGTATTCTCCTAGTTGTAAACAAAAGCTGTATTAAAGGTGTACATTTTTAATTTTCTTTTTACCTGTGAAATTACTCTTTCTGTGTCTGGAATTATACACAATTCTTCATCAGCGCCCTCTGTATTCTCAGTGATGAATGTATCAGACGCTATGGGATCTTCTTCAAGCAAATCCTCCTTATTTGTACCCTCCTTGTCATTGTCTTCTTTATCCAAGTTCACCCTAACAAAGAGAGGATTTTCTCGTTGACTCTCGTCGTCATCGTTTTCGTTATTGGTTTCTATAGGCTCTACGGAAATGTTCTGTGCTTCATTATCTAGAACAAAACTGTAGTTTCCTGGTACAAAAATAGTCATCCTGTACCTTTATCCTCATTATCATCCTTATCGGCGTTCACAGCAGTATCTTTCTGAGTTTCTTCATTCACCCCACCCAATTCCACATATTCAATATTGTTAGTAGGAGACGTCTCCTTATCTAAACTGACAATTAGTTTCTATTTTACAACCCTTCAAGCATTACCTTTCTCCTCTATGTCTTTTTTCTCTACTTGTGCGCTTTCATTTTCAACAACTGGTGGCTCAGCAACTGGTTTCGCGTCTGCTTCTGGTTCCGCTTGTGTTTCTAGCTCCGTCTGAGGTTCTGGCTCCGCTTCTACCATTGACTCCGTCTCTACCACTGGCTCCGCCTCTACCGCCGGCTCCGCCTCTATCATTTCAACATTCTCTTCAGGTACATCTTCAACCACGTCCTCCTTCTTCTCCTTTCCTTGTTCTTCTACATTTTTCACAGTTTCGCCTGTTTCTGGGGGTTTTTCTGAAGAAACCTCTGCAGTTTTGTCAATGTTCTCAATTTCTTGGGCCACAATTTCGCCACTTTTCTCACCTTCCTCAGGTTTATTTGGTTCTTTTTCCACTGCAGGTATCTCGCTCACACTCGCTTCGAAACTAGTGGAAGGTGTTTCCAAACCAGCGGCGGGAGTGTCATCCGTAGCAGTGCTTTCTTCTGTTTCTGGTATAATAATTTCTTTGTCAATGGAAACATCGTTGCTTGGAAGCGGTTCCGTTGTGTCCATGATATTTTCAAATAGATTTAAGTCGTTGGACGTGTTTATAGTGGGGTTTGAATCTTCTCCAAGACAAGTCTCGATAGCGGGGTCAGATGTTACAGCAGTGATGGGTACATCGATGATTGAGTCAACGTTTTCAGAGGTGGAATTGAGTGCTGGAGTATCAGTTTCCATTGTGGGTACAATGTCGTCGAAAATATCCTAAAAACACAAGTTATTATCGCATGTTGGAACTATAAAGCTGCTATTTACATCCACGTTCATGTTAGCTACAGACTTGGAACTTCTCAACCACTTGAACAAACAAGCAACTTAAACTTTGCAATAACATCAAACATTAACTATCTTCTAACGATTCTCTTGCATTGAAACAATTGCAGACACCAAATACAACACCTTCAATGCCTTAGGACGAAACGCCGGCGTCCTATAAACTGTCACATGCACAGATATGTACTCAATGAAAACTTTACGTTACCTAAGAAATTCCAAGGAGTCGAATTCAATTTCTATAAATTAAGATCAACAACCATTTTTCCAATGATAAAATTTTAATAAACATTATAAATTTCACACGATTAACAATAATGGTGGCAACTAGTGGAACAACAACAGCATTGCCAACAGGCACGCGCGAGATTTGAAATGACGTATAAGTTACTAGGAAGAAGTGCGCAGGGGCGGATTTAAAATCAAATAATTTAACAATGCACGGCTATTATTATTTAAATACACAAACAAATAAATCTTGCTTAAAACAGAATTGTGCCTATTGTGGGTATGAGCAGTTGGTAATCTGCGAAACTATCAATTCAAAGCCTACTGCGACGAGAATTACGAAGAAGTATAAAAGGTTGCCTACGACGAATTTTCATGTCACATCGATTATTATTTACAAATGAATACGATTGGCTGGATTCTTGAAATACACTTATGTTTGTGTAACACATTGCGTCCGCGCAATTATTTCCAAATTAAAGTATCAAAAATTGGTCTAGAATCAACTTCAGTTTCTTAGATAAAGTTTAAATTTAGATTTTTGATTTTTCGAACTATTAAAACGTCCCCAAATGTCAATAATTTACTTCTGTTCCAACGTGAATAAATTCTATTCTTGAACTAATCTATACTTTTTTAATATCAAACTGTTTTCAACGAGTTCCACAAAAACAATAATGAATGATTGGAAATAAGCAAAAAATCCCCGACGATGCTCTCAAACATTTTTTTTTTTGTTTAAAGAAAAACAAGTATGATAGTATAACACCTTTTCAGAGATTCTCGCCACACCTGTATGTGTTTTAGTAGTTACGCTTCCATTTGTTCATTGTGAGACGATGAGAGCGACGATATTTTGCGATTTTTCGATCGGACAATAATGTTTTTCGTAAAAAACAAATGTCCCGGTAATAAATTTAAAATTTAAGGAAAGAACTAGTAGAAATCTGCTTATGATTTCAGAGCGGTGTACCAGAGGTCGCTGTCCATACATAGATTCGTAATGTTCGTGGTTCGATCCGCGTGTTGTTTTGGCGAAAAAGTTTCCAATAGTTGTTTCTGATCGTTCCGAGTTTATGACAATAGTCACTTAACCTCGATTAACAGTTTCGTGGTAAAAAATTGGCACCCGAGCGGTTGTTGGTCGAGTAGCTCGACTAGAATGGTCGAATGAGTGCGCCATGACCGGTCAACACAACCGAGGGAGGTGTGAGGGATTCTCTAATTCAAGGCCAGTTAGTAATTGTCCGACTTCAATCGAAACGCCGCCTCTTTGATCTCGCCGCCTCGGCACGCACTATACAGCGCGGATATCAACTATTAAAATAGTGGTCCTTCGACAAAAATCCAGCTCTCGAACAGATTTCGTCATTTTCCTAATACTTAAAATATATGCGGCACTCACTTCTAAATATAACATTTTTAATTAAAAGATATTTTCAAGTTTGAAGGCGCGTTTTTTACCGGCTGTCATAAATGTCACACGTATATCTCGCTCTTTATTTTTATTTACGCTTCCTATTTTTATCGCGTTTTCGAAAAACGACCACACGTAATTGTGAAACGAAAAACGTGTATAATTTCCTCAAAAAAAAAAGAAAGAAAAAACGAAATTAGAACTCTCGACGCGCGTTGTTCTAGCTTAAGGCTACGAACAATAGTTATTGTGGTTGCGGTGAACTTCATTTGCACCAAGGAGCTTGCGCGTCCGACGCTCTTGACCAATGGCGGTCGTATATTGATAAGTGTGACGTCACTTGTCAGAGTTTATCATTTCACACTTAAGCCTTGGCCCAGCTTTGATAATGAATGGAGACTACACACGTGATAGCGCACTTACACAATCGGCCATTCATGAATTCGACCGGATTATCGCAAATACACAACAAATATTAAATCTTATTCATACGTCCACCATTAATGAATAGCGATTTGAATTTAAATCACAGATGATGGAAATAAGGGGCTGCGAGGTGCACCGTGTGGTACCCCCGTATTCCACATGGAAAATCGTGGGTTTTACGTTATTGTGGTACACTTGACATATGGCAGCCATGTTGAATCATTTTACCGCCACAGCTGGCGGTCAGAGTGCTGAAGCAACGTTCCAGCGGCTCCTTTGATCTCTCAGACAAGATGTAAAAGCTAAGGGCAGAGTCACCTAATCGAATTCAAAATTCTTGGGCTTACATAAAAAGAACTAGCCCCATTACAATATATTAATGTAATGCAAATTTATTTGGAATAGTGCGCTTTAATTAGGAAAAAAGTCGCTGAGCGCACACCGGGATCTCTTATTTAGCATTAGCGGCGCAGTGGGTAATCAAAAAATGTATAATTAACGGTAAAGGAAACTTGTAATAACAGGGCGGGAAGATCAAACGCGTCCGTAATTTTTTCTTTGCTTTCGTTTTGTTTGTGCAGCGGCCTTCATTTATTATTGTGTAAGTTGCCGAAAGGGCAGTAAAATTTTTTCGGGTCGCGTCGACAAGGAAGGTAATATTTCACGTTTAGTGCGATCTGTCGTAGATATTTTTATCCGGAAATAGTGAAGGAAATCGAGTGGTTTGTGTTGGTGCCGCGCTGATCTCTAAAGCCACAGAGCGCCGCTTGTGATTCGCCCCTTTCCCCTCCCTCCATCGGCGGCTGAGTTTCTCTGATTCCCTTCGCCCCTCCTAAAGAACAGTAAGCGGTCTTCAAAATCCCGACTATCTCTGTCATGGATTTCCTTTGCCGATACCGACAGTTTACAACATGAAAAGCGAAACCACCTCAATAAAGAAATTCGCTGAAAAGTACCAAACGTTGCCACCACTTGTCGTCGTTATTGTTTCTTGGATCTGGCATAAAGGCCGCACTTAAAAAATAATCGAAACCAATTTGCGTGCGTGTGTATGTGTGAGTGTGTTCGCGTTCCCTCGACGGTTATTTTTACTCAATTTCAATTTTAACTTTGTCGTATAAACACTCCAAACTAAATTATTATCTCTTTCGGCTATTCACAAAACAAACATGTGTCGCCGCGGCCTTTCTACCTATTATTTTTACGATATCTAAATCATGCCATCAGCGGCATAAACAAATTCTGCGAGTTCGTTTGCCTACTTACCGAACCACCTACCTTTTTCCATGCCGGATTTGACGATATTGTTCACTTTTTGTACCGTCCAACAACAAAGCCGCGAAACCACTTTTATTATATTTGTTATTCGCAGCCGTATTTGGCTACACTTTTTTTTTTGTTTTCACGAAACAACAAAGCTTAGCCCTTTTGCCGTATTTTATCTCTTTATTTTATTACTAGTTAAATAGTTAGAGAACCTTAATTTTGTAACATAACTAAGCTTTATAACTGTCAAATTTGAAACCAAACTGTTAAATTTTCCGCGTTACTTGATCCTCTCTTCAACAGTCATATGATCAATATTGTAGTGACATGAACTAACGACATGCCGGGAACTGGATAAGCAATTTGTAGTAATTGCAGATTAAAAAGTCATTTAGTTAGATTACCGTTGTCGTTTGTGGTTAACGGTTTTTAATTTATCTGTCATTAAGAGAATATTGTGAATTGTTTTGCTTTGAATGTACACGTAAGAATCGGTACGACTTCAAATGTATGCAACTTTAGGGTTTTCTGGAAACTGTGTAACATAAGTATTCTTAACGACTTCTTTTCTTGGTCCTTCTCCGAACGAACCTTAGATTCAGACTAAAATTGGTTATAATTTTCGCATTTCTTTCAAAGAAAGTGGACAACAACAAATTACCCTCAACTACCTGCTTTAATCCCTCTCGAAGTTACCGCGGTGAAGATAAGAAAATTTGACTTATGACTAGTTATTTAAGGGACCATTATTAAAAAAACCGACCACAAAAAAAATCAACGAACACCAGAAAGGGTCGACGAACGCCAGAAAGGGCCAGAATCACCCACCTTGCGTTTTTCTGTCGTTGGTTCTTTCTGTCATTCGTTCGTTGACTTATTCTGTTTCTGGGTGGCTTTGTCCCATCAAAAATTTAACCCATCTGATTCAAACAATGGAAGGGCGAAGGGCGTGTATTTTCGTACGAGCTCGTGATTTATCATGTTTTCGCGTTTTGTGAGTGTATACATATATATTTTTCACAATGTATAATTAAATCTGAAGTAATTAAAGTAAGTGTTTTGCAAACACGTATTCAACACGAAGGATACACATATAAGTAAATTGAGTAACAGACGTAACAAACAAGTTTACGTCATAATTTTTGAATACAAAGTGTTTATAGACGACCGTCGCGTCAAAGTAGTCATTGAAATTTGCCGCCTTGTCAATTAAAAACATAAATTATAATCAAAGTGTCACAATTACATTACATGTCGATTTAAGATTTGTACATAAGTGTTGGCCGTGCCGCTACAAAGATAAGCATAAAAATAGAAAATATTTTTATAAGTAGCGAAGTTATTTTTGCTGTACCAAGTATTACAAGAGGGTTAATTTGATAATTTGTTTTTTGTTCAATTCCGATGCGTGGAATTCTGTTTGTGCTTCAGAGGCGAGGGAAATTCTTTGAACTTTTTTGTTGTCAATTTGAATGTAGTAACAAAATTCATTTGCAGCGCGTGTTTTATATTTTATTTATGGCATAATATCTCGCTTGTGGGTGAAGATGTCGACGTGCGGCGAGTTTGTTAGACTAGTTTTCTGCTATTACTTCCGTGTTAGGTTCCGAAATCGGGGAATTCACGACCGCATGTGTGAGGGCGCGCATGCGTGCGTTTGGTGGTGTCGTGGGGTGCAAGTAGTTGATAATTTCCTCGGAAGCAGCTTTTCCCGGGCACATTAGTCGTCGTTTTACGACCCGCATGAAAAGTTAATTTCTTGTTTATTTAGATAAGAGTAAGCGCAAGTCGTCGGAAAGTTGCGGCCGGCGAGCTCGCCTTTACCCCCAAGTGATCTACCCCCACTTCGCCAGCTACTGGTGTTGGCCGCGCCGCGCCAATCTCTACAGAGTAGGGTGTTGCACCTGGCTCCTCTAGTTGCGTACACGTCGACCAAGCTTTATCTGCCGTCTCGGGCTCCGGCATATAGCCCAGTGAACCGCATGAGTTAAAATGATGTTCCATTGGAGAACGTACTATAGAGCCGGTACGCTGTTCGTAGTGGCCACAGTGCGTGTGTTCGCCGTGTGTTCGTCGCTCTAACTGAAAACAGTGATTTTGTGCAAGTTGCGAGTGAAATGTTCCCGTTGTGAGGATAATTTGTGATGGACATCTGGATATCGATGCATAATTCACAGATGGCAAACAACTTGGTCAAGTGGTGGAAAACAAAATTTCTCAACGGATATAAACAATTCTCAGGTATTGTATTGTCTACATACGTGTAAGGGTCGTGCGCTTAGTGTTATTACCGCACTGTTCGTATTATTGCCATACCTTTAAACTTTAAATGAACGCAGTATATACTTTCGACACATGGCTATTGACATCACTTTACAATGCCGCAATTCGTGAGGTTATGTCCCCCAACTGTTTTTATTACGAGTTATCTTTACAATTTAATGGCAATATAAATAAAATAGCACTTGTTTACGCGTTCGCAACACTCCGACCCGATCGGTGCGCGATTTTGCAGTATAGAAAAATCGACTTAGCGCGCTCGGTCCTAATTGGCTAATTAACAATAATAGTAACGACAAGCGTGCAAAGTGCGTTAGGGCGACGGCGTTTTTGAGTTGGCGGCGTACGCAGGCATGGAAAGTGCGTGCTGTGTTTGATTTCGAGGAGATTAATGGGCCGAAGTCACACAGAATGATCTGGCAACAATGTTGTCGGCATTTTCTTGCATCTGGGATCTTATGGTGGCCTGTCATCTTGCCCGACTCGCTTTGTCCTTTTGGCAATCATCCCTTTGTCCGAGCGGGATCTCCGCACTTTTATCGTCTGCGTACATAATGAGGGTCGTTACCTTTGCGTGCGGTTGTACACTGTACACTTCACTCTCGCTGATCTTCCCGGATGGAATTCGAGTGGATGCGGCGAATTACGAATCGAAATTTTATGCTTTATTTTGTGACTATTCAGTGGCTAATCTGAAAGAATGCATGAAATTATTTCGAGAGTATAACCTGTAGTACGTCTGCGGACTGTGGAGTAGATTCGCCCGGAGCACAACCTTTCGTGTTTGTTCCGCTCCACGTGTAACATTCAGTTAATTTATAACTAATGTGGCCGCGGGGCTACTATTTTATTGTAATGCCGGCGAAGAATGCCGCTAAAATCACTATTTAGACCGCAGTTGGTCATCATTCTCATTTTCGACTGTCATTGCCTCCATGGATTTCCGTTATGGTACATAAACTCACTTCGTAAACCAACAATCTCGTTCGCAGCTCATTGATGAAGTGCTCGAAAAAAAGTTTTGCGGTAATGTTTTGTGCGGGATTATTACAGGTCGTTCGACTTACTGGCGCCAATTTGCGATTTAAACTGTCTAAAAATAAAACGACTTTATAAATTGCGAATATTTAAACAGGCCACCTACTTCTCGAATCATAGGTTTTAGTCAATGAAAATATGTTTACAGGAGTTTATTTGTTTTGGATTGTAAATTTTATAGTGTGAACATCTGAAGGACTATAATTAGAGCCGTCCGATTCGATACTCTCGTGTATTATTCTCTTGCCTATAATTAGAATCCGGTACTCGCCACAAGTACCCGCCACCACTGCGCCAAAATATGCAGCCAACTTTGCTGAACATTTTCCAATTTGATGAAAAAATCCACACTGCAGTTGCGACCTCATTTGGTCTCATCAGTCCACCACAGTTGGCATTTGAGCCGGATGCTCCGCACCCCTTTATTTTACAGAAAATCTCCGTTTGTTTTATAATTGACGCCATTTTCTCAAATCGAATAACGCGTCATTTGCAACCGCGCATACGTAATCAACCACCCACAGGAAAAATTAAGTAACAACCGAACCGAACTACCGAATCCTACGAATCATCGCGCATTTCTTCCCACAGCGTATGGCGTATCTGTAATTGTAAGTCGATCCATGATATAATATGACGAATCTGGGTTGGTTACGTCCAAACGGTAGTCTAATATGTAACGATACGCGGAGACACAATAAAAGTGTCAGATTAAACGCATTTAGACTCGTGGGATGGAACTTTTCTCATAATTTAATGTTTTTTGTTTGTCCCAGTTCCCAACGGCTATCAAAAAGTCGTTATTTCCGTTAAAATGTGCGATTTCCTTGCTTGGAAGCTGGAGCTGGAGTTGATGAATTGTCGGAAAATTTTTCGTCCGTCGAAGAAGCAGTTACGTTCGCATTATCTTTCACGGTCAGTGCTTGTAGGCCTTTTACGTTTGCTAATCTATTATTCATCCTGACGTGATTAATGCAAAGTTATTCGTGTAATGTAATCAATCAATACTCGTGAATCTTGATTGGTCCTGATATCGTAGGGGTGTTGCCGCGCTATCTGCTTAATAATATTTACGTTCGTTTCGTCTCTTTCCTTATTGCTGCTACTTCCGTCGACCGGGAATTTTATTTTGAAGTTTGATTAAAATTCCGATCGTTAATTATGTTGTTTTTTACAAAGTCGATCGCGAGGTAAAATGGGTTTGATGTTTCCTGTATTTACTACAATTTTATCTGCCGTTTATCGGTCTACAACATCAAAAGTTTTTATGGCGGCTCTTGTGTTGCGTATACCTATACATAAATTTATTGGTTTCGGTTAGATAGCATATCTTAATTGTTTCTAATAAATAATAAACTACTCTGAACTATTTTTTTAACGCATTTTTTCCGGTTTGATAAATTCGGAGATACCTCACTTTTTTCTAAATCACTGTCTGCATTTAGATCCATTCATAAAGGCCGCTCGTTTAAGAGATAGCCATCAACCGTGGAGCCAAAATAAAATAACCAACTTTTACAGTCTCAACCAAACCGAATTGCTCTCAAAGGAACCACACTTTCTAATTGAAGATGGAATTTTCGTGTCATTGCTAATTATCGCATAAATCTTTCGAGTACCAAATTTTTCACTTTCGGAACCACACACATGCGGAACGCACGAATTCCAAAATAACGGCGCCACAACCAACACTAAAATGGGTTCACTACACACATCAAAATTGCTTTCTATATCCAAACTTTGACGTTGTTGTTTTTGGTACTATTTTCAAAATTTAACGCATCCTGTACCATTTTACGTCATCTGGTTACCCTGCGCATGCGTATTTATTGTTTGATTTTCCATTTTGGCATCTATCTAAATTTACGAGACCACGGTAGGTTTGCCTGTGAGTAGTTATTACGAACACAAAAATCGAAATGTTTTTTGTTTGGTCTATACCGAACGAGTTGGGAAACCTTACAATAACAGCAACAACATGCTCACCTGAAGAAATCTTAAACACGGTCGTTAATTTTGTATGACCACTATGGAACGACGAAAGCCACCCAAGTTTTTGTGTTCGGTTAATGATTACTCTGTTTCGTACGATTTCATCCATTATGTATACCATACCACACTGTCGATGACGTCGTTAATATTTTTGAATAACTCATATGCAATATAACGTTCTGACTGACTGAGCGTATTTATCACAGTACATTGCTGAATTACGTATCGAATTTATTACAGACGATCGACACACTAGAATAATTGTTGTTTGTTATTGCAAGTAGAATTTCGATAAAACAACTTTTTATAGGCTAGCAGGGGCGTGATTTTACAATTTTGTGGGAGACTATAATAATAGCAATAAAAAATCTTGATTTTCAGTTGACCTTCTGTAAAGATAATAAATATTAGTATACTTATATACACATACAGGATTTAATATATAAAAATATTTTTCGCTTATTATCACTTTAACCACACTTTTTATGTGATAATAATTGATTGAAGCGACGCGCCACATTGACCAGGTCTTTCTCGTTACATTAAATTAAATTTTATTTTGACAGGATAAATTTCACAGTGCGGCCATTACATATCATCGCGTGTAATAACCCTTTACCGGTTGGCTCTAATGTAACGTTTCATTGCTGTGAAATTGGTTTTTATTTCCAACAATTAGCTACTTTAGGGCAATTAAGTGTAGGACCCAATGAAACATAATTTTACGCTTGTGAATTTTATAGTTTTGTTTATTCCGTAACCTATTTTTCCATTTGGATAACGATCCGTGACGTTTTTGTTGGCGGCATAAAAAATTTCGTCATTCAAAAACCAGATGGTGAAGTGTGAAGGGTTCGATTTTATTTCTCTAAAAGATAAGAGCCTGTGTCGTAAATCTTAATCTTTCTATAATTCCCACGAAAATAACACACGTCGTGTCACAAAGTCAAAATTGCATATCTGCACTTCCGCGTTGTGAAATTTTGGTCGCACGATAAAGTTAGAAAGATCAAAGCGGCTGTGTACGCCGTTGATCGAGAACGGACTTCAAGGTTGGAGTTTTTCCAGTGTACGGCCCATTGTTTTGGACGGACGTAATCTTTGAAATGGCGGCGAATGATAAATCAGTGTGTAAACATGTAGCCATAATTTACACGCTTTTTGCAGAGCTGATGAGTGGCAAATAGCGGCAGCACGTGTCGGAGCGGCAATTTTTTGGTCGGCGAAGTCTGGAAAGCAGTGCAAATAGTGTGGTGTTCAAATAAATCCAATAATTGTTATTTTATTTGCTTTTGAGGCTTTGTTGATTAATATTTAATATGCTTTGATAGTGATATCAAAGTGATTGCCGACAGTGTAGTATTGTAGTTTCGCTATGTGGTTAAATCAATATTTATACAAGCGTTAGAATCAAAGGTGCCGCCATCAAGTTCCGGGAAAGAGTTGTGCTGGCGCCATGTATAAATTCCCGTTAGTCAATTAATAAAATATTTAAACATCGGCGACACTTGCTCGATTTCATAATTGCACGAAACGTGCCGATTGGGAATGGAGGAGGAATGCGTTCTGGGATATTTTTTCTGCTTCGCTGCCGGTAAAATATTAAGTTACGGCAACCTCCCACCGTTTTTTCCGAACATGCCCAATTCAGCCTTTTCCAAGAAGCTATGAATGCTCTCCGACCTCGTCAGTTTCGAAGCCATAAAACTGCATTACCTGGAGGCTTTGTTCGTATACCAGTTGTTTAACTTTCCAATTTTTGGCTTTATTTCGTAATTTTATTAGTCATAAATAACGCACCGGCAACGATGGTTTAATTAAGGATCCCGTTTTGGTCATAAATTCATCCGAATTGCGCCGAAGATGCGAATTAATGCGCGTTTTGAAACGGTGAAAGAAAGTGTCTAGACTTTTCGTTAATAGATCGAGCACGGGATACTTAAAAGACAACCGCCTAAATACCACCAACAACGTTATGACGTCACATTTATTTTAACAGCCAAAGCAAAAGAATTTCTACAGTTAAGATACCTTGAAATAACTCCTTTACAAAGCACATGCCGCCGCTCTGTGTTTTTAATTGCAAATTGTTTCGGCTTTTCATGTTTTATTCCACAAATGGAAAAAAGCTTGCGAAACTGGATGCGCTTAAGCGACAATAAAAGCATCATTCGCTTGCAAAATAAACAACGTTTTTATTTATTTACTTTTCGCAATCAAAACTTGTGCAGCGATTCGCCCGTATCGCATCACACACACAAAAAAAAAACATTCGAACTAACCTCATCTTAAGTAATTAATCTGAATTCCAAATAGTTATTTAATTGTAACTTTCCTCAGAAGCCTGGAGCCGTACGCATTCCAACGTCCGTTCTTTACTTTCATTTCAGACCTCAACACACTTTATATAAGGAACATCTGACGAATACAAATCACCGCGCTACTCAAATTTTCGCATACCTTCCTATTTCGTAACCGTTTCCGTCTTCACGATTTTCTCGTTCTGTATTTATTTTTTTCCGCAGTGGAGTGTGGAGATGGCAAAGTATCGGACACGGAGGAACTTCTGGGGCGATTAGGGTCAGAAGTTGACGCTTGCACAACACCACCTATACAGCCTCAAGACGTTTCGGCACCATCGACACCCACCGAGGACACCTCGCCCAAAAAAACACCCCAACACCAGCTCAACTTCGAGGTACAAAAAACATGCTTGTGATTTCGTCTCCAATCCAAACAAACACGACGCGATGTTTTGACAAAAGTTGGCGCCGCTAAAGGACGCACGATGTATATTTTTACGAAAAAAAAAGTGTCCCTAGTTACTTGATTTTTGGCCCGAAGCGGCTTACTTTCGCACACATACGGTGATTAAAAAACACGTGTTTGCTAGAAAACTAATTTCTAGACACTACAAACATCTGTAAGTTCCGATAGTACCAGAAATGTCATCTACTTAGATTCGGATTTGGGGACGAAACAAAAGTTGGCTTTAGCCAGTTCGTAGCCATTATTTGTGCACCAAGAACTCTTGAAACGTCCTTTGAGTACTTAAGAATCACCGCGGAGGTGACGTTTTTATACCCCCGGTCCCTCGTTCTGGGAATTTTGGCATTTTGGGCTAGCTTGCTTTCACGAGTTTTCTGACGAGAGGATACTTTTAAAGGTTGAAATTTCTATAAAGGCCCCACCGAGTTTTCGTGGAACGGTGTTAATATCGGTACTGACTCCGCACATTTAGATACGAATTAAACTTTTACGCGTTGATTATTCAGACTCAAGTGTAAGTAAGTAAAGTGTGATTTTTTCGTAGGAGTTCTCTTGCGATGTGTCCATGGAGGATGGCGAGAGCAAACCGGGTCAAGAAAGGCAGGAATTTTCGTTTACCTTGTACGATTTTGACGGTCACGGAAAAATAACAAAGGATGTAAGTAGTTCGGGGCAGTGCACTAGTAATAAGATGTTAGTACCCTGTTTGTGTGAAATCAGTTTTAGCGCCAAAAATCGAACATAAATCATGCTTTAATGTAAAATTTATAAGTAGCGGCGGCTTTGATCTAGTGTTCTCTTTGAACTTGCTTTGTTTACAAGAGAAATTACGTTTAGATGCTATTAGAATCACATCCTACTCACTCTTGCCTTGTCATTTATTTATACTCTCTGAGATGTATATTATTATAAGATTTACACCAATAACATTCTTTTATTTGACTGTTTTGATACGTTTCTTGCACGCCGTAGTTCTTTAAAGTATCCTTTGTTTAAAAAAATATGACGCATAAATGTTTACAGGATATCTCCGGCTTAGTTACGACAATATACGAAGCTTTGGGATCGTCGGTTAAAGTTCCACACTACGGTAGTAAAACAATCAAGGTGAAACTTACCGTCTCACCGGATCAAAGAAAGCACGTCAGTGCTACCATTATTAACCAAAAAGACAATCAAGACGAAAAACCCCACGAAAGTATACAATATAAAAGAGACTTAAACGTAACGATTAGACAAGGTGTTCACGAGAAACAAAGACATTGTAGAAGACAATCTAAACAAAAAACACCAACTAAGAAACACCATTGCTGTAACCGACACGAGGAAGAGCAAGAACAAGAACACTTCGTGTCGGACGACAGTTCGGACGCATACAGCCGGATATCGGACAATCTAACCAGCGACGAAGAAGAAGGCGAATGCTCGGATAACGAACGAACCAAACTGAAGAAACACCAGAAAAAGTGCCAACGGAGCAGCAGCCCCAGATACACCATACCAAATCTGTTCGTAAAAGACACGATCTGCACCGAAAACAGCTGTCCCAAGAGAACACCGAAGAAAAGGTCCGGGTCCTTGCAGCGCCAGGAACTACTCGAGATCATACAGGCTAACATGGACAAGAACAACCTGGGTTTTCAAACGCCGAGGTAAATCAGCGTTTTTTTAAACTTTGAAACGGTGCCAGATCCATCGCGAGGATTTTTTTTACTAATTTTTGTTTGTTTGCGTAGAAAACATTCCAACCACGTTAGCACCCAGACGCGGCAGGAGCCCCACAAGCACCACGCGAAGAACCCGAAGATGGCGGCGTCGCCGCTGCAGTACCTGGCCAACATCGTGGACCCGACACACTTCTACGTGGACCTCGCTTCCTTACAGAACACAACCCAGCTGCCGCAGACCCACTGCGAATATGACAAACTAATAGATGCTGTAATGTGTGTGTCAAATAAAAAAATGTCTCTAAATAAACCGAAGTGTAGAAAGCACCGCGCGAAAAACGATCTTCCCGACATACCCTTCAGGTACCAGTTCTTACAGTACCCGTTGACGAACGACGAGAACAAACTGAAAGCCAAACGAACGCCAAAAAAGAGCGCGAGTGAAGTGAAAAGCAAGAATCCGCACGTGGTGACGGGGCACACGTCGTCGCCGCACCACCTCCGGCACAGGAACAGGCAGGAGGACCAGGCGCGGGCGATGGCGCAGGTCGTGCGCTGGCTGGAGCAAGAATTCTCGTCGAATCTTAACATGAAGGACAAGGCGAAGAGTAATCACTTCGCGCACTCGACGTACAAGGAGAAGAGCAACAGTTCGGCGTCTGCGCCGAACGAGGGTGTGGAGCGACACGAGCACCACCACGTGCACGAACACATACACCACCACTACCACCACTACCAGGAGCCGCCGCTGGTCGTATAGCGGCTGTGGGTTCTTAAGTGTAGGTCTGTTACTGTATGCGAATTTTTGTAGTTGTGGGGACCATCAAAGGCATGCCTTAAATTTACTGAATTACGTTTTGGGTTTATTTTTTTGTTTTAATGGAAGCGACACGAGGTTCAAGTTCCTATTTTGTAGATACCATGGAGTGTTATTTTATTTTCGTGTAATTCGGACTGCGGTTTAAGGCATTTGGTGACTTTTTGTTGATATTAAACCCTCAAATCTCTGAATCTTAGAAACTCTGATAATACTCTGCTATTTGATAAATTACTGTATATTCATACGACTAGTCTATACTTTTAGTTCAGTAAGTATGTAAGTATTTATTAAATTATTTTCTAATTTTATTGATATTATGTTGCAACTTGTTATTTTCATTTTGAAGTCAGTATTGATATATATTTTTTTATGTTAAGTGATTGTCAGTATAGTATTTATTGAATTACGTCTGTAATAATGATTAAAGTAAATGTGCCTAATTTAAATGCAAACTACTACCTCTGTGCAAGTACTAATTTATGATAATTTAGGCAATAAGGCGGCAAATACGATTATTTCAGGGATATAAGAAACTTAATTGTACATAGATTCATACTTCTTAGCGAATTTCCCTGATTCAAAGAAGTCTGACTACGAGAATGGAACTATTTGTATTAATAAATTATGTTATATTTTAATAAACTATTTTAGTTATTTTTTTTATTAATGCATAACGTTTAGACCATATTTATTGAGAAGTAAAATGTTTTATTAATAGTCTGTGTTTTTATCACCACATACGACGCGAGAAAATCCGTAAGGACAACCCAACTTTATTATTATTACTATTATGAAGTTTTAGTTAGAAAACCGCGCAGTTTTGAACAGCACACCGATTGAACAAACCAATAAGATTAAATACATAACATTAAATCAATGATTACACTATTCAGTAAAATAACCATACCAGAACCGAAATAAATGAATGGAGCGACAATTTGCTGTGAATTACGAGGAAGTTCGTCGAATAAATCAATGTGTCAGTGACTAATTGGACCTATTATTACTGTCCATTACCTTTTACAGCATGCCGGTTTGATTATCCGCCATTATTCACGGGTCGTACGCGCTTAAATCTGATCAACTATTGTAAATGTTTGGCAAAACATCAAAAAATCTATTTTTGAAAGTAGACTGTTATTGCGAGTGTTCCAATTTTAAACATTATCTTCATTTAAGTTTTATATTTTTAACCCGTACACGTGAAAAGATTACTTGGTGGTACATTAGCATAAAATAAGTCTGCGATGTGGCGTGAACGTGTGTATAACGTAAGTTGCGCTTTTGTTGGATTATTTTAGTACCTGTGTGTCCGTAGGGAACCCTGAGGCCGAAAAGCGACCGCGAGGAAGTCATTACCGGAGAGTATCTAAACGATTTGCTTGGTGGACTTAACGTTACGGTTGGAACGGATTACTCCACCAAGCTGTCAGAAGCACATGATGTGAATTTCATTACCACGGGTCTATATCTCGGAGACAAGTAAGTGTGCTTTAAGAGTACCACCCGGGAATAGCGGATTTTTGTAGATACACGGCCAAAGACAGGAGATTTTTAGCAAGGACTGGGTTCACACACGTTCTAAACGCGGCCGAGGGTATAGACGAATATCAAGTCAACACAAACCAACACTTTTACAGAAGTGCAAACATCACATATTTAGGAATACCTGGACATGATAGGCCTTCTTGGAATATTTCTGTTTATTTCGACGAAGCGGCGAGGTTCATCGATCAGGCGGTGAAGAGCGGCGGTGAGTGAAGTTGGCGAAGATTGCGCAATTCTGCATTATATTATTCTAGGGAAGGTGTTGGTACACTGTGTGGTTGGGATTTCGAGGTCCGCAACATTGGTTATAGCGTATTTGATGATTTGTAAAGGGATGAACGCCGCTGAGGCTCTAGCGTACACTTTTAAAAGACGACGGGTGTATCCCAACCATGGGTTTTTGAATCATCTAGCGCAACTCAATAACGTACTTAACAAAACGAGAGAACCAACTTTCAAAAGTTATCTGTTGTAAGAGAAAACTTGTGAATTCCAGGAATTGATCTTTTACTTAGAAGGTTCATTTTGTATCGGTTTCTGTACATGACGTGGATAATAAAAATATAGTTTGATAGTTTCCGAGTATTATTTTGTGTGGTGTTTGTGCAGATCTGGCGTGGGTTGTTATAAATCGATATCCTGAAAGTTGTTGAGAAAAGTCTAAAAATACTGTGTAAACATTTGTTTTAGTGCAATAGTTGTCTGAACAAAGACGCCAGTAGTTACTTAATCTAGCTTTATTTTTTGATAAAACTGAACAGTACATAACAACATAACAAACAGAATATTGACAGCTGACGAGGAAATTGCAATAGCATTCCGAAATAAGGGTTTATATGTACATCAGACTTGTAATTACTGTTATATTTAGTGCAATGATACATCATCAATTGCCGAAGCTTATTAAATATGTAATTTGATTTTACATGTCCATATATATATAGTACGACTTGAGCTTAAAAAACTTCCGAGTAACGGTGACAACAAATGAATAGGCAAAAATAATTTTAATAGAAAAATTACAGATCACCTCATACACAGTTTAAGTCTTGTTACATGAAAATGCAATTAATTGTAACAGTGGATGTTCCATGCCACACATAAAGTGCCAATTGCAAATAAATGTCACACTTATAGCTTTTCAACGTCAACATAGGCAGAGGCTACTTTGGTTGTTAGTTTAAACTAAATATGTTTGGTTTTTAACAAGTATTTCTAGGTTTTCAGCACATGCAGCCTCCTTCTGAGTCATGTTGGTCGTTTTGAAGCTGAGGTTGCGTTTGTAGATCCACTGCTGCACCGGTGTTAAGGAATAAAAATATCGTAAAAATTACAACATGCAAAAAACATGCCAACTCGGAAACTACTCGACGAAGCAAAAAAACTAACACGTCTTCAATACTAGATGCTTACTTGGACTTTTTCTAGCACCCCGATTCAGTTAATTAAATTACGCCGCGTCACTTCCAACACAGAAAAAATGTACGAAAAAATTTATTAAATGCTCGTATCCACTGAATGACGCAAGTTTACAAGACAAAGTAACAAGTTTTACATAAATCAATACATGCTTTAACAAAACTAATGTTATGTTTATAATCTCACCCTCGTCGATACTTTGTACCCATTCTCAGCGAATTAACCCGATAGCAACCACAACACAAATTCAATGCCTAACCCCTAAACTGAGAATGCAAGTATAAAACTATACACCATTTTATTTAGTTTAAAAAAATTATAAACATCCAATATTGCTGCATATATGTACAGAAGGAACTAATTAGCAAGCAGCATACATGCAAGCTGTCCCAAAGATACTAACTGTAACACTTGTCAAATTTTAAAGCTGGGCAAATCTCATAAGGGGATATTGTGCGTTTTATGACACTAAATATGATAAACCTAATTCAGATGATTTATCTGCACATGACACATAAAGCTGCAAAGGAATGTGCTAACATCTAAATTTCATCACAATTTGAGCTTACATTATAATAATATCGTGGATATCAAACTGCAGCTTCCTATACTTCGTCAAAGTACATCAAAGTTGGTGTTACAGTGGTTTATTTTTCTTTCCTTACAGTTTAAGTTTTACAGGCACGGTTACAGTCAAAACACCACTTATTTGAACACTTGGTATAATCAAACTTAGACCTATTTGATATGTCCAAAATTATTCAGTGTTTAGTTCAAATAAACGACGCCTTTATGTTTTTGTGAGATGACGGATGATGAAGTAATCAAAGCGGGACGTGTATATTTTAAGTCGACGGAACGCAAAAAGTAACTTTGATCGGATTCTAACCTCACTTGTCTGACGACCGACGGATACGACCGATTTTGATCACTTCTTGCTACCAAACGCCTAAGTTAGTTAGTAAGCACCATGTCGATAAGTCAGTACAGAAGTTCAGTAGCGTACCTAGTAAATGCATTAATCAGAGGAAACTTCAAGTGAATTTGTGTACACTCTCGATGAAATCAGGCAAACTGAACAGATCAGGCAGGAAGAGTGAAGTGTGTGTACGCATTTTGACTTAGAGTTCGTCCCCTTTTAAGTAAATAAACGATTAAATAATTTTAACTTAATTTCAGGTTGAATTTAAGAATAAGAATATGAAAAATATCAATATATTACACATAAATAAAAATTACGATAGTCCCTAACAGTTAAGGCAATACTTTATGACAATCATTATAACACAAGAGAAATGCGGAATTCCGGCAAATTCTAGTTTAAACATGTTTACAACAGTTAAATTAATTATATACAAACTTTAAAAGATTACTCACTAAAAAGTCTGGAATTTGTCGCAATTCTCCCAAATGTAAGGTCTACACAAAGTAACTAAGGCTTAAAAAAAGAAATTAAATAAACCTCGATTTAACATGCACAGCCTCCATCTGGATCTTTGACTTCGTTTGGTGTGTCTTTTAACACAACTTCTTGCACTAAAAGAAATATTAAGGAAAATAAAAGAAAATCCAGTGCAAAATCATAAGTAAAACATGCGGGAAAATAGCAAAATGCATTATAAATTAAATCATGCATTTTAAAAAGGATACTGTCTTCTGGTGGTTTATTTTCTGTGGAGTCCATTCCAGGCAGCGCGGCAGCAACACGTCTGAACAACTACAACTTAAAAATAAAAAACGACGTTTCTACGAATTAAAACGGAAATACCTGTTTAACATTATATCCAGCCTTTGCACTAGTTTCGATAAACATAACATTTAATTCCTTAGCTTTTCTTTCGCCTTCTTCTGTACTAACTTGTCTTTTATCAGAAAGATCTGTTTTATTCCCCACTAGCATAATAATCACGTCACTGCCTCTCTCCGTTCTCACATCGTCAATCCATTTAGATGTCTGATGAAAGGAATTGGCATCTACAAATCGCTCACTAACAATCAAACCCAACTCGTTACCCTTATATACTAACTCGTTATGTCATACACTACGACAGCAACAGTCGAATCACGAATGTATGATGGTATTAAAGACCTAAACCGCTCCTGCCCGGCCGTATCCCACAGCTGCAACCTCACAGTTCTGTCTTCGAGATACATTGTTTTAGATAAGAAGTCAATTCCTATAGTCGCCTAAAAGAACACGCGGGAAACGGTTCAAAACTGTATCTGCTGCAATAGGAAAAGGTCGTCCAACTTGAGCATAGCTTAAGAACCTTTCACACCTGACCTTGATTTACATTTTTGCATCTCACCGCGAAAGCGAACTATTATTCTTTTCGTTCAAAAACGCTTATTCACTCAATCCCTAACCTCAAATCACACTTGGGGGCGTTCGTTTTGGCCCGAAGTTGGAAAATTCTTTGCCCTAATGACATTTTCGTCAAAAATCGTAAACGCGTTATCGGCGTCGATTAAATTTTTAGTGCTGTAATGTTACTAATTTATAAACGTCGAAAATAGATTTGCTTTGTTGAGTTTTTACAACTCTCATTCAAATCCGGTTAGTTGACGGCGGGTTTGATTGGGCAAAAAATAAATGGGCGGAGTGGTCACCTCTATCGATTATTGCAATATCGGTCTAAGTTTTCAATTTATGTGTGCGGAGGGTTTCGCCGTTTCGTCACTTTCGTACGAAAAACGAAAAATCGCCTGTTTTACATGCCGTTCCAATATTCGCTGCCCAACTTCAAACGATTAATTAAAACGGGATGCGGCTGTTTCCAAACTGAATTGATTGCATGCACAAACACGATTTCCTACGCTATCAATATCGCCTTTGTGTTTTTTGTGGTATTTAATTATTAGGAGTAAATATGGGTGATGTCGGTTTTGTAAATTATCGTTGTTAGATGATTACGTCGATTCCGTACTAAATTCCAAAGCCAATTTGCTAGTCGTAATCGAATTACTTAGGGTAGTTCTGGGGGGACAATTTGTCGACAGATCGTAGGTTGTTATATGTCGCGTATGAATAAATGGCGGGATATTTGTGCTAAATTCGGACGATTAGGAGAGATTGTCTAGCGATCGATCGTTGTAAGGGAGATTTGTCGATTTCGTCGCGGCTTTGCCGAATCCAATCGAAGTAGGACTTGGATTTGTCGATGTTCGACGTCGATCGCTATACAAGGGTCTGTCGATTTCGCCGCTCGTACTAGGATCGGGGGCTTTTGGAGGTGCAATTGTTTGTAAGATATAGATGCAAAAATGTAAAATTTGGCTATTGTGATAGGGGCAACGCGTGGGTGATTAATCTGGTAGTCTTACTTACCTGGTAGGTGTTATCAAAGCTGTCATACATAAACCTTGTTATTAGTGACGTTTTTCCGACTGAAAATAGTGATTCGATTAAAAATAAGTATTAAGAAATTTTGTGGATGATTCATGTTTATAGCAATGATGAAATGAGATCTAATCCCGAATCAAGTATATCAAAACATAACCTAGAAATAATCTGTCATGTAGATGAGCCGAGGGCAAGAGAAAATCGATATGAAAAATGAAAGAAACTTGCGATATTTGACAATCGATTAAATATTAAACAAATACTGGGAATATTGTGAAATATGCCATTTATTGATCTTTTCAGAGGTCTGCTATGAAAGTTTACAACTCATCAAGAAACGTCAACACTTACCACTTTGTTCTCCTAAGAAAACTAACTTAAATTTCCGCAGGGGATTACCGAAGTCTCCTGAAGTCGACATTTTTTGTTAAAACTTAACGATTCGTTTAAAAACCCTTGCAAATATCGAATTTCACAGTAAAATATCACAGGAAAACGAACTGTACTGACTACACCGATGACAGAATACGCCACGGTAGCGACCGACTCGGACAACGACTTCACGTTCTGCGCATGCGGCTTTTGGGAGTGACCAAAAATTAAAATAATAATCAACTTTTACAATTTTTTTCCAAATTATCGCGGATGAGGAAGCGGACAAGAATTTTATCAACGAATGAATAAATGCGATAGAGTAACAGATAAATAAACAAATGAATATCCAGACCTATCTCGACCGGCCGCCGAAAGGCGGCACCACTTTAACTAAAAATTAGACCTCTTCGACATACTCCAAAAATTTATTAAATCGATTTTCAAAGTCTATTTTTGTAACTGATGACAAAAGATACAAATTATAGTTATGCAACACGTAAATCACCCTTTATTACCTGCTGTGTCTACATGGCTGCCTAAGACGACAACAGTTAATACTTTTAAATTTGGCAGCAAATTTGCGACTTTTTTGAGTTTATGTTACTATGATTATAAGTACGTTTAAAGCACACCTTTTAATGTTTTTCAAGGCTGAGAAGGTATACAATGTGTTAACGTTCTATCTATTGTGTTACAAGCGTAGCCCACGTATACGTAGTATTTTCAAAGACTATATTTAATTTGGTCAAATCTGCTTCCATTGTTTGAGTTTGAATTGATAAGTCCATTAATCGTGCGCTACGCGCACAACACACTTTCACGGCCTTTGTTGATAACAATTTTTGGTAAAACAAATACAAGACGATATCTTAAGCTTAGATCTAATATAAATGTTCATTAAGTGTATAAAATGAATTAATTTTGTTGATTATGAAACCATTAAACAGCCCACTGTTTCATGGCGACGTATCAAGTTTCGACAGAATCGATCACTAATTTAAACATGGATCCTATAACTGGTTTTATACAGCGGGGTCACTGATTGACAAAAAAAAAACAAATGCCACCATCAAAAAGGTATGAATTATTAAAGACCAGTTGTTTCTCAACTCACCGAACGAGATGGCACCACAGGTGAATTTTATAGCTGTAGGTGAAACTGCTAAATTCAAATGAAAAATCTGAAATCGTATTTTCTTGCAAAAAGATAATTGTAACATCATATTTTTTTGTTATTTAATAAACTTTCTTTCATTGGTTAAGCTAAAGTTGACATTTCATTTGCTTACAAGAGAATGAGGAATTTTGACGTCGAACACCGGAACAAATATGAACACGCAAACTTCCAGGTCAGATCATCAAACATAACATTTAATAAATTTACTTATTAAGCCCCTTTAATAAAAAACTGTATTAGAGAGAAGACAAATTTGATCTTTATTGTACAAGTATACTGTTAATTAAGTTTGACACATTAATTACACGAGTAATTCGATTAACAGTAATGATTCGTAAAAACATTTATTTTTTTTGGCATTTACATCTGTAAATACAAGTCATTCTTCTTAAATTAATTAACATAAATGAGTATATGTAAGAATATTTATTAATATCATAGTATTCTTTGGACACACCTAACATAGCGAAAAGTACAAACGTCAGAAATATATTAATAATCAACAAAAAGTTACACGCTTCCTACGTCAGTATTGCGAATTTGGCGAATGCTGAGGGAGATTGTGATGATAGGAACTGGACGTAGAACTCCCCGTCGTGGCCAAAAGCTGTCCAGAAGGAGGCGGCCGTCCTTCTGAACTTCCCGTACCCCGATTCGCATAATTACTGCTACTGCTCGATTTGCTCTGGAAATTTGTGCTGTTGGAATGATACGTGTTACTCCTTGACGACGGTCCGTGGTACGACCCATAACTCGAATCGTCCGACTGTGTCGCTTGGCCCCGACGTTGTGAACCCAACATACCATACATAGACTCCGGCCTACCACTCTTGGAACTTTTTTCCTCATATTTGGTATCGCTGGTTTTGCTGGTGTAAACCGGACGTTCCGTCGTGCTGTAGTTATCCGATCTTGAGACCACCCCTGGAGTGACCCCCCGCACTCCGTAAATGCTCTCGGATCGTTGCTGCTGTTGTTGGTTTTGCAAATTCTGATTCTGGACGTGGGTTTGTTGGTTCAGCTTGATGGGGTAAAGGGACTGGGCCGGAACCAGAGGGCCCGGTTTCGGGAGGATATCTCTATTCACCCCACTATTGGATTTCGTATAGACCGACTGAGATCTGTTCAGATTGGCTCGCGTCAGCGGTGGTGATTTGCAGTACAGGGATTTTGTGCCACCATACAAGGACTCGACACGTTCGAGCTTGACAGCTGGAGCTGAATATAGACTAGCAGAAGTCAAACTGGGACACCAACCAGGTGGGCCAGTGGTAGTACCAGAAGGCCTATACGTGTTGTACGTAGAACCGTGGTACTTAGGAGCTGGTTTGTCCAAATCATCGTAAGTATCTTCGTCCGAATGGATACTGGACGAATCGCCTTCGGTTGACTGATTTGGACGCTTGTGACGTTTGGGGTTGAAAACGTACTCGTGGATTAGGCCCGCTGCTATGCCTCCTACTATAGGACCCACCCAGTAGACCCAGTGGTTCTGCCACTTGCTGAAGACGAAAGAAGGTCCCAGCGATCGCGCCGGGTTGAGATGCGGCATCTGGAACACGAGGTTAATTATATGGACGCTGCAGTCAAAACAGCACCTGTCGATAATTTCGCTATTTAAAGTGAGTGTGAAACTGGTTTCTCACTTGTCAAACTGATGGATCATGTAGGCAGAACGAGGCACAACGAGCAAAGTTTTAAAAGCCCCGGTTACACCCACACAATTTAAAGGGTTAGATTACGAGTTTCGACATACCGGAGAAATGAAGGTACAAGCTGAGTACGTCGCCCCCATAGTTAGTGCTGATTTTCCCATCCATTTGCTATGACTATCCATAGATACAAAATAGGAAAAAACTACCACGAAGGTAAGTATGAATTCGATGCCAAACTTCTCCCATGGTGCATCCGTTACAGAAACGGTGAACATGGGTATATCTTGTCGTTTGGGTACAGTAACCCTGCAATAAAAAAGCTTAGTTAACATAGATCGCATAACGGAATTTGTGCACTCAAGAAAATGTAACACTTGTTCGCAAAAATGCTGATTCGTTTTTCATTTATACGTCGTTTCACGCATGTAGCTGCGGCTTAGGGGTAGTTCTGATTCTGAACCACTTAAACATCTGCAGGTTAGCCAGGACCGAGTGGAAACACAGGAAACGTGTATCTTTGAGGGAAGTTTGCATGCCGCGGATATCACTCGTCATATGAGACGTCTAGGGGACTATATAGTTGTATAATAATTAATTCTGATCACATCGTAGCTAGCGTACACTTAAATCTGATTGACCTTTGTCGGTTCGATTTAATTTTGTGCAGTCAAGCAGCCAAAAATGCTTCGAACATCCGAAGAGTAACTTATTTAAGCAAATAATGCGACTTGGTGTAATTTAATCGTGGCGTGTGACCCTCTAAGAAACTATTCATCAATTAATAGCGGGAGATTACTTCTAATTGACTCGGTCAAACAATAGAAACACGATTTGAAATGTTGTACTTCGTACAAATTCACTGTCATTCGATCTCGTGTCAACAAGAAAAGTAAATCCACACCCCAGACCTGGCGTTATTAAAAAAAATGTTCAATACCTCGGTTCATTTCGTAGGATTTGCATCCGCCTTTCTTGGTTCGGAAGCCGCAGATTCATCGATCGTTCGATAAACAAACTTGTTGACATTTCAACAGAAAATACAAACTCTTATCGAAATAAAATAAAATAAATAAAGTATAGACAGTGAACTAAGCTGTGTCCCCAGATGTTCAACACATGCCTCGAACTTTCCAAAAAATGCGTTCGCTGTAATTGTGTCGTTCCCACAAATCGAAAAAATCATAGTTACTCCCGCAATTCCACGGTAAACAAACTTTCGGTTTTTGGGTGTTCGCGAGCAGCTGCAGGTAACAATAAATCGAAAACGGGCGAACCGTGCCGTACGATTCTTTCAAAGCAAAAGATAGAATTCGAACACTATAGGAACTCAACCATCCCTAATGTAGGTAGGTAAAATGTATAGCAGCGGAGAGGAAATGCCAAACAAGTGGTGTAAAAAATGCCAGGTGGTTGGAAACCGAAGACACACGTGCGCCAAACTTATGAAGACCTTCATTTTTGTCAAAGACGAGCTCTTATCTGAATGCAGCTGATTAATCGCCCGCTCGACGCATGTTTTATGTATTTACTTTCTTTATTTAAATGGGGAACTCGACGACTAGTCGAATTTACAAAATAAATTTCTGTGTCAGAGTCTAAATTATGTGCGAATGAGAGCATGTGCATTAGGAAACAATTATTGAAATTTTATATGCCAGACTGTAAAGTTAGCGACTTGTTTTCCCACCCCTGATGGGGAGCAGACACGTGTCCCGTGAGTTTAAGTCTCTACGGTCATTCGCGGCTAATACTACAGGGAAATCTGCGTGTGAAGCTGCGTTTGGGACGTTTTCACACGGATTTTGATGCCCGTGTGATAAAGCTAATGATCAACGATAAAAATTAAACCATAAGCTATATATGGAGAATTCGTCAGTTGTCCGAAGTTAAGAAATTCTTGAGTATGATAACAATGACGATGACGTCACCGTTTTTGGCGCCACCTTTTAAATCCCAGCCAGCACAATCGTCTGTATTTTTTGGCTTAAAAACTAACTTCTGATGACGTCACTTCTCGGTGAGATGTTTATAAAAGGCATTACTATGTATTTTGAAATAATATATAAACCTCGATAGTGACATTTTGCTAGCATCTGGACGCCAGCAGTCTTATGGTTTCGTACATGAATTAAACAAAGAAAGTGTCATAAATGGACTAGTCTTAATGGGCGCATCGTGCACGCGTATGACTTTATTTAATTTCCTTCTCCATGTAATGAGTCACTTTTAAATGTATCGTGACATGGCGAAGAGCTTAAAACGTAACTTTCCTGTGTGATTCTAGCCCTTATGTCAGCGTGCACAAGTGCTCATGTGATGCGTGAGTTCTTTCTCGTTTTATTTTTTCCGTATGTTTGTTGTGAAAGTGTCTTCACAGCATATACGCTTCTTTTTTTTTGAAAATGAAGCAACCACGGGTCTTTGTTAAAGAGGGGTATGTATATTTTTTCGTAATATTGATTCTATAGCGCACACGTCTCATTGAATACATCCCCCTAAAAAAAAGGACACAATGACTAAATCCCTTGATAGTACCGAACAAGTGCAGACTTATTTATAATATACGATTGGGGTTAACGAACAATAATCACGCCGTTGTATGCGAATTAAAGTATATTGTCACACTTCACCTAACCGAGTGTGGTTTTAGAAGGGGTCATGGAGCCTTCTTCGTAATTGTTACCCTATGTTAGCCTATGATCCTTCTAATCGATAAAAAACTGAGCCCGTTTATCCCACTTGCATTTAATTTGACGAAGTCGCTTTAATATAGTTTAAAATAACTGGTTATTTTTAGCCTCGTGACAAAGTATCTTCGCGCAGTTTATTTTGATTTATTGTTCGAAAATAACCGTTCGTTTTTGTTGATCGCTGGAATTTTTCAAGACCGGCTCTGTCACAAAAAGAGAAGTATTTTACCTGAGATAATAATTTACCTGGGTAAGGAATAACAGCTGCCGATTCCCGCACAAAGCACGTAACAACGTTACTAAATTTAGCCAAATTTAATTAAATCCCTTACGATGTATACATTTTTATTTAAACGAATACGCACAAAGGCGTCAATATGTATATGTATAATCTGCAGCTTTATAGTCTGGAGCATAATCGAGAAACGAGAAAGGAATGCTTTAGGGCAACAGCTGAAAAAGGCAGGTGATACCCAACTGTCTTGACAGATGGTTCAACTCAGATATGAACCTTAAGCAATATCATCCGCTAGCCATTTTAATAACTGAAATAATCACCACCACCATAATCAAAACGGAAGGAACCCACAACGTACATACAAAAGAACACGTGTTTTCAATTTGAGCAAAAATCTTGCCATGTTATTTGATACGATTTTCGCTCCGGACATTTTCGCCCTTATCGACAAGTACATAAGACTCACCCGTACAGGAAAGCAGCCCCGGCGATCGCACCCCCACACTGGGCCACCACGAACATCTTCGCCCTCAAGAAGGAGATGTTCTTTGTGACACCTAGGGCGATCGTCACCGCCGGATTCACGTGCGCCCCTGAAATAACACCCTTATAATAATAGTAGTAATAATAGTGTCTTCATTCATCGTGGTGGTTACAAAATTGCTCATGATAATAATTAATAATAATAATTATAGTTATAATAACAGTGATAAAGACGGTGAGATGGTGGAGTTAACAAGAAGAGTCTAGCGATAATTAAGAAGTGAGTGTTAAGCTGATTAGGCGCGACTCTGTTAATTACCAGATATGTGTCCAAAGCACTGTGTCAACGATATCATAGCGAAGCCAGCTGCTAGCGCTGTGGAAAGAATAACCAGAGGAATCGAAGGAACAGAGACTCCGACGACGGCACCTGCCGATGCACCGCACACAATAAATACATATATGAAGGAGGCTATACACTCGGAGATGACGGATCTCCAGAATCCTAGGGTACGTATTTCAACTTTAATTGGTAGTTTTGTGGCGCACTGTGAGTTTTGTTTGTTGTCGTTTTTTAAAGCCTCTAGTTTTTCGAAAATAGTTATGATGTGGTAGTCTATGGTTTGTTCACTACATAAATTAATAGGTTCTTCTGCCATTGTTTTAAATTTTTGATTTAACTATATTGCACTACACGTTCATTGTCAACAGTGTCGGGAACCACTTACACAACGTGTGATGCCAATGCGGCACTTCTGAAGAAACTTCTTTCGGCATAATACGACCACATGATTGCTTCCCCCTCTTTGGATGATTACCAATGGCAAAGTGGAGCGCCCTTCCCATCTTGCGCATGGCGCGGTAAATGGCCAATCCATTGGACAATTCAAAGAAATTTACCAATGAAGCAGGCAAATAGAGATAACAACAACTGTTTTTGACACGTTTTTTATACACCGCCAACATCGTTGAACTCTCGGTAATTAAAACATCAGTAGCTTCGGTTCTAGGATCACATAAACCAAATTAATTCAACTCTTAATTAAAACATGCGTGTGCTTTCTAATGTAAATAAATATATGAAACCGAGTCATTTTATTGTATAATTATTCTTAACTGTTTTCCCAATTTTCTTTTGTTCCGCTACGAAAACATCGAGGCTAAATTTTTACAAACTGTAAAATTTCACTTAAGTCGTGGATTGTGAGTTCGTTTTTTCCTAAAATGTGTCCCACGGGACACTTGAGATTAACTAAGTAACTTACGTAACTACTAACAACATTAAGAGATTTAGGTACACCAAAAGTAAAAGCCAAATGTAATGACATATTGACAAATGCTCCCCACACAAATGATTTTGCATTTTTTAACGCTACATAATGTTATTGATATAATCTAAAAATCAATTTTTTATCGCTGAGAAATACTTCCTATATGTTAATAAAAATAAGTGAATGATCGAGGAAGATTCAAGTTGTCAATATCTAAATTTATTTTTAATCGTTTATCCTTATCAATATCTCCCTCGTTGCCTATTAAATAAATCTGATATAATAGATGTATAACATGATTTTTGACAATTTGCCTTGCGCTCGCTGTATACAATACGCCGGCACTGTTGACATTTCGACATTTTCCTTTAACAACTAAACCGAAAGAAGGTGCTATTTAGACGTTTTTTTTCCAACTGAATTGATTTAAGTTTTACAAAATTTTCATTCATTACTAATAATTACGTTTATTTTCTGTGACGCCATCTCTCTTAAAGTAAGGAAATATAACGCTGAAACGTCATTTTCAAACATAAGTAAAAAGTCAAAGGTGTTATTACTAATTAAGTATTTCAGTCAAATAATATCATATAATTAAAACGAAAACTATTTTTAACGCCTTTCAGTTTCCTTTCCGGAGTTGAAATATCGATTCAACAGTAGACATAGTTACGACTTTTGTAATGTTCCACCTCCGGTGCGTAGGCAACCCACAATACCAATACATTACACGCCTGTCTATTTAATTAGAATGAGTCACTCCATGTTTCCACGTTTCGTTAGTATCTAGTACCTCAATAACCCCACAAATCAAAAATGACTTCTGTTTACGTAAAACGAAGTACCCAGATAAGCTCTTTAAACTCAGATTAATAAATATACACTTTCACCTGTTTTTGTTAGCGTGGAGCAAATGTATGCCGACATATCAAACGCTGTAAACCTTTCGTGCTCTCAAAATACGGAAAAAATAATTCATAATTGCAATTAACCATACGGGCGGCTTTTGTGTGTTTAATTAATGCCCCGCCCACCGTCTCTTCTTTAAGTAAGCTTATGTTTCCGTTAGCAGACTTGAGCAACTGTTCTTGTAAATAGCACATATTTGGTAGACGCGATAAGAGATGATTATTGTTATTGATGTTGAAACCTTTATCTTGATAACGGTGTGAGTAACTCTGAAAAATAATAGCGAAGTTGTGATAATCGGGCGTGTCTGATTAAGTTTTCTATGAATTAATTCACTTTCGAGTTTGCTTCAAGTTGAGTCAGTTAGTTCGAGTGATTCAATGCGTCTCATTCTAACCATAGTGTGACGTCACTCAGGTGTTTCGCGTCCACCTGTGTTGTTGTAGACGGTAATATGGCGACCGTAAACGGTTTTAAGTTCAAAATAATTATACTATTGTGTAGTGAATTTGGTTCGTACGTGTTGGGACAGTACGATGAGTATGGACGAACACCGTATCACCAACAAAATCAGTATAATCAATACAACAACAATCCGTACAATAATAACCCGTACAATACCCCGTATAATGTACCCAATCCGGGGGATCGGGATTACAGAACGTACTTTTATAAGGGGAGGAGGTACGGCCAACAAAGTAATTATTACAACAACAGGTGGCGTCCCGGAGATCCCCGGATACAAGGACAGGATGAACACTTTTTCTACGATCCTGTATATTGCTCAATGGAAAAGAGGTCATTCACTCACGTGCTTGTTTTTAGCAAGGGAACGAGGAACCGATACTTCCGGGAATATTGGGAGCATGGAGAACCGACTTACAGGGGAAATTCAGGCAACAAACAAAGGATAAACCACGGGATATATTCGTGGCGACGACGCATGGACAAGTGCAGGGTTTTTTGGTTTACCTTTTTGATAACCCTGATCCTGATTCCCTGTATAGACCGGGATCCGAGTTCATTGAGAGGGAATACGGGATGACCGAGGTCTATCTAGGGATACCCTATGCAGAACCACCAATTTTAGAAGGCCGTTTTAAGGTATTAACTTCTTTATTCCAACATATGTATACTAAAAAAATTAAAGCCCCCTAGATGGCACAAAGGTTGGCAACTACTACAAGCAGTCGATTTTGGTCCTGCTTGCCCGCAACCTGCACGATATGTCGGGGTTACTAAAGGTGTCAGAGACATGGATGAAGATTGTTTGTATCTAAATATTTACAAACCACCTGTACGTTCCACAAATAATAAAACAATACTAACATTAACGAATATTTTTACTAGACAAAAGAATCAGAAGTTGGTCAAAGATTCCCTATCATGTTTTACATACACGGAGGTGATTTTATCAGAGGTGCATCCAATACATTCCCTGCTCACATCATGGCAACTTTTTACAACGTAGTCGTTGTAACTATCAATTACCGTTTAGGTGCATTAGGTTTCATTAGTACCGGTGACGTCAACTCCCCAGGGAACTACGGTATTCTAGACCAAGCGATGGCACTGAAGTGGGTTTACGAAAATGCGGACAATTTTGGTGGTGATAGGGACAGTATTACTTTGTTTGGTCCGGGAGCTGGAGCTGCATCCGCCGGACTTCTTATGGTATCGCCAGAAACCAAACACATCGTTTCTAAAGTTATTGCCCAAGTAAGGTCACGATTGCCCGATTTGGTCCCAAAATTATATATGTTTTTCAGAGTGGTTCAGCCTTAGCTGACTGGACCCTAATTGTTGATAAATATCGTGCCCAAAATACAAGCAGAGTGTTTGGCAAACTTATAGGATGCAGCATTGAGTCATCATGGAAACTAATGAACTGTCTCAAACAAGGCCGCAGTTTTTACGAGATAGGGAATTCCGAATTTCCACCGGAAGTAGGATTGTTCCCGTGGGCACCCGTAATCGAAATGAATGTTACAATGCCTTATTATGAAGGGTGGAACGAAAAAGATTGGCACTTTCTTAGAAAAACACCAGAAGAGTTGTTACGGAAGAGGCAGTTCAACCCCAATTTGAAGTACATGTCGGGGATCACCCTCCAGGAAGCCGCCAGCTTTATTAGTAAGTAATCACGAAATAAGGAACTAGGGTCTGTTTGGTAAATGGTTATTTTTTTTTAGCGTCGAACAAATCACTCGAACCTAATTATATAATCGATGAACAATTTTTCGAGCAAAAAATTTGGGAGCTGGTGTTACGTTACAACTACACGTTGAACTTGAACGGGACCTTCGAAGCCATCAAATACATGTACACCTATTGGCCCGATCCTACCAATAAGACGCACATACGTGACAAATACGTGCAAATGCTCTCTGACTTCCTGTACACAGCACCAAATGACAAAATTGTCAAGATTTTAGTTGAACAAGGAGTAGATGTGTACCAGTATGTTTTAAACACCACTATAGAGTCCTTCAAACTGGAGGAATGGCGGAAGGTACCTCACGACATCGAACATTACCTTTTATCCGGAGCGCCGTTCATGGACGTCGAATTTTTCCCAGACGGCAAATTCAAAAGGGACCAGTGGACCAACAACGACAGAAATATGAGTCATTTCTTCATGAAAGCGTACACAAACTTTGCCCGATACGGTGATCCGACTTATACCCAGATTCTTGGTTTACATTTTGAAAAGGCCAAACACGGCGAGCTTAAATACTTGAACTTGAATACTACTTATAATTCGTCCATCATGTGGAATTTTAGACAGACGGAGTCTGCGTTTTGGTCTCAGTATTTGCCGATTGTTGTTGGTTACTTGGTGCCGACTTATCCTCCCACTACTGAGTACTGGTGGGAACCAAGAGCACCTTTACAGATAGCGTTCTGGAGCATGTCCGGAGCGTGCCTCCTTTTGGTCGTTCTTTTGGTGGTGTGTTGTATGTTGTGGAGAAATGCAAAGAGGTAAGCAAGGTAAAGGAAGCATTTTTTTACAAATCGGGCGTGTAGAGGATTTGTAGAAGGTTTCCTAATACCACGTAGAGCTAACTGTACTAGTCCATAACTAACACTACTAACATTTTTGGCACACATACAACTGTCTTGTGTTAAATAGGTTAGAATGAGATTTTGAACACCATATATTGATTTTTTCGTAGTATTTGGTATAGGGTGTCTCAGAAATAAGCACATTAATTTTAATCATAGAACTCATCAAACCCAACAACTTTTTTTAATAGAGTTTTGTCACGAATTTTTTAATTATCAAGTTAAAAATTGTTCAAGTTTTATTCCAATTAAGGTTACCTGCCCATGGATACTCAGTCCCCCATGGATACTAATAATTATTACAATTATTAATAATTTATGGTCAAAAACAGTTACTAGGATACGTATTTTCCTAATCTTGTCAACATGACAAACATTTAGAGGGAAATTGAAAGTGCTGCTTCCTAATGGCGTACGGAATTTGATCGGTCCAAATGGTTACACCTTCCCTCGTGTATTCGGCCTCATCAGTTGATGGTATAAGAGATACAAAATTTGCTTGTTCGTTTATTTTTTTATTAACCCATTCACAAAATTTTTGCCTACGTGGTAAGTCTGTCCTGAAAGGGCTACAGTTGTTCTGTGAGTAGCCTCCAAATACTACTCTCCGATACATCACACTGGACCGTGATACGTGCTAGTGTCCGGTCGAGCTTCGACACCCTCCAAAACAGCCTCTTCAGTATTAGCAATTCTATTACTACGTAACTTATCCCGATCCTGAGCTGCAAGTTTAAAAGATCCGTACTGTCGAAGATGCTGCAACGTTCTTGAAAGTGCGCACATTTGGCAGACGACGATTCGGGAGGCTTTCTGAAAAAATTCTTTGGGCGCGAGCGCAATTTCCCTGAGCTTCATCGTACGTTAAAACGATATCGGTGTATTCAAGATTTGAAAACAAAGCCACTTCGACACATTTCGTCTATAAATTAGAAATTTGTGCCAAATAAACTCTAAAGAAACGACGTTTAATAACATACGACAGACATAAAAATGATTTGTTGTTTATTTTTGTAGTATTGTTATTATTTAAGTTTTTATTTAAGGTAAACATAGAGGGCTCGTGAATATATGGGTGGGAAAATTCTAAATTCGACTAGAGTTTTCAAAAAAATGCTATATAATAAAGTTGTTCCGTTTCACGAGTTCTGTTACTGGTTAAAATTAATGTACTTATTTCTGAGACACCTGTATATGCAGTAATGAGCCATGTTAACGCGACTACAAATTGCCGGAGTACTATTATCATAGAACTACATCAATAGATGGCGCTACTATACGTCTAATTTGACATTGACGCTATTAATATTTATTTATTTACTTAGGCAATCCGATCGGTACTACAACGACGTCTTCATGGTACCTGACACCGATACCGAAGAAGGTATTGACAATACGCGCATCGCCAACCCTTACGACTACTCAGAAAAAATTAGGACACCAGTAAGTGTGCCCGCACGGACAAATAGTGCTTCCTCGTTCCGAACTGAAAGTGCTGTTTCTTTAAAAGAGATGCAAGGTTTTATGAGCAGTAGTCCGAGTGAGGACTACCCCAGAAAGGGTACCCCAGTTTTATCCCACAGGCAAAACAAGAACAAGACGCAGTTAATGCAAGGAGTGCCACAGACTGACGTTTAAAATTTTAATACAAAGACGACTGTAAGAAGATAGCTTTGCCATATTGTATAGAAATAGTGGCATAGGACAATACTAGCTTTACGTCTAACATATAAGTGCGCTAACACCAACTGTGTTCTTTAAAGACTTAATGAGTACACATTCCAAAATGTCCGTCCTCGATGTACGCGTGCGATGTATGTCATGTTGCGCTGTTATTTATATTTTATAAAAGTTGATAAAAAGTACTATCTTGTTAACTTAAGTTAAGTGGCAATTTCGCTTACAGTGGCTTTACCAAAGACAATTCCAACTTTGTTAGGATACTTTAACCCATGACTACAGCAAATCTACATTACGCATAACCCATAATGTAATCGATCACAGATCTCGTACATACTTTAATAAATTTTTGTACCTTATGATGCAGTTTTTTTCACCATCGATATTCTCTCATTCTTTAGAGACTTTGAGTACTTTCATTTTTAAGTGTTTCTTACCTCACCTTGCCTCACCATCTACAACAGGAATATATTTTCCACCGACAGGTCAGGTACTGGCGTATTGTCGGCGCTTCCTCGTCATGTTATAGGAAGACATGTTGGTAGTACCACTCTCAGTCTGTAATGGACATATTTCCCAAAAAAATGTGCAGATATTGTCTCCTTCCCTCCTAAAAGTTAATATGGTCGGGTCTCCGAAAATATACTTTCGGAAAATCTACAGACGTGGTGGTCAAAAATTCTTTTCTTTTGTTTAATTAAGCAATAATATGGTCGTCAAGGAAGAAAAATTGGTATTTTTGAAACAATGTCGCACAGAACTATTGGTACCACCTACAAAAAAACCAAAACTGTTCTGTTATATCTATCATAAAATCGGTACTTCTTATACAATAAACTCGTGAAATCGCTGTTTTGTATTTTAGTACCAGAAGAAACTAAAAAAATTTTTGCGGAAGTTAATCGTGGTGGTGATTTGAGGTGGGGCTGTGGAATTATGAGTACCATCGATTTTACGAGCCGGATGCAGCTATTTTGACACGGTACGATAATATATTACACATCAATGTATCGAAAACTATTCAAAGCTTTATTTTATCGATACGGGTGTTAAATTTAGCGATGTTTGCGTGGGTACTGTATGAAAGGATATATTTAATAAAATTTTTGTAGGACGTCTACCGGCGATTGCACTCAAGCGGTTGCCCATTTCGTGATCATTATGAAACGCATCGCATCATACCTAGCTATAAGCTTGTTCAGTGTAAAACAACTCGCGTAAGCATGCGGTACTCTTTGATGGTCAGTATCACGTGCGTCTTTCTGATAGCGGAAAACGCGGCCTTGAGTGGGTGATAGCAAAAACTAAGTTGACTGAAAATTTGTGTTAGTGTTGTGTGATAAAACTATCAAAATGATTACTTTGTACAAGACCATCAAGGGTACTACCAAGCACAAGAGAAAAAGGGAGAGCAAAGGGTACGTAATAGACGATAAATTCCGCGGAATAGGGAGATATAAATACAACAGAAATGTTAGATTAGGTAGGAAAGTATAAAGAGAAAAGAAAAAGTTGGCCTTCGAGGTGTTAATGTTTTACCAATCGATCCGCGATGATTTTCGACCGTGTGTAGGCAAATATTGTGTAATTGCAGGCCTGTAATAAAATACGAAAGTGTGAAAATATAAACATGAGGCAATCGATTAATTAAATAAAAACAAAAATTTTTGTTCGCCCTAATTCACATTTATAGGTGGTTAACTAAGTGTGGCTAAACATATTCACGTTTGAGTGCGGTAAATACTGTTATTAAAATTCCATACTCGCGACATTTAAATGTGAAGGTAGACGATAAACGCATCTCACAATTGAATGGATTAGCAAAGACGTTTTCAATATATTTATCAAAACAATTATTTCGAGCATTCACCAGAAAGTTACTTATTAAATACTTAAATAACCGTCTGCCACATTAAATTCGTTAACAGTTACCCATTAATAATTAAATTACGGATAACAGTGGTCAGCAATGCAGTTAGAAATTTATAACTAGCTCGATGACCTAGAAATATTAACAACAATTAAAATTCAGACAATTTGCTGATTATTGCCTAGATTATTGTAATAACTCGCACGCAATCTGCTTCACTCTTGCATTGCATGGTCTTTTGCCATGACTGATCGGGCCTTACTAAAATGGTAAAAAATAGAAACTTGTACTGGCGAAATACGATTAAATTAACTACCAACGAGAATTTTTATACACAAATTAATAGTTCCAGATTGGTACCTACGCGACGTACATTAAATATAACTATGCGTCTAAAAGCGATTTTAATACTCAGCATGTGGGTCAAGTTGATCGTAAAATTTAAGAAAATCATTTTAATGGAATTTTAATAATGAAGTGACACAACTTGATTTTGTAATCCGAGTCATTGAAGCAATTTTTAGAGAATTTGATTACATTAAATATTACTCACGAAGTTCGTCAAGTATATACTTGAATTAAACAAGATTATATACCTATATGGGTTTTTGCCATACACAAGATAGATATTTTAAAAACCTAGATATAGCGCCTTCTAGATTGTTTAAAGGTTATGATGACTTCAGATTTGACAGATCTAAAATACCCATTAAAAAACAGAAATTTTCTTAGATGCCAAGACACTACCAGTGTGTATGTTATTGATTTAACCACCTTTATTGATAGGAATCGAAACATAAAACAACAAAATTCGCTTTCTAGAGTTCAGGAATGCGCAGATTTGCATATTTGGTAATTCATGAAGGCAATAATTTGTGTTAGTTTTTCGGTTTTACGACCGCACAGATTTGACGCGGCTATCTTTTTTTTCTTAATTAAAAATACATAATTCCCTATTGTCGTCGCAATTTTGGGATTAAAGATCAATTTTTTTCGTATCGAAAAATTTACACGAAATATCTATTAACTCATGTTTATTCATAGCCGTATTTCGCAAAGTGGAAACAATTTGGATTCTGGTGGGAGGAGGCTTAAGTTTTTGTACGTTTTTTAAGTAAAGCTTAAACGTGGAAACGAATCCTATTTATGCAAAGTACGTTAGAGATAATTTGCATACATTACGAAAAGTGTATTAATTACGTCCCTTTATTGGTGGAATTAAAACAGATTAAACGTCAAATGTCTGGAGGCAGTCGTACCACGGAGAGTCACGTATCAAGAGCTGATGTACCAATTGTGATGAAAGGTTGAATCACCAAAATGTATTGGTCGAAGGTGTTGTAATTTAGCTAGAATTAAGTATTACGACTGGATTCAAGGTGAATTAAATTATGTTATAAAAATAAATAGTCACTCTTTGTGTCTTGAACATTTTATTTTTTTAAGCATTCAAAAAACCAGTCCAATCTTCATAATGGTGACCATTAAGTCAACTTTATTTTAAAGAAAAGAAAAAATACTTAGCCAACCTGTTTAAGATACCCCGACATTTTTGCAGACTGATAGTTTATACCTTTGCCCTCCCCCCTCACCCGAAAATTCATCATCGCACCAAAAGACATCGATACTGTAGTTTGATTTGTACGCGTCATGATCTTACCCTCCGATAAACAGATTATAAATATATTGAAGCATTACCTTGCAAAAATACTGAATAAAATCTACACATAAATAACGCATACACCGTAGTGATACAATACATTCGAATAAATAAAAAGGGCATTGACGTGTCACCTACCGTCAAAAAAATTTCAACCAATGGTTCAACAGCTACGCCTGAACTTGTGCCTTGGGAATATTTATGTTCGCAAAATCTTTTCCTGGTTCTATTTGCATTCTCAAAGAGTCTACGCGTAATTTGGAATATTAAGGCCCGATTATTTGCTCAGTAACAACAACCGAAACCACCAAAACATGTATAGATGTCGCATATTTCCAAGATGAAATCACTGGAACCGTAGTATATATTTTAAACGAGTCGACGTGTTATTGGACTACCAACCTTACATTCGATTGGGATGTTTGCGAATGTTATCCCACAAAAAAATGTTTGTTGTTTATGTGGGCGTTGAACGACCGTCATGGTCTAGAAGTGCCATCATCAAGCCAGCAATTCGAAAATTACCGGATTCGAAGATTCTTCTACGTCTTAATCATCCTTGCCAATGTAAAGGTCGCAGCCTGAACTGCTCATTGTTAGGAAGGACGGTCAACAGTTTACCGGTCTAATAATTCGAAAGTTGAACCATGCGTAATTTCCCCCGGAATGAGCTGGCCAGTTATAATTAACCAGCAGCGAGGTTTAGACTTGAGTTACTTCAGTATGATGTACACAATTAAATAATGTCATGTTATGCAGCGACAGTCTGGACACACATCAACCTCTCTCGGGAAATTTTGAGTTTCTTTAGGATGATCAGTGCACTTACATGATTGATTATGTTATGCAGCGTCGGTGTGCACACATCTGATTTCCCGGAACGCATCGACTGACCTTTTTAATACTAGTCCAAAGAAAATTTTTTGAACTTCGTTTCAGCTTACAATTAAAGCAGGTTTTGAGTCACACTTAGGTACTTTAGTGTAATCAATAAAATTAAGTTATAAGTCATGTTGTGCGGTGTCGGGTTGGACATGTTTGGCCTTCTGGGAAACACAGGTTGGTCCCCTGAGAGGTTTCCCAAGATTCCGATGGCCCAGTCCGTCGACGAAGTATGACAAGTTTGACGCATTCGTCACCAAAGTTAGCCTTACACCTAAACAAATTAGGAAATTTTGTGAAATATCTGCCTGGTCTGATTAATTAGTGGCAGCGGATCCGATCGGTGAAAAATTGTTTGCTCCCGGACTCGTACCCGTTTTCTAAAGTTACATGTTGTCCTTGAGAAATTGTTATTTATGAGAAATGTTCGCCACTACATGTAACACAATCGAGCTTCTATTGTAGAGCAGCAATATCAAAATTAGTTCCACCACATATCCCTCGTCGTAACCAGCCTTGCTCAGAAAGCGAATCACAACATTCTTATATACAGCAATTAGAACTGAATAAATGGAACCCAAATTGAGAGGACAGGTTGCACTTGCAGGTAATAAGTCAAAATGTCACATTGCAAATTGGCGTAATTATAAGAAATACAGGTTATGGGGCTGTCAAAAACTCGGTACGAAATGAAAACTGAGTATTAAATGTGCATTCCTGTGGAGCACCGTACGGCGAGCATAAATCACTCACTGTCCCTGTTAAATTTCAACAGTCAAAATTATTAATTTCTGCGAGGACAAAATTTTTGTAAGTATTCCGAAGCGGAAACTTTTCAAACATGTGGTTGCAGTGTCGTGCGAAGAACCGAAGCGGTGCATGAAAAATGATCGCCTTGTTTTTGGCCGTATCGGTGTAAAACCACTTTCACTTTAATCCACTGACCAACTTGGACAAAATACAAGTTCTGGGCTCATTATCGCATCCCCTGAAGGGGCGAATTAAACCCGAAGTGAAGAAAAATGCACTTAATGATCCTTTCTTTTTTCCAGGAACAAAGCATCGCTCCGTCCGCCAGACGATAAATTTAAATTGATCATTTTGATCTGTTTATCTCTGTAAAAACATTTCGCTTGCCATCCAATAATATATACCAAGAATATGTGTCCTAATCGAAAACTCGTTTTAAAGATATATCATGCAAAAAAGACAAGTACTCGACTTCTTTATGTAGGTTTGTGCGTTGCGTTGACCTCAGATATTTTTAACCACGAGCACTCGCACTTTTCAAAAGCGAAGAAAAAGAGATTTTTTACAAATTTATTGTGTTTGCTCTTGCGTTCCTGGCGAAGGTATCAAGTTTTTTTGGGGCGTGATTTGTGTTTGATAATTTATTTAACAAAACGCGTGCAACGAGTGAAACAATCGCAAGCTGAATTTATGTCCTGCAAAATTCCGATTCGAATTTATAAGTACTTGTGAAGGAATAAAAGTCAGGTACTTGCACGCCAGCTCGCCCAAAACTACGCACTTTGATTAATACGTATGAGAAAAACGAATTCCTTTGCTTTTTTGACCACCGTAAAAGAAATAAAGTTAAGCAATGTTTATTGACTTGCCCTATACGGAGAATAAGGCCGAGAAGAGTTGTTTATGACGAGAAACACGAGGGAATAGTACGGTGTTAACAAGGCACGTAATGTTTGTTAAGTTGTAGCCTGATATCAAGGTGTCGACGACTTCAAAGATTGTTCTGCAAGCTTAAAACAATGAAGATTTGTTATTATTGCTCAAAACACAACAAAAATTTCAAGATTAGAAGCCAAGCGGAGATTTGCTAAAAGTATACCTAGGTGCGACACCCACGTAACACCACACTCACGAATAGATCAAATGACATGTTTAATTGCACACGTCATATCGCATCCCATCTCAAAAAAGAGCAAAATTTTTTTCGCCGGTTAATTCAAGACCGAACATCCAGAGAAAAGGGATTCCGAGCTCTATTATTTCGGATAAGTTACAAAAACAATAATAAACTTAAAAACAACTATATTATAGTCTGTGTAGTTTTTGTCCGAGGTTCGGCTGCTGGTGGTTCTCAAAATTCACAGCAATCGCCTTCTTGCCGTTTTTCTGTTTTATACTTCCAGCAATCAAGCGATTTGTATTTTTCGTGGTCTTCTTTTTTGACAGCTTGACGAAAACTTAGTCCACGATTCTTTTCGGAAGAGATTTCAACGGTGGGTCAGGCAAGCTAGGTGTGACAAGTAGTACCGAATATCTGCCACGAGATGTCGAGACAATTTCGATATAACGCAGCCAAAAAGAAAGTGGCTTGATTGCTACTTACCTTGTAAACAGTTAGAGCTGCGAGAGGTAGGGGACTAACCCACTTACTTGCGACGTCATAATGAGCTTGACGTCAGGTACTCTTGCGCGCGCCACCATCGAAAGCGCGCTCTAAACTGAATGTTTCCTTTATTCTGCTGTGTGGTAGATGTGTTCCGTAGCGCCGCGACGGTCTGTCGTTTTTTCGTCGCGGGTGATAGAATTCGTACTCAATATGGATTTGTTCTAGTGAAGTGATTCCTAACCCTTTTTTGGATTATACCGCTTCTTCGCTTCTTCTGTTTTTGGTAAGTGCCGAGCACTCCCATTACTCCACAGAAAGTACAATGAGTTATATGGCACTTTCTTATAAGGCAAATATGTATAAATATTTATTCGTCCAATGTTCCCACTTCTCAGTACTCGTTTTAAATGCAAGGTACTACACCGAAGAAATGTTATACGGATGCGTCCAGTGAATTTTAATTATAACATATGTGGTATTTACTTTCGAAAGCTAGCCCTGTCACTTGCAGCACTATATCTTGCCGATCAGTTCTTTGCACTATCATATGTTTCTGTAATTATAGCAAGTACCTCGCAGCTACCGTCGTGACGTTTCATCGATGTCTCTGAAAAAAACCACACGTGTTCTATTATCGCTGACTGATTATTTACGAATACTATTAATAGAATTCTAATTTAAGCTGTCACGGAACAACAATCAATTCGAAGACAATAGGAGCATGTGATTGAGCGATCACTCCAAATTTTCGACCGGTCGTACTTGAAAGTCTGTGCAAGGTCCAATGCTCTAATAACTTCCGATTTTTCTGGTCTAATTAAAATCGGCGTTGTCACAAAAACTACTACGTTTTCTTCCAAGATCTTAGGCGAAGATGGTGGCGCATAAATAACGGATATTTCGAAAATGATGTTTTGTATGAATCAGGGACGCACCGGCATCCTTAACGCTGTGTAATATCCTAATAACGCGAAAGTGTCAAAACGAACGTAGTACCTATATACAATTTCTTAACGTGTTGGAGAGCATCTCGCACGTTCGACGTGAGAATGATTTGGTACTACCAAGTCGGTTACTAAATAAGTGCAACCCGCCGTTAAATTAACAAGATTATTAAGAATGTCTATCTCGATCGCGACTTGGCTGTGCCACTGTATATCTAACAAGGCTAGCTTAAGTTTCACTCGTTTCACCAACTCTCTCGCCAAGAAATAAATATACAATAATACATGATGTTATGGTACTTTCGAGCTAAATACTAATACATGATGAGCTTCTGGTCATACGTGACATATCACACTGGTGTATTTTTGTACTACAAGAACTGATTTTGATTAGATTTGTAGTAGGTACTCGCTGTGTTCAGCCAGATGTTAATTAAAAAGAGATTACCTCGTTTAACTTTTGATAATCTCCAAACGAGCGAACAGAATATAACAAGGCTTTTCACCAGATTAAATTAACATTTGTAAAATGAGAGGACTTTTCCCGGATCGTAATCAAGGTCACTTGTCATTTTTTCCTAAATTAGGATCGTAGTGGCGATAATGAACCCACATTGTCTGACAAAGTTTGATCATACAGAATTAACGACGGTTTTTAGCATTCACTGTAGCAACGAGGAAACAATGGTGACAAATTTAATAACAAACCACAACAACGCCAACTCGATCACTGCACTTACATAACACAACGCATCACACATCGACCCAAAATAGGACATTTTCTTTTCATCGCCAAAAAGAAAAAACGTAAAAAGTGTGGTAGACGAAGCCTATTTTACATTATAAAGTTCTTTGTCACATTCATTGTATTGTTATGGTCAAATAAACTCGAACCTACGCACTTTATGCATTAGAGTTAATGCAAGATGTAACCCCTATAAAATTGTGAGGTTATGTCAAAGTCAATAAAATATTCGAAGTGTCAAATGTTTTTACGGTCCCCGGAGCTGTATAAATTCACGATCATTTTACTTAACAGAGTAATCAGTTAAGTGTAATTGAAACCACACTACATTTATGCTAAGTAGTTACGTCCTTGAAAGTTGCTTTGCCTTTTTTTTTGTTACGTCCGCTGTCCAAGTATTTCTATCCAGAATCCATAACATATTTCATTCCCTCTATAAAAGAAGCATGTTATTTCTAATTTTAGCATTTGTGTATGTCGATGCCACCGTAACATCAGCGATGATAGCCAGTAGCGCATAAAAATGTTAAGCTTCTTAGATTTGTCAGCACTTTGCGTAAAGAAGCATTGTATTGTAATGGACCCAAATAAAATCTAAATCCATCTGATCCTCTACTCGTTGGCACATTTTTCATAATTACACAATAAACAAACACTCGATTGCTATCTCTGTCTAAAACTGTTCTTTCATTTTTGGTCGCACGTAGGCCCGTGTAGAACCGTTGATTGTGTCCGAGGCGACAACCCTCGAAGGTCGACGACGACGGGGCGAAGATTAATAGTGTTCACCAATCAGGTCACGCAAATCGAAATGCCACCCTGCGATTTGCTGGTTACACAATAATTGCAAATTTTGCAGTGACCTTCCGTAAAGTACGTTTAAACACCTACATATTGGTAAATATACAGTAAAATATCCTACGTGCGAACTCACTGACTGAGTCACAAAACTGGAAAATTTGTTTAAGTCAGGATGAGCTATTAACAGTTCATCGACATAGGAACACGGTTGTATTTGTAAAATAAATACCCCAAACGAGCATTTTTATTATTAATTGGCGTAAAATTGTATAAAATTAATTTGTCCTTCTACTGCGCTGTTATTATTCTATAGTCACACCCGTTTTCTTGACAGACAAGGAATTAAGGCAGGTTCGTACTTGATGGCCACAGAATGCTAAGGCAGGAATTTATACGCGGTTCTCGACATGATCGTTCTTACACCGATACTTTGCATTTCTTAGCTCAATTAAGGAAGTTATCGACGATTTATACAAATATAGGTGCATCATTACATAAAATCACTTTCTCTTCTCTAATTCTCCAGATTTACAGAAGACGACATCGAGATTAAACGAATAGAGCGCCAAATTTTGACGTGGTGTCACTACGTTTTAAAAAATTTCACGATTTTCACGCCAAATTAAAGCACGTTATTTTCATATAATAGTTTTTTCACTCGTGTTGGAAGTATTAAGGCGTAGAAAATTACATTCTTCTACGCAATCAGTTTACATCATCAATTTATATTATTTAATATTGTTTTTAAAGTTTGGCGTGAAACCAGTTTCAGTTCGAAATACGTCACGTTAAAAATGACAGGTGGTTAATATAACCTACAAGAACCTCATCATGTTACCGAAATAAAGTTACTAAAGTTACCATATTTAGTTACATGTTTTGTCAAAAATGGCGGTTATGATTTATTAGTATGGCAGGTTAAATCGGGTACTGAGTAATGCTGTTTTTACAGAATTGCCCCTTTAGCTCTACCGTTACCAGAAACGCCTTCAGAAATGGTTTCCCGTCGCAGGATTCTATCACGGTCACGTGACGATTTGCATATGGATTCCACATTTCAACCACAAGAAGACGAAGAGGACGTTTGGTACCAAAAGGATAAGCTTTACAAGGTAAGTTTAAAATTCATCACGCTTGCTTGTTTAACGGGTACGAAAATGTGAGAAAACTTCCGAAAATCGTAAAAGGATTACGGTACCATTAAGAATCTCCTTTGAATTCTAATATTAAGTAAGGCGAGAGCAATTCCAATTACATAATTACCTCGTTTGCTCCTAAATTACGTAAAGCGTAAACATTCAGATTTTAATATTTCAGCTTGTCATGTCAAAGGCCACAGTAGAAAGTTAACTAACATCAATCGAATGCAATTCTGAGAGTTACATTCCAAGAGCATTTGGGTGAAAAAATTGTTTGCATTGTTGAACAGTCAATTTACAGCTATGTGCATTGACGTGACTCACAAAAACAACACCTAAGATGTAACAGGCAACGAAATGCCAATTCAAAGGACGCGGTATTTTCGATTCTGTCACAGCGTGGACGAAAATAACAACAAAACACGTAATAATTTGCTATTTTTATAGTGATCGACTTCGCATTATTTGGACGATAACGCCTTGTCCGCCTATTCGTTCTAACGTAACCTGTCAATATTTGACAATCGCTATTAATTTATAATGCAAAATAAAACTTGTCCACTGACAGTAAATTGCTAAATTGCTGTTATAAATGCGTCAAATTTAAATATCAACAATAAACCATCCATAACTTAACTGTAAAACCGAGCAAGTAGGCGATAATTATTTAAAACTTGTCTGCCCAAATTCGATTTTGTCTTTCGTCTATAAGAGGATTTGCATGGTCATCAAATTAACTGCAAATTTTAAGGCGTTTTTGTTGCGGCCGCCGCGTGGGTTATATCAAATTATAAAATCTTTAATGAATTAAATGCACAGTGAGTAATTGTGACGAAGACAATACGTAATGCTTCCGTCACATACGCACAGTTCCGGTGCACTTGACAATGTGAATAAAATAATAATTGCTTAAATACTACAAGTCCACACACAATTTACGTAAACCGATTGATTTTGACAACTCCGAAATTTTGAACCGCCCAGGGTCTGCACTCCGTCCTTTACTATTCAAGCCATTTGGAAACGATCGCGCACATAACTACATAAAATTGTGTGAATCAGTTAACTGACATTTGACAACATGAAAGAAAGCCATTTCACAAGGAGATGAGTCTTTCATAGTGCCAGTAAATTAGATAATCCCGTCGCTGAGTTCATTTCTAAATATATAAACATGTTATCGATTACATCTAAAGTGATGGGGGATGGTGGAAATCACCAATTTTGGTAACCATCTTGACACAAACATCCTCAGTGGGCGACAAACAAGACAAATGACACACAGTTCCGTGAGGATTTTGCAAAAAGGTGTCTTATAATTGGTGTAGTAGGTGGACGTGCATTATAGGGTCTTGCACACAATTAGTTCCAACACCCGCATGTAACCCTCAGATTTTGCTAAACGAAGTTGTAGATGTTTTGCGACCAATAGTAGCCACTTAATTAAATCAACGTTGGATAAAACGTTACTTGATACTTGGGTGTCTGGATTCGTCTTTGTGTCAAAATTAGCTTTGTTTTACACCCTGTATGCGCTCATCTATTGTGTTCTCTGCGTATTAATTCTCGAGCAATTATTGCACACAAGAGCCACATTAGTAAAAAAAGCGTTAAATTGCCAAATTATTTTTTCATGCCGGCTATAATCTTCTTGCAATTAAATTTTAATTTCCAGCATATTTTGCACTTACGAGGAGTTTATTGAACTATTACACACAATGGAAGTAATTTTTTATCTAGAGAAATTAATAAAATTACCAGCATCGATGCTGATCGAATTTTTTCGCAAGCGTTCTTTTTTTGGAGAGCGCTATTATACGAAACCACTTTGTACAGTCACAGACAGTCGGTTAGTTAAAAACTAAAAAAAGACTATTACGTTGTTTATTTTGACAATTGACAAATCATTCATCTTGTTTACTTTGCTCTTCCACAACAGTTAATTTTAAAGTGTATAATGATTAATTTGCGGCCTGTGTAGGTTTTAATAGATTACAAGCTACCAAATTGAGAATTTATGGTAACTACTTTAATGGTGTTCGTCGAATTACTCATCCCAAGAAAAAGATTTATTTCACCGTTAAATTATCGTTTTAGGTTTCAGAAAAAAGCTCATTTGAGAAATAAAATGAGGCCAGATTGACCGCGATGTAGATACTTTCACTTTTCAGATCAAAAGGAGAAACGATTTTTTGCTTATTTAAATTTGAAATAAGTCTCAAGAGGCCTAAGGTCGCCTTTTCTTAAGACTATATGTCATAGCTTTGACTAGAATCAAATAATGAAGCTGTTTTTCGATTCGTACTACTATGTCAAAGTCAAAAATTAGGTTAGAATCACGCCAAATTCGATTTCTGGCCGAATGACGTAACAGGTTGAAATAAACACACGAAAAACGTTACACTGCCACAAATTATATGTCTCTTGATTGCACAATATATCCGGTTTGACGCGTAGGTTTTAAATTTGAATGTTTATAGATATGGTTGATTGTTACATATATTACCGTATTATTAGTAGCATTTTGTGTACAGGTGGATACCTTATTTAGCCTACCTGTTCAAACACTTTCACCTCCCAGAGTAAAAAATTAGCAAGAAAAACATGTATAGGTGCTAATAACCCATTAATGTTATGCTCTCACCGTGTTCCACAAATTGCTCATAAACTACAATTTTTATAAAAAACTGACAGACACGCGTCTCGATGCGTTCCATTTTTTCTAAGGTGGTACCACAAACGTCAACGTATGCCTCGAGCGTGATGGATAGTCCTCTCTATGAATTCGCAGACCTCCATAATTTTGCACAACCCACAAAGACATTTTGGAACGTGATGGTACTCTCAAACGTGAAGTAAAAAGTGTTTTCTCTGGTCGACGGAACGAGAATTAACTTTTCCGTTTTTTGTAGCAACAGTTTTATCGGGTGCTTGGCAAAAGCGTAATAGAACATGAATATAAACAGTAATTAGCTCCTGGTCGTACCAATCTGTTTTATCGCATGTCATTTAAGCGTGTAATTTGGATCGGATCCATTAAAACCGCTTACCGGCCAGACTTCTCCAAAAATTCTAATCGAGTTTGTGTGCCGATCCCTACTTCCATTTAATCGCGCGTGAAAAAATGGATGCACTTTTTGCCGAGCGATTTCTTATCACTGGAACTCGTGCTGAATGTAAAGTACGTAACCTACCTTTGACCCTAGTCTCTGTTTTACCGACTAGAATTACTGATGGCACCGATAAACCGGAATGTATTGTAGGCTTAACACTATACTGTGTGACACATTATAACAATGGCGTGAAAACACCTATACACGTGCTCGTTGCGTAAGTGGTACCGAAGTAAAAATGTCACCGCGAACGGTCACACCGAAGTCAAAGCTAATCAATTTTTGTCAAAATTGCTTCGGTCGCATCGTTTCGTCAACGCAAGCTGAAATCCATTGTTGTAAAAGCAGTACCTTTGTTACTCTTTCTGTTAATTGGGTTTCATTCACATGATACTCGTTTCTCTTCCTGAGAATTAAACTTCATTAAAATTTATCATCGAAAGTAATTTTTCCACATGCAAAGTGCGAGGAATTTTAGGTACGTTTTACGTATTTGGTGAAAGTCGGGTTTTTAGGTAATCCTATAGCCTAATAACGATAGTACCGATAAAAATTACACGCTCTTATTATGAATTTAGTGTATGTCCGTGCTTACGGTCTGGACAACGGTCTTGACATTTGCGGAGACCCTGACGACCGGCCAAACAACTTTCACGACGTATATTTAAAACAAATATTTTGATTCTCAATGAGATATTCACTCTATTGTTAAAATGGATCTCTGTACAAAAGGCACAAATTGGAGTCAACACGTTAAATAATGAAGAACAAATTCTAGAACCGCTTTTGTATTTTGCTATTAGTAAACGCAACTATCAAACAATCGAGAGAACGAGAGGAAAGCGCGCTGTAATTATTTCTATTATTAAAAGGTTAAACGCAAACGCGTCTAAAAATTACTAAATTATTTTGAAGAGTAATTCTTGGATTGGGCAAGAGGAAATTTGTAAATGTCAAAGACAAATTTACGCTTTTGACATTTTAAATGTTAATTTTATAACAGATTTATCTTCTTAATTACATTACCATATTTACGAAGATTACAAGTTTGCATCACTTACAATGACTCGGTAAGATAAACAAAACAGATGTGATAGTGCTTTTCGCCGAAATGCATCGACCGGTACTATCATAGTACCATCTTGATGTACACACTTTTGGTGGAACTCCGTGTATGAATAAGTTCAACTTGGTATCTTTCTTCAAAAAAGATTTAAAACCGGTGCATTGTTTCAAATAATGGAAACAGTACTACCCAATATCCGTAATAAGAATGTCAAGGTTGTTCCATGAGAATGTCATGTCGGTGCGGGTTTGAGGAGGATTATCAATCTTTTCGAAGCGAATCATCTTCAGTAATAGTTTTTACGCGAGATACAGTTAACGTAATTGCACAGGGTCCTTAATGTGCTACAAACAGATCGCTTAGTGTTGCTATGCTACGTAAGCAAGGTGATTACGCCTTACGGCATTTTAGCCGTTACAGTAACGTCCTTGTAATAAGCACTATACATTCACGTTTGAAATATTTTCAAGCATACCTTTCTTACTAGGGCAAATCCGTTTGACTTGATCTCTACACAATGCGATCTGACTCTCCTATGGGAACTTGCGCAGATGCATTTTTTGCAATAGTTTGGGAGTGTTTCACCAGAACGTGATGCAACTGGTAATTATCAAAAGTAACTCAATAAAATAGATGGTTAATCTATGATGAGTACCGGCACGAATTATCTTAGTGGAGTTACACGGTACTGCTGATACTGTTACAAGGTCAAGGTAACCATCAAGCAACATGTTCGCTATAATCACTTAAGTGAATAAATGGAGTAGTTTCCCTTTTCATTGTAGAAAAAATTTCAACAGCTGTTGATCAATCAAAAAACTGGATTGGTTCACGGAGAAATTTTCCTCGATTACAACCGATCCGATTCTTTTTCTTTCTTTTTAAGTGACAAATGATATCATTCGTGTTTAAATGCTCTATTTATCGAAGAAAAAACCGTGAAAGTAACAAAGTAAACACCGTTTTTATCAATCATACCAACGAACATCTATAAATATATCGGTCTGGTTCTCCTTGTGCATGACTTTTTCAACGAAACAATAAAGTGCTCTTTATTGTACACGGGTATCATAAATACTGGCACAATTTTCGTGCGCGAGTCAATTTAAAGTAATTTGCGTATGATCTGTTGTACTTTGTCATGAACGCAGTTGCTGGGTCCAGTTTTTTCTTACGCCGATATTTTTTTTCTCTTTCCATTCATTATTCCTTTCACTTTCAAGAAGTACCTAATCAAAATTACAAATTTAGATTTAATTTTAGTTTCTCTTATTAAAAAACGGCGTTTAAGTCGTTTTACGTTTTTATTTGTTTTATAGTGTGGACACATTTAGTTTCTCCACTTTCGCTAATCTCATTGTTTCATTACATTCCAGCGTTAGCAGCAGTATTACTGCAACAATAATTGTCTCACATTGACTGCAGTTCGCTAAATATCAAACCCCGCAGGAGCAATGTCGACTGAATATCGTGAAAGTTTCTCGTGATTCACGTTACCCATCGATAACACTTAACTAAAAATATGTTGAAAATATAAGAACAAGTTCTTGCAATATGGGAGACTATGTGTACGTAAGATTACGGTTACATTGTTGAGTTAAATTGTGTAATAATCATTAAAATAGAGGTACTGCTTTGTGAAAGTCTTGTAAAAGTGGTGACATTACGAACCACCCTAAATCTTCTCTCTTTCTCTCGGCGTTTGACGAATCCGCGTGAGTCTTCTCCCGTGACGTCACATCGTCAGGCTGCATTGCGAGAGTGAGATGGAGGATTCGCGAATTTTAAACGAGGTCCTGATTACCGCGTCCACGACCGCAAACCGCTCTGATTATCAAATTACTTCAGCTAATTAAAAGATGGCCAGAAATGATACGGCTAATAAATCAGGCTCCGAAGAAAGCTATGTTACACATTTCGGGCATAATAATTTGCGGTGCAAATTGAATTATATTTCATAATTTGTACCTTTCGCCATAGAACCGAACAAATGTTACAACCGATATTTTTCAAATGCTTTATTTTCTAACAATAGATCCATGAAAATACACTAAAGAATAATTTATCGCTTATAACCTCAAAGTAGAACAGGTATTGTATAAGCATTGAAATTGTGTAACGATTTATTGAACTATATCCCTTTCTATATCGCCTCTGGTGCACGCTTATTACTCCGTATGTCGTTTAATCTAAAACGCTGAGGTCGAAAAAGTCAAATCTAATCACGTTGTAAGAACTAATGTACAACTATGACAGAAACTGTGTCTACAATAAGCCGGTTTACTCTCAGATAATGATGGCCGTTCAACTGAACTGTGTTAGTGGTATTTCCTGTGTTTTTTGCATCAACGCGTACACTCTCAATCAATCAAGAAACCTATAAGCAATCAAGAGCGTCGGTTTTTACACGCACTTAACGCAAAATTCTTTACTACTTTACACAACCTTTCACTATTTATAGTAATTACATTTTCTCCAATAAAAAGTCTCGAAAATCGCAAAAAACCCCATTACCGAGTACTCGATAGACATGTATCGTTTTCGCTTTTATAGCATTAACTGGTGTAATTCGGGTCAGCAGCCTCCGGCGATTAATAGAAATTTAACATTTCAATATTTGTGTCGTCTAACCTCAGCTTTTTTTACAGGACCACATCCAAGAGGTTTTGGACAAATGGACACAAATAGACGACGAAATTTGGGCCAAAGTTATCGTTCTAGAGCGGAACCGGAGGGTAGCAAAAGCTTACGCAAGAGCTCCAGTCTTGACGGTCAACGGATCCGACGATGGATTCGACGGTTTTCGGTAAATTTTACTAATTTTGACATCATTAGGTCGGGTTTGCTTCATAAGAAACGAGGGCACAACTGGGTGCGAACGCATTGCAAAATAGTCGTTCTGTAAGAGACTGCCACCGGACGTTTAATGTAAACCTTTCTAATCGCTGGTTTACACAAACTCGTGACAACTACAACTATCAGAAATGTATTTACCAATGCGTCGTCGGAGGAAAACTCGGTAGCAATCGACGATAAGCGGACAAAGACAAAGTAGACGGCATTAGAGACACGTTCGCTCACGGGGTACGCGCTGAACCGGGACCCGAAAGGGGTTATTAACGTTATTAGTTTTGCCACTTGCGTCGATTACAGTAGGCGATTTTTTGCCGCCTTGTCTAGATTGCACAACCCTATGCCGACTACTTTTTTGCTTTTTGTCGATGATCGTTTTTAAGGTTTTCTCTGGGGTTCGCTCTGAAGCTAGTTTCCCGTACTCCAGGGGAACAACGAAACTTCTAGATATAGACACTTTTGCGTGTGATCTATTTTTGTTTGAAACAAGAGCAGCCATTTTTGATAATGCAAAGATAAGCTTTGTTGTAAAATCCCAAATCTGGCGACGAACAAAGCTTACATAACGAAACTTACGCAGCGAGGACAATGACTGCAGTCCGAACAAACGTTCCTACACCATCCACTGTCCAAAGTTTTTGTGTGCGCTACAAATAATTCTCATTTAGCGCCTCAAGATATATTTAAGTAAAATATGCACCACCCGCGATTCTTGCAACACGCAACTTTAATTTATAAGATATTTTTAAGCTTCAGCGTTTATAATTAATATCCCTTTTAAAGGCCGCTCAAAAACGAAAACAAGTTCTTCGTTATCTTGTTAATGTTTGTATAAATTATTTCGTGGAAAAAAGCGATGATGTATGATTGCACAAAATACGGGCAGAAAAATCTCGCGAATCTATAAATAAATCAATATTGATGTCCGAGTTGTAAGTGAAATTGTTCTAGATTGAGAACGACAGTGGCTATTGGGTTATTGATGTGGTTGTATGTATATCTATTTATAAAGCATTTTTCTCTTGGTCTAACATGTAGAAGTTCTATTAAAATGACATGGTCATTATTAACAGAAACCATTTGGATGCTCATTTAACTTTTCATTAATCATGTTTTTTCTGGGTCTTCTTTTTGTAATCGTTCGTTTGTAACATCTTGTTATTGATATTATCGACCTCATTGTTACACACGGTCTGGAAAGGTTGCATTTTTTGTTCAACTTCACACTTGGCCAAGGCGATTTTGCACGGGAACACCTGAATGGAATGCCGAATTTTGCTGAGTGAGAGTTACTCCTTTTATTTTTTTATTACCGACTTCTCACTAAGTGAATAAGAGTTCCAAGGGTCGATTATTAATATTAGCAATATTGGGTGCCACGATATGATCTTGGATGCAGACGTGTAATATTCGGGCAACCATTAGTCGATTGACTCCCACAGATCATTACTTTAATAAGCGGATTGCAAAAACGCCTTGGTACTTTTTACGCAAATCAGATTTTAAATAAGACTTTCTGAGGTTGCGGTACCAACCTTGATTCATTTAGATTGGACATTTTCAAACTTTAATTTGTCTTGAACAAAGACACACGATTAATACCATTTTACACGGTACGACCAGCTTTAAAGACGTCTAATCAAAGGTGGTTCCAGCCTTCTCACCCAAATCCAAGTCGTTCTTCCGCATTTCTGTCCAAAAACACACTAACCGGTCGCTTCCATGATGATTTTTCTACCACGGCATGCAAATCTGTTCCCTGAAAATTGCGTCAATTAATTTAAATTGGATTAAATTTATTTAATCGAATGTCTGAACCACCGCTATTTACGGAGACCTTGTTCTTGCAGCTACCTTGCAAAACGTGTAAATTATAGTTCCATTCAAGTAACAAAAAAACAGCTGATTGCTTGATTTAAGAGTTATTTTGTCGTACCGCGGTGGATTTTTTGCTTGCTGTGGAAAAAAATGATATAGAGATGTGTCAGTATTTCGTAAAAATGCGACTAGAATATTGTTTTGCTTGGTATTTAACCCTTCGCGGCGGGATGTTTATGGCCCACCTACGGCGAAGTATCAAATATTTGTTGTGGTAGTACTGTTTGTCAGCTTTACAAGACCAAGACTGGATAAAAGGAGAATGCATCAATTTAAATGTCAGAACAATAAAATTTGCATGCATAGAAAAGTTCCCGAGCCACATCGACTTGTTCGAATTTGCAGTACTTTGTTGGTACTTCGCAGAAATCAGATAGTTCGAAAGTGGCTTCTTCTAGAATCTAGATTTACCTGCAATTCGCAAATTAAACATTTTAAGGAGCGGTTTTAGTTCTTTAAATTTAAATAACATTCCGATCGGCGTTTAGATTTGAGGTTTAACGTGATGAAATGATCGGAATTTGAGGTAAATGATATTTCGCTATCTAAACTACAAACTGGGTGACCTTCATTTAATGCAGTTATAATTATTGAAAGTATTGTTTGTGTCTTCGTACTTTATGTTTATTAAATGGATAACGGTGTCTAATAGCGGAAAATTCTTCCGTGATTAATGCAGAGGCAGTACCTTGGTTGGTGGTACCACCCCCGCTATTGTGCGGGATCATGAATTGAAAACGTAATTTTAGCGATGTACCCTATTCATGACCAGTTTAGACGATGACACCTGTAAATCTCGATGATGGAGTGGTAGTACCACGTTTCCGAACAAAGAGCTGATCCTTATTAAACCGTGCTTCTCTCACAATATGTCAGTACTTCGCAGTTTAGGAGTCTCACAAAAGTAATAAAAGTTCTTAGTTGTCAAGTGATGTTATTCAGGATATAGTGAGTTCGCTGGCCAAAGACGCCTTTGCAATTACACAAGGTCGTCTAGTCTGGGTAACGCAGATATTTTTACCAAATCCCGCTCGTATAGGAAACACACTATTCAAATGCCAAAGAAATTACGTAAAAACAAGATACTTCCTAAATCATGCGACATGAAAAAACTCTTTTCGGTAAAGAGAAAATCGCGAATTCTCATCGGTTGGTACTTCTCCACGTCGCCAACTCGGCAAGGACACCTAGATTCGCCTGACAAATTTATTCCTGCTTAATCGCACAAAGAGTAACGAGAAAATAACAAACAGAAGTAAAAAACGTCGACGGGGATTGGCCTACAGTCAACTCGTCCAAATTGGAAGCGGTTGATTTGCTAAATTGAAATTAAAGGATTATACCTCCAGCTACCTGCTACCTATCTCGTCGCCGTACCGAATGAAACGTGGTCGCGCGTCAAGTCAGTGCCTTCGTTATCACCGAACACCGTGGCGAAGTTAACACATGGATATGACATTAAGTACCGCTCTGGTACCAGTCTTCCTAAAATACCCACAAAGATTCGTCATTTTGCTACCGTGACCAAAATGCTTGAGTTTTTCCAACATGACGGGCCAACTTCCAAGTAAAACAATTTATGTAATGGTTTAAAATCGGTAGATCGGCATCCGTTCTGATCAATTCAAGGTTGTCTCTTGCTTTGACGCCCACTTCATTGACTTGAGATCCCGTAATTGAAATACAATGAGCTAGGAACGACTCCGATAGAAAAATCGCAAACAGGACATAGTTGTTGGCACAATTTGTAAAAGGCTACTTGAGTGAAGCTTGAATAGCCTCTGTGTTTTAACATATGATAAAATATACGCTACGAAATAAAAAAGGTACGACTATTATACAGTACTACTACATTGCTCAACTTAACAGTGCCTGCGTTGCGTCATTCGCACTGGACTAGATCAACACTATTAAACTTAATGTCCTTTGCTGATTTTGCTACATAATTTATCAACGTGGGTAGACAGCGGTAGATACTATAGCAAGACACACCTAGAAGGCTGAACCATTTATAATTTCGTTGCTCTATTTGATTATGTAATTTACACGAGATTAAATTCTCCAACTCATACCGCCATAAATAAGTTGTCGGTTTTACGGGTGTTAAGTCTTGTACGTAATATGTAATCAAACTCATTAATCCGATGTGAAGCACTCCATTATTCACCACAGACGTTATAAAACTGATCACACAAAAATAAAGGGAAAGTGAATGAATACGTGTGAATTTTCTTAAAATAAGAAAACAATGCAGAATGAAAAGTTTCACTCCAGCTCAGCCAAAATTAATTGCTTTTCGCAATTAAGAAATTATACATAGTTTGCTCGTTCGAAAACGATCCCCGTCTGGACGGACCGTATTTTTAATTTGGGGCAGGTAGCTACCACTAACCTATTACAACCATAAATCTACAAAATGCAAACTTGACGACGACTTTAACCCTTTTCAAACTTTGCTATTGGGTCCTTTCACGAATAACTATTTTGAAGTAGATAAATTACCCAATTAATTGGTCTTCAGAGCTACAACAAACGCCCCCAAGTGTGTTTTTTTCGCGTCACACACTTGAATGATCCGTTGATTCCGAGGCATTGTTCAAGTGTGATCACGTGAGTTTAGTTCTTAGAGTTTTGAATTCAGACAGACTCAGATACATACAACCTCCCAAGTTGATTACGCGACGTCTGCAAACGATCACTTTCTTTGCTTTCGTTTGCACGATTTTTTTTAAGAATATTGTGCTTGTCATCTCTTTCATTTATAGCTCACATCAAACGATTTGTAACAACGAAGTATTGTCTGATAGTTGCTAAGTCACTGAGATGTGGAACTGTACGAATTGGTGGTACCGTCTCGTAAAATCACCGACAGGTAGCCCGAATTCTACTAACCTATACCCTATTCAGGGTTTTACTTTTATTTGGTCTTACAATTAGGATGGAACGTGGTTTTTGCTTATGCGGTCGAAATTTTCAGAATTGGCCTATGCGGTTTTGACAATCCGATGCGGGACCAGAAAACTGAAGAATTCAAAAGGCACATCGGTCATGTAAGTACCACGAGCTTTCCTTGAGCCCTCTAACTCAGCTTGTTCGTAGGGGGTGAAAATAAAAATGGACGACGCCGGTAATATTCTAATAAAACGAGTATCGAAATGTAACGTTTACATCAAAAACACGGGTCAAGACGACGAGAACGCGATAGGAAACGAAATTCTAAAACTTCCAAACTGCGCGCTAGAACCAGAAAAACCCGTGAAGGTAAATTACTCCTCCCGTGAGCTTACCCAATATGACTAACCCGATTTGCAGCTATTCGATATGAAGAAATTTCAATCAAATGTAAATCGTGAATTACGTCGTGCTTATCCTGATCGTCGAAGATTGGAATGTCAGTGTCTGAGTGCAATAGCTTTTGTAAAATCGGAACCAGAATTACTCGAGTGCCCTATTTGGGTTCTCATCATAAACGTCGTAGCCATGGATATGCTAAAATCGAAACTTCCTCCAGGTACGCCTACGTTCCGCTACGGCAAAAACAGTCGACCGTTTATCTCCTTTCGTCTTAAAAAGGATAACAATCTCGTCAGTTCCAAAACTGTATTTCTAGTTAATCCGTAAGGTGGTGAGCGGTCGATGTGTCCGGAGTAGCCAAAAGAGACGCGATTAATTTGTGTTAATTCCAGTGCAACGTGTAATAGATATCAAGAACAGACCACGCATCCCGATCCCAGATGAGGATCCCTACAGCGTTGCAGGTAACGGTAGCGGATCATCGGGCAGTTCAGGTTTCGCGGGGGCGAGTAGTGTGGCAGCCACCAGAGAACAACTCCTTTTGCAGAGCCAACAACACGCACAGCGACGCAGTGAGAAACCACCTAAACTACCACCCCGCGAGAATATGTATCCCCATGACATACCCAAGGTTTGTCTTTCTTGTTTATTTTCTCGCTAGCATTACAGCCTTTGTACGCCTACAATCATAATAAACACATAAATTTCTAAGCCGTAATAGAATCTACATGACCGTTACTGAATAGATGCTATCAATTTTAATTATTGCCTACTAACTGTGTACAACCATATACTGATGCTATTCCATAAACATATCTGCAACGAGCCAACAAAAGGAAAAGTTACCCTATTTATAACCCTGCGTTTCGGACCAGAGCGCCAGATTCAACGTAGATGACGATTAGTGAATGAGGATCACTGCACATCTGTGGCCTAAACGCTTCTTAGGTCGCTCTTGATTATGTTTTGGCAGATGCAAGATTTTCTGATCGAGCGGTAGTTAAAAACACGGTCCATCTGTCGTGGCCCACTTTAAATAAGTTCTCTTTGTTGGTGCTACCGATATTTGTACCTTGGTTTCATTATAACAACTAGAAATCCATTCTCTGAGATTTTGGCAACGTATGGCCGAACTGTGGCCATTAGGACCCAGGAATTGCTCCAAATTCTTTCAGGGATTGGTGATTTAGCCACACTTGGGGGCGCTTGTTAGAAACCGAAATCTCGATGAAGAACGAAAAACTGATTTCTAGGTGTACTTATTGTTTCTATTGCGCCGTCAGGAGGGCGAGGGGAGGGTCAGAAAATCTACCAGGATCGGCGATTTTCGTTTAGATCGGTGGAAATGACGGGGCTCTCTAACAATAGGTTGTGTGTAGTCGTACGGATAGATCAAATGGAAAGATTGTGCTTCTTTCACGCACAGAAGCTAATTATGTAATTTGTTAATTACCCAATACTTGTGTTTTCCGTGGTGTCTGATTACCGAAAATTATTCAAATTAGCGTCGAATATTTTCTTTTCGGCGAAACTACCACGCCGCTTTCCGCAGTCTACTAACCGCTTTAATTGCTCTATTATTTCGGAAAAATGTAGAGAAAGTAAAAAATCGTCGCATTTTTGTATCCTTTTACTTTTTGCAGCCCGATTACGACGACCACGATCACGACAATACCAGCAATAGACTCAAGCCTTTCCCGTCTTCGCGGGGCAAGGAAAAATCAAAAGACAACAAAAAATACGGTGAGTAATTTTTTGCGCGCAATTAATATAATAGAATTCGCAGGATTTGCCGACAATATAATTTGTTACGTCTGTACGCTACTTTTCACTTTGAAAGTCACGTTGGAGTTAGTCGAGCAAAAAACTAACATTTAGAGCGAGATCTTTCGAGGAAAAACGTCGGCTCGACGTTAAGATTGTGTCGGTTTCAGATGATCCCTACTACTGTGGATTAAGGGCTCGTGTACCAAATTTCGTAGCTAAATCAAAATCGAAAGAGACCGCAACGCCTAAAAGATTTTCGGTTAGTCAGCAACAGGCGCCGCCCCCTCTGCCCATGATGCACCAGCACCACATGAACCCTCATCACATGCACCAACACGCCATGTGGCATACAAGAAGTTTCGAAAGTGGTATAGGTAAGTTTGGTGTTTTAAGGGAGCGCAGCGAGTTGTACTTACCGGAAAATGTGTAGATTCTGACGCCGCCGAGTCGCCTTATAACCAAATTTACGGACGGTTGCCTATACCCACAAGGGCGTTCATTCCAAGTCAGTCTCGTACTATGTATATTGGAGAATGGGACTAAATTTGTGTAAATATTAGTGTTTCTAACGAATATTTGGCATTTGGGTGATTCCAACCTTTATCTAGTTATACTTAGTCGAGTAATCGCCATATGCCTCTTCAAGACTTTTATCTATTTCTACAGGCACCTATATTTTATTTTGATACTGCCACTATCTTTGTTTATAGACTTTTTTAATAACGAGCTATGTATGATGTATGTATCATTTATGTTAAACCGCCTTGTAAATAGTTACAAGATACTTAATTTAAGTAAGTAAACTTGATAATCTATTTAAAATACTCAGTAAGATATTGCTAAGATATTATACAATTTTTTAAGTGTATAGTACTTTAGTGACAATTTTTGAAAATGTGATTACGTTACGTCATAGTCAAAAGTGTTTATATGCTATATATTTTTGTAAACTTACAAACTGTATATGATAATTTTGTAATGTACGCAATAAATGGTGACGGATGTGAATTATAAATCATTTTCTCCTTCCCTCGCGCTTGCACCTACGTCGGCGATTGCTCGAAATTCCCTAGGACAACTATACATCCGCTGTCTTTTGTTGTTAAGATGAGTACGCATTCAGCGACCTTTACAAGGACGAACTGACCGAAACTAATTTACTCAGCGGCTGCACCCTAAGAAAAAAACAAAAAAAAACACGTGAAGAATAACGATGAGAAATTGAAAACTCTATTATAACTGAACCACAAACTCAATTACCATCCCTTAACTCTTCCACGGCGCTGAATAAATTGAACAATTATAATACACTTGTTTACCGTTTCGTTCTCACTCAATTCCAAAATCTCATTGCTTTTCTAATTCTGACTACAGAATCTATTGATTCTTTGGAATTCAATTCTTGAGGTGAAGTAATCCTCGTCTGATGCGGTTTCAATGCCAAATCAATAATAGAATCGATATTTTGTTTTATTTTTCCAACTATTCATCCATTACTTTAATAATACTTTTGAAAAATTATCTCATACCGACAGTCATGCGAGGAAGTGCTGATACAAACTTATGAGTTCATAACTAAAAAACACCTCTTTGCTGCACGACATCAGAAAAGATTTTAAACAGATGTCTGCGATGGTGATTAAAAAAATTTTAGAACAAGTATATCAGACTATCAAGGACAAAAAAAATCTAAATTTATGGTCTTTCCTGTATATAAATTTTCATTGAATTGTATATACACATTGTTAAAAAAAAATTGTAATTATCTATCTATGGAAGGTCCACTTTCAACACGAAATATTAATACAATACTCGAACTCGATAACGTCATGTCATATCCTTCGTCCGAACCAATGAGGAAGGCGACAAAATCAACAATTATTGTCAACAGTTTTCAAGAAAATCAACATTCTCGAGTGACCCACCTTTTACTGCATGTTGTACACTGTGATCAACCTAACCTATCTTGTCAAAAAATTCTTGGCTTCGATTTCTTTGCTCCCTTGCACGAAATTCGTGTTAAATGGATGTCAAACGGGGTCACTTATCACCACGCGATTAATTTTCATAAATTTAATGCAAGACAACACTTCAGGCATGATTTTGTTCACACTTACATTGTAGATTGACAACCGATTTGGCCTGGCATGGGTTGTCATGCCAAGCTTGCCCAAATTTCGGCGTTGTTGCCACGTTGTTTTAGTGTGTGGTTATGGCAACGTAACGATAATGGTTACAAAATCATTGTAGATGCTGTATTTGTTTGATCCTGTATAGAAGACCATTGATTTGTTTGAACGAAAGAATATTTAAAATTTGAAAACGATCATTGTTACAGACAAATTTTATATAAACGTTTAGAATTTGACAAGATTTTGTTTTCGTTTTTCTTAGAAGGGAGAAAACAGATACATCGGTCATCCGCCATAGTGAATCTATAATAAAAAGCGGCAAAATAGTTAATAAAACCTTTTGATATCAGAATCCTTTATGAATACATTGTAGTTATTAAAACCATACGAATTTTAAATTTTTGTGTGATATCCGTTTAGATTTAAATACGAAAATGAGTTGTGCTTTCAAAAATAAGCCAAAAAAAACGTGGCCAACGATCACAAATATATAAAAGTTTATATTTAAATTTTTGCGTTCAGGTGGAGAAAAAAACAAATATACGGAATATAGCGTTTTATAGAGAAAAAAATAAGCTATGGAGTGTAACGAGTATAAAAGCTTATCCGGATAAACAAAAAAAGTGAACAAGATATAATCAACTGCCAGTCAACCACATACATACAAATAGGTAGTTATATCGGATTAGTGCTGCCATCTTTTCGCGGATGATCCAACACGCCAACAAAAAAGGAAACTGTGAAGACTTTTCTCAAACTTTCTGAAATTGTTATTTATTATGAAAATTTATTATAACTAAAGAAAAGCTTAAATTATCTTTGTACTTTCGGATGCAAATTTCTAGAAATCTCCATTTTTTAGAAGATGTTAATGTTAAAAGCAGACGGTTTTAAGTGGGTAGACAACTTTGGTAATATAAGGAAATATTGCTAAAGTAATATGTAAATTGTAAATGCAAATTTAATTATGAATATTTATGTAAATGCATCTTAGGTCGCTTTAGTTTGATGTGCCAAACAAAAAAACTTGTATTGTTTTACGTTATAGTTTGTTTCTTTATTTTTGCTAAATGAGACTATGGCGTGATTTGGCCAAAAAATATGTACCTAGTTAGTATCAAAAAACATCCATTGTGTAGTTTTTATCACTGTAACTGTAATTCTCATTTTCGTGATAGTTTAATATTTAAACTTTTTATAAGTTTGTTAGTATTGTGTAAAGACAATTAAGTTTAGTTACAAGTCAACGGAATAACAATTATCGAATTTTCTGCAAAGTGTTTATTTTGTAAAAAGCCTTACATACCTTTATTTACATCAAACTACATTATCCATCTTTCAAGTGCAACTAAGCAAGGAATACTTTGTTTTGCTAAGTTGTACAAAGTGAAGATTTAAATAAATCATGTTTGATATTGGAACGAAAAGAATAAACAGAGGAATAACACAACGTGGAGATCTGGGATGAGGAAATATTAAGTGAAATATAGTTTAAATAAACTTTATCCGGAAAAAAGAATTCAGGAGATAATATACAATGTAATCATAAATTAACAATAAACCTAAAATGTATTCTCACATTGCATGGTTTTATTATAATAATGACAGTAAAAACATAGTTATTCTACTTCACCAAACTCGAATGAACATAATATATTAAAAAATGAAATATATAAAAACCGAGTAGAATAATTTATGTTTATTACTCTGCCCTGTGAGGAGCACACTTAATTGTCCATCGCGTATCTGCGGGTCCACTCCTTGGCGTTTCTTATAGCTTCCGATTCGTTCACTTTCCATAATTCGGCTACATCATTGGCTAGGGGATCATCGGGATTAGGAGCACTTAGCAAAGCTTGAATTGAAAGCAAAACGGTGCGAATCTGTAGTGCTGGGCTCCACTTGTCCTTAAGGATATCTAGGCAAATCCTCCCCAGCCGGTCGATGTTCGGGTGGTATATTTTCGTGATAAACCTCACTTTGGGGGCTGACATTGGATAGTCTTCGGGAAGAAACAATTCTAACTTAAACAGGCCTCCTTCGAAGGGGGAGTCCTCGGGACCGGTCACAATAACATGGAAATAACGAGCATTACTATCGTCGGGAACGGCACTAATACCGGGCACTGGTTCTTGCATTAAACGTTGCGTTTCTTTGATAATTCTGCGTGGTAGGGCTGCCATTTTTACTATCGAACCAATACTCCACTACTTTTTGGTATCAATTTATCACTTTACTGGTAAACTAAACGTTAATCTTCGAACATCAACGATTCGCACAGTTTCGATATTTTTCTCAGATATAGAAAGAAACGGACACACTCATGTTCCTCGATTTTTTTCGTGTTGTTCGCCTTCTTGTCGTTGTCTGCCTGCAGAGCACTGACCCGCAACACGCATGCGCCTTGCGACCCGCCATTTTCAAATTCCGAACTAGGGCGGCCGTGCCGCTAGGGGAACGCCCACTTAATACAAAAACATTATTTATTATCGAAATAATGCTTCTTTTTCCATTCCAAAAAACCCGTTTCGACCCCCTCGTCAAACTGGCCACCCAATCAATCGTTAAACTCGCCGAAAAAACGAAAATTTCACGGTTTTCACACATATCGCAATAAGGTAAATGGATCAATTACAAAATAACACTTGTAAAAGTAGAACTCGTTTATTTTCAGAAATTGACATTCATTCCACTAAAACTTTGTGAAATCCATCTAGTGGAAACCGAATTTAAAGTAAATTCTGGACAGTTTTATCGTTTTTTGACTTTTACTCTTCATGTGTGTATATTTAACGATCTCTGTCCATGGAAACCGTACAGTTTTTTATTCATCGACGTATTCTTCTACTCAATCTACGGTACGACATTTCTTAAAAATTCACCTAAACCACAAGTGACTGACGTGTATATTAAATTCGATATCATGATATCAAATCAATATAGCTGGAGGTCAAATTTAGATTTAGAACTTATTTATAATTTTTTGCAGGCACCTAAGTGACAAATCGAAGAAATCTATGTTCAAAAATTTACAGCAGATCATATTCGCTTAGAAGGAGATTTATGTACCAAATTTATCAAAATAATGTGTAGATAATTGCCGGCTAATTAATTTTAATTAGCGTCGATAAATAATAACGAAGAACGCTTTCAAAATAGGGAAAGACAATGTATATAGATAATATTACATTTACGCACACATAATTTACAATAATAACATTGCAGAACTGCAAGGTTTTTACATACAAGTTATATTCTAGTCGTTCAGGTTTCAAACCACTTATTAAAATCAATGAAAGAAGAAAAAAGTGACTGTCGTGAAAATAAACGTCACTGCTATCATATTTCATCACAGGATTTTTGTTCAAAAATTGTGAAAACTATTATCATACTCCTTTCGTTTGATTACATCTGCTAGATACCATTCTTTGCGCAAACAGTGAGTTTTGACTTGTCAGTTTTGTCACTAAAAAATCAATATTACACGATATACACAAACACTGTGATAGAAACCACACGTTCGCTCACAATGGGTAATTATTTTACAGTTAACATGGAAGAAAATTTTAAAAGAAATCAAGACTTTATCACTGAAATGAACACGATAAAAGTGACTAAATTAACACGATAATATTTTTTAATCAAAAAGAAATTGTAGATCGAGCGGCAGATACAACTAAGAAAACAGTTGAGAGATAGAATGGTTGCTTTAGAAATAGCAAAATCGCGTGAACTTTTTTACTGGTTTGGTTCCTTCTACCTAATTAGTCTGGTGGGCTCAATAGCGGCGTAAGTAGATTAATTTTTTTAAAGTTGAATAAGAACGCAGTTGTAGATACAGTCGCAAGCAAAGGTTAGTTACACTGTTACCACTAGTTCCTCTCACATTTGTGACTGCATACCAAGCTGATTTGGCATACGGGAACAAAATTCACAGGATTTTGGGTAAGTCTACAACCAAGTAACTGTGAAAAGCACTCAAGAAATTTTTGCTGGTCTACCTATTTTGATAGTTGTATATTTATAAGTAGCTAAGTAACTTTAATAAAGATGTTATGTCAGAAATATGTAGTACACCTTAACTAAAGCTTCTCTAAATGTGTCACATCCATACACGGAATTTTGTTTTCAGTTGAAGCTGAGCACATCATGCAGTTTGAGCAAGAACTTCTCGGCTTACCACTCGGGATTCCCACTGCTGCCTCTATAGACTTAGGACGGTTGCAAAAAGATGAACAGAAGAAACTCCACCCACTTTTGCCTCAAACATAATAGTATTGTTCAATTCAAAATTTTTAAGCTTACACGTATTTCGATGTGCAATAATTTTGAAAATGACGTTTGTACATTTTAAGACTTTTACCTGTTACCTATTGAAATCAAGTATTTAAAGTGACAATACCACCAGAATGTTACATTTATCAAATAAAGATTCGAAAAATAATAAATAAGTTTATTTTCAACACTGCATACATGGAATGAGTCAGTCCATAACAAAAAAAGGACGATCAAAACAGAGTTTCCCAATGTTATTTATTTCACTTATTGAAAACCTCTGCTTTAAAGTACAGACGACCTTACCAATTTTAATGATGTACCAAAATACTGTTATAAAATTAAAAAAATCAACAATACAAATTGGAATGACAACAATTTTACAGAACTATAAAAATTCATATCACCTTGTTAAAATACCACACTTATTAATTGTGAGCAATTACAATTATTATAACTTTTCTTAATTAACTTACAAAACCAATACGCAATACTGGATCTAAGTAACTTACATTAATGGTAATCATATTGGGCAAACATAAGGCAGCTAAGGCTTAACATCCGCAGCATTTTCGTGTAGGTTCAGTTGGCTTTGGAGTTCCACGACTAAAAATTGTGAGCAATTGGCAACGTACTCTGAAAAGAACGAATCGTTTAATTTAAATGAGTACAAAATCGCTCAAAAAAGTTGCACGCTGTGGTAAATTCAAGTTTAAAGATCCACGATCCGAGATTTCCACCAACAGTGCAACTTTTCCGAGTGGTCTAGTTCTTACTTTGCACGAATGTTTGTTTGATGTTGCACTTCTCCATCACAGTTCCATCTGCTAGGAACGTTAATCGCCCGAAAACAGAATTCTCTAGCAGAATAAGTTTCAACAAATGGCAAGTCATCAACAGTCTGATTATTACTCGACAAGCGTAATAATAGTCTCAGATTATTTATAATTGAAGTATGCCTAACTAATACTAGGTGTACATTTCCATCACCCAAGTGGCTATACGGTGCTATACCTCTCGGACTTCTGTTGCAACAGCACGTTATGTTAGCACCACTTATCATAAAAAATTTCCCTTTCACCGTCTTCCATTGCTTTTCAGTTTTATCACAAAAATTATTTCTCCTTGACAAACACCTCTCGCAGGTCTCGTAGCACTGTGACATTTCGCAATCCTCGCCCTCGGAAAAAAATGCTAGTTCGCCTTCGTACCCTCGATTTCTCACCAGTTTTTTAAAACCTATAAAACGTATCACGTTAATTGATCAACGTCTATTTATAAAGCAATATACAAAAAATCAGAAATGGAAAACAATGTTAGTTGTTTAAAAAAATACTATAAATGCACTTTATGTGTATTTTATGTGTTAATAAACAGACTGTACTCATTCATTATTCATTAAAACAAATTAATGTCTTTGTGACGTATTAAATATTATTCTCAGAAGCAACAAAAATAATTTAAACATTTTAGCACGAAAAATATTTATTTTTTATCTGATGTATAAATGTAAGTTCGTTTAACTCCATTAACCGCCAAAAAACATTAACTTTACTGCTTCAGCATGTATAAACATTCGGAATTACCGTCAAGGTCATTGACACTAAAGGTTAAAATTTTGGCGGCAAACAAACAATGTCAGTTGCCTACCTTGAGTAAGGTAACGATATGACAAATCAGCTTATCAGTAAGCTAATCTTACCATTAGGAACAAATGTATAAATACCAAAACGAGGTATTAAGGTTAAGTCAAGGTTGCGCGAAATGGGTTTTTTCAACAATCAAAAATCCATTAAAAAAACACTGACTCACCTGAATAATTGTATCTGTTAGGACCCATCCACCGGTACTTATCACTATTATAAGCTACATCACCCAAATACCCATAGCTTAGAACACTGGCGTACAATCTAAGTAAATTATTTTCGTCATATACAGACACTAAGTCCAGACCTAGCCGCTCTCCAAAAATGATGTTCAGAACGGCGGTCGTGGGATCTATCGTTCCATGCAGACAATAGACTATTGTATCCGTGCTCCCTCCTACAAGATTCTGTTAAGTTTAATCAATTTGGGCGCCTTAACATGCACCTGGTATTATCCCAATGGGAATTTTTGGCTTGGGTAGTTCCTGCTCGATATCGTCTGCGTCGATCCCCACGATTCTACACTCCCTAAGTACCAATCCGTTGAACAACTCTGAAACCGTACCATCCCCACCTACACACGCCACGGAATCAAACATATCCAAATTGTGATTCAACACAAAATCACGGATCTGATTTTTCCTTTGCGAGATGTTGACAGTGACATCGACCCCGGCGATGTGGAAGAGATGTTTTCCGAATTTTTCGTAGATTTTCAAAGCATTTTTTTTTCCTCCAAAAGGATTCACAAACAGTAACAGCCTTTTGGGTCTTTTGGTGAAGTCTGAAAAGGCGATTTTAGAATCCGACGGTAAAGCGAAGTCAAAAACTAAAATTCTGACCAAAAATTCAAATAGTGTCACCTTCCAGTTCCTCTGGTATGATTTATGTATGTATGATAGGTTTTTGAGATAAAATTTTTATCACGATAAGTAACGATACAATATCTAGTTTTGTTTATCTAGCGGAAACCACTAACACACCAAAACATTTTAAAACTGATGTCATTTATATACATAATTAAAAAGAAAAACAATCGCCTTAGACCTACAAGTTCCATTTTTTTTTCATTTATCCCGCCAAAATTAAAATGACATTCACGCGTCACAACTGCCAACTGAACTTTAGAATTGCAGCTAACTTTAATTCACTTTTTTTTCGAGCGAACGTAATTATCTACTTTTAATAACACTTTTACGTATTTAATTGTTTAAATAACGACAGGCGAATTTCCGGTGACGTTAACAACAACTTTCACACATTTTCTACCACCTAGAAAGTTGTAAAAACCACAGTTTTCCTTCCTTATTTTAGAACCAGATAAAATGAAACTCTATATATTAATAAAATGCAAATATTACATGTTTCAATACTTTCTATGTTGTCTTTAAAAAAATCTTGAAGTTATTAATTTTGGCCGGAATTTCAGTTATTGGGATTAATGCAACTGACGACTTACATTGTAGGTGGTTCTGGAGGGTTTTCACCCATGATGAAACCTGCAAAGGGTCCGAGTGCCTTAGTTCAAGCGTGTGGTGTCTCCATTTGTTTTCTTCCTCTTGTTTGGCATAGTGTATAGTGAAATGATTTGGATCTATTGTCTGTTCTTCTGAAGGACGCGAGTTCTTGACTATGTTGTGTTGCACCGAGATGACATTTTCCAGAGGTAGGGTCTCTTGCTCTGGAAGTCGTTATTGGGGGGTTTACGTTATATGAAGTTGGTGCTTACCTGACGGTGGCTTCCCGTTGCCCCAAACGATGGCTCCTTTGTGAAAAATAACTCGAATTTTTTTGTTGCCATTAGAAAATGTGCTCAGCAGTACAGAGTTGTGTAAGTCATTAGACATCGTGTGAAAGTGGGAGTGGAAGAAGTTTCTTTCTTATAGGGGTTTATGTAATACATTACACTACATTATTTAATAATACTGCGATAATCTCGACATACTGTTTCGTTTCTTTGAAAATATCAAATGTTGTGTTTGAAAATCATTATGTCACCGTCAGAGTTTGCTGTCAAACTGTGGACGAGTGGGGATTGGAGCGGAGGTGTCAGATCCTCAAATGACATATCTTAATACCAACAGAAATACAAACGTCAAACAGTGAAGGAAACAAGTCCCTAGGGTATTAAGACGGTTTATTACTACATGCATGGGTATAATAGGGGCAATTCTGAATCAAAGTTGTTAAATTTAAAGGGTGTTAAATTGCAAATTTCCATAGTAACGAGTTAAATTCGTAAATCTGATTGGCTGTTTATTTTTTAACAACCTTTAAATTTTAACGGGTTTGATTCAGAATTGGGCCTTATAGCATTTACATTGCATTAATAAAATAATGTCGCAGTCGGAGACAATAAATATGGAGTGGAAATCGATAGATCATTTGGAATTGTGTGGTGGATACCGTAAAAAATACGTAGATTTGAACATTCACGCGGTTCATAAAGATTTCACTTTTAAATAGTGGTCCAAAAATTCGCAAAAAATTCAGGGATATCGATTTCGACGTGTTGATTTCAAAAACATAGCATGTTTATGATCAGGAAGCAATTCTCGAAAGATTCGGTATGAAATGCGAATTTTTAAAAATTTCCAAAAATTTCGAAATTTTAATAGTCGATTCTGGAAAAACGATTGCAATTGTCAAAGAAACGAGGCCGGAAGTAAGTTCTAGAGCTTAAAATTTACAAGAATGTGTAGATATGTAGTTAAGTTTCGAAAATGGTCAAAAATGAACTGAAATTTGAAGTAGTGAAAAATTTCATTTTTAAAAAAGTTGTCTAAAATTCTGAAAAAATTCCGAGATGTATTCTAGTGTTCTGAGGAATTGAGGATTACAGTGTTCTGAGGTTTTGAGGATTCTGGCGTTCGGAGGATTTGAAGATTACGATGATCTGAGGATTCTGGTCTTCTGAGGATTTGAGCATTCTGGTGTTTTGAGGATTTAAGGATTATGGTGTTCTGAGGATCTGAGGAATATGGTGTTCTGAGGATTAGAGGATTCTGGTATTGTGAGGAATTGAGAATTATCGTGATTTGAGGATTCTGGTGTTTTGAGGATTTGAGGATTATGGTGCTCTGAGGATTTGAGGATTCTGGTGTTCTGAGGATTTGAGGATTATGGTGTTCTGAGGATTTGAGGATTCTGCTGTTCTGAGGATTTGAGGATTCTGGTCTTCAGAGGAATGAGTATTTTGGTGTTCTGAGAATTTGAGGATTCTGGTGTTTTAAGGATTTGAGGATTCTGGTGTTCTGAGGATCTGAGGATTCTGATGCTCTGAGGATTCGAGGATTATTGTTTTCTGAGGATTTGAAGATTCTGGTTTTTTGAATATTTGAATATTTTGGTGTTCTGATGATTTGAAGATTCTGGTCTTCTGAGTATCTGAGGATTCTGGTATTGTGAGGAATTGAGGGTTTTCGTGTTTTGAGGATTTGAGGATTCAGTCTTTTTAGTCCTTTTCGTCCTTTTTGTCCTTTTGATCCTATTCACCTTTTTCGTCCTTTTCGTCCTTTTGGTCCTTTTCTTCTTCGTCCTCTTCGTCTTTTTCGTCCTTTTAGTCCTCTTTCGTCCTCTTCGTCCTTTTCGTTCTTCTCGTCATTTTCGTCCATTCCGTTCTTTTCGTCCATTTCGTCCTTTCGTCCTTTTCGTCCTTTCGTCCTTTTCGTCCTTGTAGTCTTTTTAGTTCTTGTAGCCTTTTTAGTCCTTTTCGTCCTCTTTCGCCCTTTTCGCCCTTTTCGTAGTTTTTCGTTTTTTCGTCCTATTCGTTCTTTTCGTCGTTGTTCGTCCTTTTCGTCCTTGTTCGTCCGTTTTGTCCTTTTGGTTCTTTTCGTACTTTTAGTCCTTTTCGTCTTTTTTGTCCTTTTGGTCCTTTTCGTCTTGTTAGCGCTTTTTGTTCCATTGATCCTTTTGGTCCTTTTCGTGTTTTTACTCCTTTTAGTCCTTTTGGTCCTTTTCGTCCTTGTAGTCTTTTTAGTCCTCTCCGTCCTTTTCATCCTTTTCGTCATTTTTGTCCTTTTCGTCCTTTTAGTCTTTTTAGTCTTTTTCGTCCTTTTCATCCTTTTGGTCTTTTGGTCCTTTTGGTCCTTCTAGTCCTTTTCGTTTTTTTCGTCCTTTTTGTTCTTTTGGTCTTTTGGTCCTTTTGGTCCTTCTGGTCCTTTTCGACCTTTTGGTTCTTTTGGTCCTTTTCGTCCTTTTAGTCCTTTTTGACCTTTTCGTCCTTTTCACCCTTTTCATTCTTTTCACCCTTTTCGTACTTTTAGTCCTTCTGGTCCTTTTCGTCTTTTTACTTCTTTTGGTCATTTTCGTCCTTTTGGTCATTTTAGTCTTTTTCGTCCTTTCAGTCTTTTTGGTCCTTTTCTCCCTTTTGGTCTTTTTCGTCTTTTTACTCCTTTGGGTCCTTTTCTTCCTTTTGGTACTTTTCGTCTTTTTGGTCCTTTTGGAAACTTTTCGTTCTTTTCGTCTTTTTACTTCTTTTGGTCATTTTCGTCCTTTTAGTTCTTTTAGTTGTTTTCGTCCTTTCCGTCTTTTGGTCCTTTTGGTACTTCTGATCCTTTTGGTCCTTTTCGTCCCAAGGTCGAAGGACGCAGAGGACGAAAGGACGAGATTTTCGTCCTTCGACCTTCGTTCTTCGTCCTTCATCCTTTGTCCGTTTCGTCCTTTTTTTTTTTAATGTTCTATCAAGTTGCGCAAAGTTTGCAAAGAGAAAGGCACAAAATATGATCTTACAAATAATTTATTCAAATTATCATAATAATTAAGAGAAATAATCAAAGCATTTATTTTTCTGCATGATGATTGATGACATGCGTGAATTTTTGACGATAATTTTGCACTTGTACACGATTTTGGAGAACTAGTAGGAATTTTCGAAAAAATGAGGTCGAAAATAACTTCTGGAGGTGCAAATTTTCAAAAAAAAAGTCTTGAGGATTCGAGAATTATGGCATTTTAAGGATTTGAGGATTCTGGTGTTTTGAGGATTTGGGAATTCTGGTGTTCTGAGGATTTCTTCCATTACCCTCCATCTTGATGGAAACATTTTCTTTCCCCGATATTCGCGGTTATTCGCCAAGATTGTCAGGAAATCGAACCAAACATCAATGCTACAAATAAATTTTTAATGAAAGTACAATAATCAAAGTTGACATAATCACACATAAAATATGATTTTTTCGTTCCCCTGTGAATTAAATAAAATTCCGCGTTGACAACGTGGATTCTCGTTCGCCTAATAGGATCACAGACAGTCGAGGAGGTCTCAAAACCCCTGATTTATCCGGGTTTGACATTTGGTATGGAAACCTGTAATATCTCAGCTGTCACTACCTTTCCCCACCTCCTGCACGATCTGTACTCCTGGTCCGAAGCCGAATATCGACATTCGCTGGCTTGTCCTTATTCCACGGTCTCCAGTCTGAAAATTAAGCGCTGAACGTGGAATTTAGCCCCGCTTAAAAGGATCACAGACAGTCGAGGAGATCTCGAAACCGTTGATAATTACTCCCGATTTGACATGTCCGTGGACGGCTGTCACTACCTTTCGCCACTTCCTTCACGATCTGTGATCCTGGTCCGAAGCCGAATATCGAAATTCGCTGGTTTGGTATTATGAACATCATTTTAGTAGAAGAGTGCTAACAATCAGGCAACCCATAATTAATTAACAACGCGCCGACTTCACAATTTTTTTTTAACTTTAGATCAAAAAAGTGTGTCGTTAAATGTTGACTAGTGTTGCATGAAAATCAACAAGTCAGAGAATTTTTGGAAAAAAGAAATATGGGTAAAATTAATCTTTATTTTATGTTTGTTACGTTCCAGAATCTTGAGATAACTAAATATTATTTTACAAATTATATCCAATGGGCGATTCTGGAAAACGAAAATGGTCAAAAAAATGGGTCCAAATTTGAAAAAGCCACACACCCTCTTATCTACAACTTCGTCTAATGTGACTTAGAATTAAGATCAATACAAAAACGACTTTTAGAAATTTCAGTAGCAAAAGAACATTTTTTTTTATTAACAATATTACCTATTGTTACTACAGAATTCATTAATTGTCAACAATAGGAGCCGGCATTTTAGTCTTATCACTTTATTACCAACGTCATCTTCAAGGACGTTGAAGCGAGCCTCATGAGTAAGTTTCAAATTTTTGTGCCAATTGAAAAAAAAAAAAACAGGAAAATCGTTTTCAAGTTTGTACACATCCAAGATTTTGACGGTCCCGGAGCAAGATCTTAGAAATGTTCGGTTTGAATGGAATTTGTTTTTAATCCAAATAATCGCCATATTTCTTTAGACGATTTTAGAAAAGTGGTAGAAGTTTTCGAAACAAGGATATATCATTTTCATGAGGGGGTAGTACTGAAAATTGAGCTTTTGAAAGTCTACAAAAAATTGTGTACATATAACATGTTTATGGTAACGAAACAAACAACTTCTGAACAGGCAACCAACAATACACCTAGTTGTCAATTGCAGTGTTATATGTATTATGCTATCGACACCAAAATTGCGTCACTACTTGTAACTAACGGTAAAATAATACTGATGAATATTGTGACAATTTATTTGTCCAAGTTCATCTATAACCTTCTAAGACAAATGAAAAATTAATTTTAAGCAGCAGTCCGTCTCTCTCCTATGAACATAGAGGGTATCAGATACATATTTACACAAGGACATGTTGCTTTTAATGTATATAAAAATATTTCCTATTCAGAACAAATTAGTTATGTACTTAAATAATGCATGGTTTGAAAATTTTCATAGTCAAACATCTACCACAATTTCAGAGTCCTCATTAGAAACATCACCATCATCATCATCTTCATCACCTTCTTCCATCAGTTGAGTTTTCAGTAACAGATTTGTGGCGACAGGAACTCCAACAACTACAATAGAACGAATCATGAATGAACCCACTAAACAATATATTACAAACCATTATATGTTGCAAATTGTTGGTTGAGGTGATTGTAGGTGTATTGAGAATCCACTTTTAAATTTTCTATCTCAATATTTGGTAAAATTTGTTGTTCTAACACTGGTTGAGAGCAATTTTGAGGTATCTGATATTGTACTTGTTGCATTTGAGGTAAAAGAGGCCTGACCTATTTTAGAAGCAATTGGCTTTCAGTTCTTTTATACAAGTAGAAAAATTATTTATTTGAATTTGGGGTTAGACAATTACTTACTTTATTGCCATCAGGTCTGTGAGGGTTTCGACAACCCCTGCACTTACATTCAATACAAGGCTTACTATCCACATAGCAGGGACACCTCTGACCACAACACGTCAGTTTTCCAGGCGTCAAGGTTGCATTCCCACATCTACAACCTCTTTTTGGTTTTGTTGAACATTTAGCTGGTGGTTTTTTAAATACTGACTGAAAATAATCAACACGTTAACAAGGAAATAAACAACATCGACCTTATCACTAGAAATATTAGCGCGCACTACTTATTTATACACCGATACGTAATAAAATTTACTGACTTGTTTATTTTAAACGTTTTCTCGCCATATAGACACATGTAACAATCAACTATAATATAATCTAGAACATGTACCAACAAAGCCAGTGGGAAAACGTTATAAAACCAAGTCAACAAAGGAAAAAGCTAGACATTTTCATCAATTTACCTTCTCTGTTATGTCTTTTTTAAATTGCACGCTCTTTGGTTTACTGTCGCCGGTGTCCTTGGACTTTCTTTTAATGGTAATTTTATTTCCTGTCCCCGCAAACATAACAGAGTATAAGGAAGTCCGATTTTTGTTTAAATTAGAGTTCATAACATTTTTAGAATTGTTCACATTTGCTAACTGCAGCGTTTGAGTAGAGGAATTGGTGTAGACGCACGGCAGAATGCTGTATGCAGACTTCGGCAAGCCTCCTTTGCTTTCGTAGTCATCTTGAAATGCAGCACCCTCTTTAATTAACCCTATAAGATTCCCTGCTCCCCGTTCCACGCCCGTCGCCGTTTGATTCTTCGCAGCTTGTTCACAAAGTCCTTTAAAAATCCCAGATTTAACTAGAGCTATACACATTTTTTTGTAGCACTGAAGGAGAATTCGGAGATTCTTATTGTCACTGTAGTCACTGCAATTCTTGCACCACAGACACGCCGGTTTTATTTTCTTGCGCCCTCCGATGCAGGTTCTGCAGAGGTGATGCTGACAACGGCCCACGGTCGGCGTTAAAGGGTCTACTAACAAATTCCCGCAAACAACACAACATAAAGAGTTCCTTAAATACGGGACCAGGCGGTACAAGTCTTGCCAGGTATTCGGGTTGCTCGGGTTTGATTTCAGTATTATTTGATTTGTCGTCACATACAAACTTGTTGAATTCATTTTTATATAAATCCCCTAATTTACAACATGACAATAATGTTGTTTAATACTTTTTCTGTCATCTGTCAAGCGTCAATACAAATTTGAAGTTGCAATAAGTCTACCAACTTAACAAAACAAGTGCCATGCGCGACCGTTCCTTCTCTTTCTGGAACGTTGAAAATGCGCATCGTCCGTCGCGGTTTACCACATGGTCGCATTCGTCACTCTCCAACACGTTGAACAAGTGTATTTTCCATGCTATTTTAGTCACATGGCTGCTGCAAGTTTACAACTAGTTACAAAACGAAAGTCCCCAAGGAAATGTGAATTGTCTACAATGGACTAATCATTGACGTATTAAGAAAAGAGTACCATATTAGGATAGCGAAATTTGCGAACTAAATCAACCACTAATTTTCCAATCAAACTAAATTAACTCAATTTTAAGACCCTGTTGCAAATAACAAACAGCACGTCCGACAGCGCCGAAATAGCAACCTTCGGACTGAGTTCTTAACCATAATAAAAAATAACTTCAGACAATTACTAAATCCTCTACTCTAAACATCCAAACAATTCTTTAAAACGTCAGTATAATTACATAGATCTTGTTATCTCATAATTACAAAAAATATATACAGTTAGTGTTGTAAGTAATTAAATAATGCCTGAGACCAGTTAGTCGTCTATCGCAACCATGTGACCGTGCACCGTTGCCGACTGATGGTATCTTCGGCGGTTGGAAAAGTCTTCGTTATCCTCATTAAGCTGCGACGACATTACATCGAGTCCTGGGTGGACAGGCGTTACCACAATTTGTTCGTAATCGTACACACGTTTCCTATAATCAAACATTAACAAACGAAAAAACTACACTTTATTTTTACCCTAAGCATCTGAAGAATACCGTTTTCAACCATCTGAAAAAGCGAAATTCAGAGGCTAAGCCCGGTTTAACTGCCGGATTTGCGGTACCGATGTACAACCACACCAAGAAAACTACGCTAATACACACGATGGCGTAAATCCAGTTAACCAGAAACATGATCAGGATTTTTAGAGCTGCCTGTAAGTGACGTATTAGTATAAGTACAAGTTAAGGTGTGACGGTTACCCCAAATAGCGAAAACCAACGGTTGCACAAGTTGGAATACCAATTCTTAAGTTTGGAATGGATGTGCGCTTTAGGGGCAATGGGTATTGTTTCTATGTTTTCATCGGGAGTGGTAGGAGACCCAGAATTTGACTCACTCTATTAAAGAAAAAAAATCAGTAACCTGTGATCAAAAATATACTGCGCATGCTCGAAATTTTTGGCTGTGGACACAGCTTAAAAAGTACGTACTCGCAATGTTTTGTGCCTCGTACGTTCTGGAAAAAGTCTGTCTAGATCATTGTCGCTAGACTCGACGAAAGTTTGGTGTATTTTTGGACGATCGAATCGTTGTTCTCTTTGATGTTGTATATCAAATGTTTGTGCTAAAGCAAAATATGAATAATCTATACATGCATATGTCAATAAATAAGGCATTGTTACAATTGGTGCTAACGTATTAATTTCCCCTACTAAAATAAATGTCAACGTTACAGCTGCAACAACAGCCATGGAATATAGGGGAACTTTATTTGGTCCTCTCTAGAAAGAAAAATTTGAAGTTAGTGCTTGCGTATATTGTGTGTGACGTACCCCCATTCCTAGAATACTGATTCCTGGAATAACATTTTCCAATGATATGGATTGTAAAACACGTGGAGTTCCATACATGGCTCCTAAACAACTGGACATAGACGAGACGTAAAGTCCAGCTAATAATAAGACACGAATGGCAGACACTTTGGCGGCGATCATAAAATCGGTGAGTAACACGTCTCTACGACACGTTGCACCCAGGAATACGACAAAAACTAAATAAAGGAAAGTTCCGGTGCTAATCGCTGCTAACGTTCCATTTGGAATATTGGTTGATGGTGCTCTTAAATCACCACTCATGTTAATCCCAGACAAGATCCCCGTTATTGTGGGGAAAAACACCCCAAAAACGGTAAACCAACTGTAGCCGTCTTCATATTTCGACCACAAGTTCTTATTCACGTTGCCTTCCAACCATCCCTCAAAACCATTTTCTTAAAAATAATAATAAGAATCGTACAAATCGTGCGAACGTATAATTACCGACGTCAGTGTGAACAAAGCTGCCAACCATAAAATCAAGTCCCGCCAAAAGTAAAATCAGTAAGAGGATAAACTGGAGTTTTATTACCCATTTGACGCCGGCAACGTTTATTACGCTTAATAACAAAACAGCCGCACCAGCAATGATTCTAACAGCCCATGTCGAATTTCCAAATCCGATTAGCTCGGCCATTGATTCCCCAAAACCCAAGACGTTTAAAGCGCAGCCTACGGCCTACAAAAGACGTCATACAAACATGAGTGACGATCCAGTGTTTTTACTTAAGTGTGCAAATTCAAGACTCACGAAGCCACCTAAACGGGCTTTCCGCGATTATATCAATTGAATTTTTTTGTGTTTATGCATGAGTTCTTGTTCTTATTTATGTGTATACCTGGCCGAAACAGTACAGCAGTCCCAAAGACCCTCCAAATCTCGAGCCGAGGACGTGGGCCACCACGAAATAGACGCCTCCACTTTCAATCCGGCAGCGTTCACATATTCCAACAGCCGAAAGTACAGAAATCAAAGCAACAAACACTGAAAACGAATAACATAAGAGGGTTGCGTGTTGATTATGGATTAATTTACCAGTAGCCAAAACAATTAATACTGCACTAAAAATCCCAGCTTGGCCAACAATCCATCCTGATCTTAAAAACACAATGACCCCAAAGATGTTAATTAAGCAAGAGGTAAAAACACCATCCCACGTGCCAAATAAAACAGGTTGTGAGATAAAAAAGTTAGATTTCCACCATGGTACATCCCCCTAAACATTAACCATGAATTGGAATACTACAATTCACCTACGTACCTGTTCTTCGGCAAACAGTTCGTTGGCTCCCGAGGCTTGATGACCGCCAGCTCCGTAATCGTTGGACAAATCCACAAATCCGCCGACGTTGCCACGAACCCTTTGTGCTGTTTCTGTACCCAAGCCGAACCTTGACCAGTCAATGTTTCGGTCTTTATTGTCGCGGTTGTTTTGCTCCATTTCGAAAGTAAACCATTAACGTTGACACAATTTCGTCAGCCAGATGTCTTTACCCAGATGAGTTTATGAAGAAACAACAAACATATTTTTCGAACGAAAGGATGTTGAGATAAGAAACAAAATTCTGCATAAAAATAACCAGTACCTGAAAAGATTATTTCTTATCGATTGTCAAGTTTCTACATTATCATGTTATCAATTATCATGTGTTTTATTGTTTTGTGGCTTTAGACAAAACTGACATTTATGGAAATGTCCTGTGACTCGCCTTGTGTTTGTGCATGTGTCATCATCTGTCACTTGTAACCAATCAGGACAAAGCAGCATCGTTCGTCATCGGAGCAAACACGAAAAGCATAAGCGAAAATTTCCCACGAAAAATGAAAACACGTGTTTTGTTTATTTTTTGTTCATATAGTAATTGTGTTGGTAAATCTTCCCATAGCGAAAATAGTTTTTTAAGTTTTTTTAATTGCCCTACCATAAATCGCTCGTAAATCGTAATGATAAAGATATATGCAAGTACAACCTAAACAGGAAAACAATTAGATTTTGTAAATAACTTTAAAATTTTGTAAAACTTATGCAACCATCAATACAAAATTGGGATTTTCGTCGAAATTTAGTTACTTTTTCTTACGTGCCAGTTTTCTGTTGGTGCCTGCTACGTCATTATTAATTATATTAATGACAAGAAGGCTGTGTTTATCCACTTGCGTGTTCTTTATGACTTTAATCTAAATGACTAAGAAGTCCTTTACAGTATTTCAGCGTTTCAAAGACGACAACTGATAAACCATGTATGGGGTAAGTCCTCGAATGGAATAAAATCCCAAAGAACAAGATTGTTGTCTTCCAGAACCAAAACTATGGAGGTTATGGAGGGTACGCTCCAGGGGCGGCTCCCGGTATGGGGCCAACAGGAGTCAGTCCTGATGTGCAGCAGTGGTTCAACACAGTCGATAAAGATCGTTCTGGACAAATAAACTGGGAAGAACTGCAAGGTGCTTTGATAAACGGTCAAGGCAAAAATTTTTCTGAATCGGCTTGCAAACTGATGATTGGGATGTTTGATAGAGACAAAACAGGAACAATTGATGTTAATGAGTTTCAGCAACTATTTACCTATATTAATCAGTGGTTGGCAGTATTTAAAAACTATGATCGAGATCAGTCTGGACATATCGAAGAGTCTGAACTTGCCCAAGGTAAATTATAAATTTGTGCACTTTGTTTGTGTTACGAAATAATCCTTACAGCCTTGCAACAAATGGGTTTTAAATTCTCCCCAGAATTTATAAAATTTCTAATAGCCAAAAGTGATCTTCAACACCATAAACAAATTTCAGTGGATCAGTTCATTGTTCTTTGTGTACAGATTCAACGTTTTACGGAAGCATTTCGCGTGAGAGACAAGGAATTGAAAGGCGTAATCACAATTGCTTTTGAAGATTTTCTTAGCGTCGCCATTAATTGTTCCACATAGTACTGCAGATATTATTTAATAGATGGTCTAATTTTGTTAAGTTAGGAGTAATTTAAAAGTCGTTTAGATTGTTGAAATGTTGTCGTTTGCTTTTTTCTTTTCTGCGCATGTCATAAAATGGTTTTCTTAGGTTAAGCTCACTTTACATTTCCAGCTAAAGAGACTTCACGCATCACGCGCTTCAACAATCTAGGGGATTTTTATGTTTCAATGTTATAAGTTCGAATATTTTTGTAGAAAATTGTGTAACTACTTTCCTTTTAGCAACACGGAGCACGGTCGGTTAATAAAATTGTGTTGGATGTTTAAAATTCTTTATTTTTATTAAAAATCTGATACAATAAGTCTTAATCTATTCTTACTCTTTGTAGGGAATTTAATTTTTACTATTAGATAGGAGTAGCTTAACAAAATATTAGACCTGTGCGTTCTGTATATAAATTTTTCTCTAATTAAATAAATAGCTTTACTCTAAAAAAATTATTTAGAGCACTTTGGGTGATAACAAATGTTATGGTTTAGTGAGAAATGGAATAATGTAAAAAAACTGACGTAACTAAATTCTACATTAAGATATTTAATTAGTAACGAATCACAGTATAAAACTCAGTTGAATATCAAAGTTAAAACGATATATTATTATGCGTGAATTTCACCAGCACGTTTACAGTAGCTTGAATTAAACAAAAAGTTTTAGTTTATGATTTAATTGACACGCTGTAAACTCAATTAGGTCATACTTGGTCGTTGTTTATACGACGTGCTGCTAAAATTCACTATTTAAAGAGAGTTCGTAAAAATCTAATCATTCTATAAGCAATAATTGTAAGCATATTTAAAACAGCCTAATTCGCTGTACAATGTAGAATCGAAATGTGAAAAGTTTCCTATGCAAATAATTTTATATTTATTAAAACACAATTCCAAAGTATTTGATAAGACAAGATACTACAGCAAACTTTCACTCGCCGATGAAGAAGTTTTAAAATGTTATGAATTTGATTTTTTATCATTAGTAAGCGTCATTATTGTGCCCTAAGTTCAGTACATGTTAAAAATATTCGTATTTTTTAAAATTTACTTTTCTAATATTTTTTTTTATTTATTTAAAACGTTCTAAATGCAAATTATTTTACAATATTTTAAAAACTTAACGTTCAATATAAGTAGGTACATGATTTGTAAGTTGTATCATACATTGTCTTTCATAAATTTTTGTTCGGTTTGTGACTGTGTTAGGCCTATGTTTTCACTAAAAACATCTCTTGAGGTTCCTAATGTCATTGGTGTGATGAGTATTTCTGAGGATTTTATAGGACACAGTAACGTTGTTTCTGTAGTATCCTGATCTTCCGTATCTTCCAGGTATTCCTTGGTTAGTAGCGTGTCCTTCTCTGTAGAAAACAAAATAACAGTGGTAACACCTTAAAATTTTTCATTTTGTAACATGCTGAAGTTTTATAATAAGCCATGAAGACAGTCAGGACGTAGGACATAGAGTACACTACTACATGGGTTTCATGACACATTCTGCCCTCCTGTGGCAAAAAGGCGCACTTATTTCTACCAACAAGTACGTATTTTTTAAAAAGCACCTTTGCCTTGAAATATAAAAGGGAAGTATTGTCATACACATTGGGGACACATCACCCTTAATGCATGTGGAAACAGGTATTAATTTGACATTTTCAAACAAAATACATAAATGTTTTCGTCCAGTATTTATATTCCAGCATCGTGTTACCATAAGACAATCGTTTATTTATTTAAAATAAATTTAATTCTGAGGGTACCTCATTATATTTACACGAACAGGCAGTTAAGACGTGTTAGTATTAAGATTCTTGTCATTTTTTATTACCGCTCTCCATCCCCCTAACAAACTTTATAACTTATAACCATATTCGCGCACGTCAAACAAAGCCAAGCACGAATCATCCCCGAACAATTTTGTTTCAACCGCAGCAAGTTAGGATGCTTCATTTCGGTGGATAAATGTGATCGTGTGAACCGGTCTTCCGTATTTACCGCCAGGTTGGATTTAAGATTCTGATAAATGGTCCCACTGTACCGCGTCCCAAGACCCAATCCCAAAAATCGTACAATTTGATCAATGCCTGCACGTGCCAATCACATTTGTTAAAACTGCGGGAAATTTAAACTCGCCAATCGCCGAACCGGCCATCGTCATCATAGGGTCTCGTGGGGTGAAACGAGCAATAAACGCGGTACGCTTCCACGAATGGAGGGAATTTAAAAGTGCCCGCATCAATTGATTTTTGCGCTTACGTCGTGCGAACTGCAGTGAAAACGAATGCTTCGTTAATTCGAAGAGCTAAGAGAGGATGTTTTTTTAGTAGGGTGGAGGTCGCGGGGCGATTTTGATACGAGGTGTATAGTTTTTGGATTGTTTTCGAATATAGATTGGTTGAAATAGTTCCTAAATCTCTACGCCGCCGGCGCAAACTTGTGTCTACATGTTGTATCGACGTGGCGGTTTAGGGCCGTTTAGACTTTGGGTTATCGGGTTAACAATAATGCGGCCCGCGGTGTGAGAAAAATTACATGCACATTCCACATTACGATTGAATACCCAATGACATTTGCGGTAAACTCACTGAAATTATCTTTGCCCGCAATCACTACAAGGACGTAGATGATGAATAACCATCATAAGAAGCTGGAAAATAGCATTAAACAATATACGGAGCCGTGAATGGGGGTTGCATCAAATAACAATTACCCGAACTTTCCGTCGCCGTCCGCGGACTGCCCAATTCTCGCTCTTGTGTTTGGATTTCCGCCATGCAAATTGCGCCACTGGTCGTTGCAGATGGTTCTCCACCACTGGAAGGGGGCGGCGGCGGCGGGTTGAGGGCAGGAACAACGATAACCACTTCACCGTCGTAAGGCATGCTATCCGACGGACACACGTAATTCGACGAAATTGAACTAGAGGGTTATGTAAGGCCGAAATATTTTCATGGTCGATGAATTAAATACGAACCTCAACGTTACCCTTTTCTTTATGCGATTTCCTAGATCGGAGAACCCGCGATGCATCGGCCTTCTGATAACTGGGGCTTGCGGGGGCTCTTTGAAGCTTTTCGTTATGGGCGAGCTGGGTTCCGAGGATTGTTTGTCGACGAGGATTGGCTTGGGTTTGAGGACCGCGCACGATGGATTCGAAATACTCGACGTCGGAGGCATGTTATCGACGGATTGTTGCACGAAAGGAAGAGCAAGAAGTCGTTTCCGGTCTTCCATGTAAAGTTCCAAAAGCTGATCTATCTTAGACTCTATATCGTCTACCTGAGAAAGGATCGCAGTTGGAGTGTGATCAATCTAGACGCACCCCGCCATACTTACTTGTCTTTCTACTTTGACTATTCTAGAAGCTAGGCTGATTTTGGAAGCATAGACATCTTTTGCTTTCGAACCTTGTTTTCCTAGGATCTGATCTAATCTGTAATGTTGGAGAAGTTTTAATTTGTGTGTTTCGATTTCGGGTCAGCATGCTCAAGCTTTATCTTACAACGTGGTGTAAATCAACTAATGTAAGTGCAAAATAAACAATCAACCATGCAGTGCGAAGTTTGTTTTTTTTTTATTTTTAGAGAAACTTAAATGCATGATTATGAATGATAGCGTTGGATTTGATAAGATTTTGTAAAAATGGAACTCATGTTCAGGCATCTTACCTGAACTGTAAGTTTCGCACTCTATTCAAAAGATCTGCATGCCCAGAAGAGTACTGTTCAATAACATCTTTAACGTCATACGGCTTCAAGGCCTCTCTAAACTTCTTTCGTGCCACAAAATACTTGAGCTACACACACAAAGCGTGGTACAAATGGTTTTAGACAAAACATGTTTATTCAAAAAAGATCAGTATTACTTAATAAAAACGAAAGGAATTAATTTTGACGAAATTTAGTGTCCGACGGTTTTCGATAGGAGGCTCTAGAGAGAGACAATTAGCATGCGAAGAACTTGATATTACGTATTAGTATAGTGTACACGTTGATCACACATACAACAGCATCGCATTTTAAGAAGTCAAGTGGCTCACGCTAGACAGAGCAGACAAATAAAGGTTGATTGAAATGCGTTAAACAGACAGTGGAAGTGAGCTCGTTCTTCTCATTTTTAGTATCTAAATTAGTGAAGCAAAACTACACAATCAACCTTCACAATTTACACCAGAGTGTACCTAGCTTGAACGTTTTTCACTCTGCCAAGTAAATCAACATGTCCGGCCGAATATTGTTCTATCACGTCTTTCACATCGTATGGTTTCAAAGCTTCCTTAAATTTTCGCCTTGCTACAAAATACTTCATCTAAATAATAACGAAACATGGAATCAATATTGCTGGTTGGCTATAGAGACGATAAAAGGATTATTTGAAAAGTTTTAAGATTAAAAAAAAATGTATATGCCCACCTTACGAATAGCTCGGATAGCACCCTTATGCTGATTCGTCAGCTGTATGTATCGCGGCTCCTCATCTTCATCTGCATACAAAAATATAAACTGTAATTCAAATAAAACTTTTTCAAACCGGTTGGCCAACGGAGCCGGAGACACCGCGGAATTCGTGCCACCGGATAATGACGTTTAATTTGACAAAATTTGCTTCAGCGAGAAAGTAACTTGTCATGACTGCGTTAAAAAATATCAACAAAACAAGTTAATTACGCACGAAAGTTTAAAATTAATTAATAACACACAACTGTCAAACTGTCACGACTACGCGGCGAAAGCGAAATGTCTTATTTTCCGCCAGCGTGACGACGGTACAGTCGGAGTCGCAAGTCGTAGGTACAGTCCCTGTTTTATTAATCGTGACCAAACGATTTGAAACTACTTATAGCGCAATAAATAAAGTGTGCAACCTTCGAGTTCTGCTACTAAAAAAAATGTCAGCTTGTATAATAACAAACGTGTATCGGAGTAGATTTTTTGCTAAACCACAATTAACTGCGTAAATAAACGCATAGGAAACGAATTAACTCGGGAGATTGTTTTTGCTAAATATTTATTTTATTTTATGGCAAACATCACCGGCAAATATTCTTTTAAACGGAAAGCTGAAATAGTAATTTACACAACTAGTTCGGGATAGCCTGCTTCCCGCATGAACGCTTGTTTGCGGCACGACCGAAGGGAGTGACGCATTTGCGTGAATGCGGGAAGCAGGCTCACGAACGTGTTGTGTACAATATTTTTTGCAACGAATAAACCTTTAAACTGAAGAGATTAACTGTGAGTTATTTATAAGCAACGGCATTGACAGCGCCGTCAACACGTCACAATGTTGACACTACCCGAGTATTTTAAGGTTACCATGGCAACGGAAAGTTAAATGCACGTGTGCGGGAAGTTCGACCTCCCGCACCCTGGTGAATGCGCGAAAGCTATCAAAAAAGGTCATGAGTGCAAAAAATTATTTTTACTACAGGTCGAAGTATCAACGCGTTTCAAAAAGCCTTTGATAATATAAATCAACATAATTTAAACATGAAAGCGACTTAATATTAGGTCGGATTTTAAAGTACGAACGTTTGTTGAGTAACGGAATGGCATACAATGAAATTCCAGCTTTGACCATGATCATGTGGTTTTTAAGGATTCCGGAGCGTATTGAACTTTTCTATGGACTCGTTTTTATAAAGGAGACCTATGCGACGTCATGAACCTTAATGTTTAATTTTCTCTTTTGTTTGTGTTTCGCAGAAACAGAGGATTTTATTGTGGAACATTTGCAAATGTACCCAAGCTGACGCGTAGTTTAGTTAAAAAGTTCCCAGACTACCCCTATTCAAACAACTCTTTTTCTCGATCCGAAACGCATTCGGAGTGTATAATTTCTTTTATGGTCGAATAAAAATTTCGACATGTCGTAGAAACTCCGTTCGTAAAGAAAACACACTATTTGTAGTCGCTTAAAAAACTCGAATCGATTCCCTCGAATTGAAACGGTTAATCCGGGAGCTTTTTCTCTATATTTCTATAACAGAAAAATATTTACCATCTGAATTTTTTTTCGATAGCATCGTTTCTGCGACCGAGTCCTCGCTATGGCTGGCGTTCAAATTCCGCGTCCCGTTGTTACTGACGCCGCCTAACAACATCCTTTTTGTATTACACATAGTGGACGTGGAATTACGCACAGTAAGAAAAATTCGGTACGGAACCCCATATTATAAAGTTTGACGGTAAGCATTTTTTCCGAGTGCGAGGGGTGAGAAACAAATAGTTCCAAATGGAGGCACGCTTCAGACCATTTTACTCTAAGAGCTCGGTGTGTTCACAAACAAAGCAAACCCTTACCCTAACCAACAAGAGAGGTTTATTGAATAGTAGGCACGAGACACAGAATTGCTTAAGAAACACCCGTTCTGGCTAACTACACTCATAACCTATATAGCGCCCCATCTGAATAAACGGAAAACCGATTTAAATTAGATTGTGTCTACTCTTTCTGCGTTCAGTCGTGGCAAACAAGCCACCAAATGTATATACGCACTTGGTATAATGTAACTCCGATCGCTGGAAATGTCCTACAACTTTATAGGGTTCTCCGCCAAATTTTCCCTACTGTACACCAAACTGCTAAACTTATCGGTCCATTTAATAAAACTACTTTAGGTTATTTGTCGCTAAATATGAATAGGGACGTCAGAAATTTAACGAAGGTTGAATTTGACGCCGAAATTGAAAGATGCGCGAAAGTGGACCGATACGTTCACAGTTTGGCGCAGATGGGGGTTATTTACCTAAATTTTCCGCCGACGCGTTTATGTCGACAAAACTTCTACCACTTCTCGGTGGCCCTTTGTGCATTGATGGCGAATGAAGCGAAGTACTTTTATGACGACGGATTGTTGGCAATCGGCTCACGAACGATGCGTTATGTTTAAAACTGCTCGACACTCGTCTAAAATAATCAACATAGCATTAGGATCGCAGAATGATCGAACGATTTTTGAAAATTTCCATTTCGCAACATTTATATTTTTGAATTTAGTACCTGCCTACACATGAACTAGAATCTTACCTTCGAACAGAAATATTGGAAAAAAAATTAGCCGGTGCTACGGTTTTTTCATATCTTTGGGATACGACTTTTCGTTTTCGGAAGTGAAAATTTGCTTTTGATTAATTGCATTTTGGTGTGGAACGATCTATAACACAAAGCACTATATGAGGGAGTTTTCCATATTTAAAACGCTCATGTTTTATTCACGTATTATTCAATATTTTCAGACTTCATGTTAATTTTCCGCCGGAAGCACTTTACCGTTTTACCTTAGCACCGGCTATGTACTAGGTCCAATCATCTGTAATTATAACAACCTGAGATATTTATAAAAACGAATATACGTCGCTAAGTTTTAGTGTTGTACGCATTTTCCAATAATTCTTATAGTACTGAAATATGAAAAAAGTGAAAAGCATGCATAGTTGGGAGACATGCTATGTATAACACACTTACACAACAGAAGAAATAGATTGTATCTTCTCTGCCACCTTATCAGTATCTTGTAATTTAGCTCTGGTAAACGTGCAAGTTGAAAACATAGTGAGAGACAGGAACACAGACAGAATAGATAATAGAGTACAGAATAATCGATCTACTGATCCTAATTTTGTGCGGTTTCGAAGCCTCAATATACAAGTCGCGATTATCAAAGAACTGTCATTTACAACCCGTACCTATACATACAAACTGGATTTTCATTATTATGACATACCGTACGAAGCTCACAAAGCTTTCCTATTCAACGAAAATATGTACAAAGCTAAAAAAATATAAAGTACTTACGAAGGTGGACTTGGCAAGGGGACTTGATGTATTTTCCAAGTGGCAACAGACAACGAGTGTTCGTCTGCCGCGTAACATCGCCAAAGCGATTGAATAAGCATCGCTGCTGGTTGCCTTCTCCTAATCATATGCTTTTGCCTTTGTTGCTGTTGGACTTTTAAAGCGAAACCTGATCCTAAAATACCCTACAAAAGTAACATCAAATAATGTTTTTCTTTTGAATCCTGACGATGATGACTTAACAATAATGATCACAGGATTTTATCACGTTTACGTTTCTTTTTTTGACATGTGCCAAACATATTGCAACAAACTTATCAGAATCGTTTAAAAGTTTTAAAGAGCGACAGCACATTAAGTAAGATCTAAAGATTTATTAGATTAATACATATTTCCTGGCACTGAAAAGTGCTACAAAAGATAATTCATTTCGGCACATATGTTGTTCTCCCATGTAAAATGCACTTTATAGTGTGTTCGTGTTGTTTCGAAATAATTTCACACGACTTTGACAATACTTACAGCAGGCAGTGCGAAGAATGATATACCGAGGAGTGCACAAAAAGAAGCTATAATTTTGCCTTGCCAAGTTTCAGGGACCATGTCGCCGTAACCAACCGTACATAACGTGATCTAAATAAGAATTATAAGAAACGGGGACGATAATCGGCGTGCACTACTTACGACACCCCACCACAAAGCTTGGGCAAAGTTTGAAAAATTTTTATTTACATCTTTCTCTGCCAGAAATACTAAAAACGACGCAAAAATTAAGCCCAAAAATCCAATATACAACGTTGTAATAAGCTCCTGCAATAGAAAATGCAATCATTTCTTCGAATCTGAAACGAATCTAGTCGTGCAAAAGTTTTAATAAAACTCATTGCTAGGAGGCCCCTTCAAATACGATCAATTAAAGCTTTAGATTTCAAATTTACGCGCCACTCGATCCAAGCCGGCGCGCACTTTAAAAATTCAAGGTTGGACTTGGCGATAATGTTTCAAATGAAGGGAACCTAATAGGAGAAAGCTTCGTTAAAAGTTTTGCGCATTTAAAACGCAGTGAAAAAGAAAAAAAAATCAACAGTTAGGTTAGTTTGTAGTTTTTTTTGTGTAAAATAAAAAAGCAATACGAACGATTTATCTTCTTTTGTGCGAATCGGTTGTAGTTGGCTAAACAAGGGTAGACTTAAACAATGAATTAAGTAGTTGACAATTACTCGCAGTAAAAAAAACCGTTTGATGTTATTAATTTAAAAGAAGCCATCTCGATCGCACAAAAAGATGATAAATGGTTGTTCGAAGTTCTTAAAAGTCATAGAGAGTGACAGATTCATTAATTTGACGATTATTAATTAAGCCGGAGTGCATTTGTTGTGCAGTTATCTCCAGGAAGGAAATAAATTCGTGGTATCGATTACTTACTTGTCTGTGCGCGTACACTACTGATCCTAATAGTTTCCATGTGCCTCCGCGGCGATCCATTCGTACCATTCGTAAAATTTGAAAAAAACGCAGACCTCGAAGGGCACTAGTGGCTAAAACTTGTCCTCGTGATCGCATGACTAATACAACAACGGAAGCCACAATGGTTATAACATCTGTAAATATTCAATCACAAACCGAAATGGAGTTTTAGTCCTGTTGAAAAATTGCAGACACGAAAAAATCAGAATCAAAATCGTATCGGTGTAGTAATCCTGGGAGATTAAGATGTCTCCAAATGCAATTAAACTTTAGTGATTTCTCTCGCATCTCGCGTATCATTTCGGTCAATTTCATTTTCTAAGGGTGTCTTCCGATATTCCGCTTACAAAAACGGATAAAGCTCATTTTTACAGTATTTGTAACAAAGAAAAAGCACCTCTAGGTTCGTTAGATTTAAAACACAGTTTGCACGAACAATTGGCCAAAACTGTCCTGGTGTGCTTATAATCCACTTTTATTATCTTTTCGAGTGCTGATTATGAATTTATAAAAACCAGTTTACGGACTTTTAAAATTTTATCGCAGCTGCTTTTTAGGCGAAGTGCACGCTAAACAAAATCAATGATTTGATGAAAGGCTCCGCATTTCAACAAACGGACAGTGGCCACTTATAAATAAATATGCGCGATTAACTACAAAAATGATCGAAACAAAAATCGTGCAGCGTTTGTGGTGATTTTCCCAAATATACAGTCATAATAATGTTAAGATACTTGACGTTGGTGAAGGTGACTTTGTTAACAATTGCGCAAACAAAATAAGACTAATTAATTTAAGTGGTTTAAAAATGCAACGAGGGCTCGCGTTTCTAATGCGGTTCGTCGTTGGGGAACGTTAAGAGCGAGGTTCGTCTCCGTGCATTTGGGTTTTGTGAGCTATAAAATACCGTCAAGCGGATAATGAAAATGTGAACCGCGTAAGCTGGCAAAGAAAATAGATTTTACTCACCTATAATACAGAATGGACGTCTAAGAAATTTAAGGCGGCCAATATACCCTTGGTAGCGGGAACGACATCCCGAAGACCAAAGCCTACAAGCGACGAAAACAAATATTTATTAGCCACTACTAGAAATCGAACAGCTGAACCTCACCTCGAACAAAAATAACAAACGTCACAACAACAGACAAATATTTTCGTTGCAAAACAATTTGACAACAAAAATTTATAGTTTTATTTAGTTTGTTTTGGCGGAGTTCGACGAAGTTCGCAAGTTAGGTAATTGGGAAAAAGTCGTTCTTTTTATTTAAATTTTCACTAACGATGTAAATAACTTTAATGACTTGTCAAAAACACACTTAGGTACACATTTAGGCCATTATTTGCATTTAAATAAGAAAATTTGTCACTGTTGTAATTCTTGATGAATTACAAATTTGTTTTGTAAATAAGTACGCAGCTCATAAAAGCAACACGAGAAATTAAGCCGAATTCAGGATAAATTTCAGATGAATTAATATTTGATTTGACGCATACGTAAGAACGGCGCCTACGAAATCTTCAAACTAAAACTATTCGCCAGCTAAATTAGTCCGAACTTCGCGAACTACAAAATTTTCTTTAACTACTGCATACCTCAAGCTGAATTCAACGGCAAACCAGACTACTACGAACGACTCCATATATGTTAAAACTTGCACTGTCATATCTTCATAAGTTTCAATCGTTGAAAAAACACTCAGAGTTAAACATGTAAAAACCATCAAAAATCTGAAAACAAAGCACACAGTTAACCGGTCTGCATCGCATAATGAATGCTTAATATTTTAATTGTTGGACTGCAGCTGAAACACGTAAACATTAGTTTAATATTGTTATTCTCTCGGTACCCGACGGTACACAATGTAGAGTTAATTTTCCGAGTGTCGGATACGAGATCTTATTATCCCTCTAGCTACGAAAGTATGAGCCAGAGCTGAATGTTAAAACTACATTAAAAACTTTTCTTACATAATGAGGCGATTACCCACACAACGAAAAAGACGATCGTACGAGCCACCAACGCTGCAATTTTGATTCATCTCCAAACTGTAAAAAAGTCTGGCGACTTTTAACCTACCTGTATTTGCCCTGTCCCTTCTATTCTCTTCTATCTAGAGCGAAGTTATAAAATTCATACTTTAATTTAAAGTTAAAAGTACATGCGATTTGGCATGCCATAGAAATGAATAATTTACATCCGACACGTATTAAATATTCCACGCGAAATTGCAAATCCTTTTGCAAGCCAACAATAAATATGTTATTTGGTTATTTGCTTTAGATTGTTTCAATGTAGGTAGGAATAGTAATAAATGTGTCTCTATGGTATCACGCAGCCCCACAGCAAAACAATTTAACCTATAAACCTTAGAGTCCGCCACTCTTTGTTTTATATTAAACGTAGCTTCCCGTCGAAGAGCATCGAGAAACAAATCAACGTTTTCATCCTGCATAAGCATCAATTTTGTGCAATTTAATCGAAAAATATTGCCTACTACCATTTCACTCGAGTTCGTGCGTCTTTTTCTGGTTCCTGTTCCAAATTCTATTACGCTGGATGTTCCTGATATTCCGTCGTACGCCACGTTTCGACCTCTTTTTAATTATTGTGGGTGATGGCGAAACAAAAGAACGGAAAGCAGTGACCGGTGTTTGCTCAAAGAACGAGAATTAAAAATGCACCGAGACATCGGAATAGGTATAATACACATTTTCTTACGTACATTGTGCGGTACGTAAGAAAAGGTCGTTCTAGAAATAGGCCGTTCGTACCTGAGCGAAGAGAAATGTCAAACGTAATAAATTGATCAGCGTTTGAGAATTGTCGAAGGAAGCTGCCGAGAATTTGTTAAAAATAATAATTAGGTTTTGTGTGGTTCGGCGGAGAGGCTCATTTCGGACTTCGAAATTTCCATTCGGCGAATTGAAAAATCTACATGGAAAGCGATCGTCTTACCAACATAAATTTTTTATCAAAAACATGTATGGGGAATATTACGCGTGTCCGTGTTTTGTTTGTATAGATATTGTTTCCTGGTGGTGAATTTAGAAGGGTTTTTTAAAATTAAAAAGATCGATAATCAAAGCGTAATCATAAATTCTACTTTTCTGTGGAATATTCTTTGGCGAAAATCAAGAGTTGACAGCGCGTATTTTATTTTCATTAGAGATAAATTGTGTTTTATATACTTAAAAACTTTGCGAGAGGAAACGTTAACGCTTTTTAGAATCACGAGGGAGAGTAAGTGAGTAGGGGATCAGAAATGGTAGCCGAAAATATCTAAGACACGAAATAAATGAGATTAGAAACTAAATTGAAAGGGTAGTTTAAGAAGTGTCGTCTGCAAACGTTTCATTATACTAACAAATTTCGTTAACCTCGGTAATTTCTTGCGGGCCATCTGGAAAATGTGAATAACGGAACGAGATGTGGCGTATTTAAAAAATGACGCCAATTACGGAGCCGCATAAACAAATGATGAACGGGACTTAATGCGTCCCAATGACTGTTATTAAGTTTTTTTTTTAAAAAAAGATAATTAGGGAATTTGGCTTTAATTTAGGTGAAAGCAAATTTAAATAATTAAATTTATAAGGACTTGTAGTCTCGGAATGTTAATTTCCACAAGTCAATGGTGGCCTACGGCGAGAAAATTAACGGCCCGGATTGCGGTATGGCATATAAATCTTCCGTAGTGCTACTTTTTCGAGTGTATGCCAGGAATCATAAAATTTAAGAGAACAATAATTTAAGCGCTTCAAGTTTGCATGTTTTCCTTCAATAGCTTGTCGCAGATGAAATTTTAGAAGGATAATAAAAGTTTATTGGGGTAAAGTTTGCGAGATTTTACACGAGCGTACCCGAGTTGTTCTCTATACCCTTTCCAACGTTTCACATACCCAACATACGCATACAAATTGTGGTAATTGTGAAATGCTTTTGGGCATACGCACTCTGCACTCAGGAATTGTTAATTCGGCAATTTTCCGTTTTTGCATTCGACCGACGATGAATTGATTGAATCCGCAACGCGGTATTGACGGGATTAAGGGGAAATATTGATAAACAAGGTTTACAAATTAAATCTTTCCGGAGAAAACGTTTCACCGAGCTTCTCCAGCGGCGAATTCAATTAAAAGGCGCGTTTACTAATTGAGTGATCGGGGAATATTAAATTAGAAGTGGAGCTACTTACACTATCATATGGTAGAAGATAGCAACCCCCCTAGGCCTTTCCAAGAAGTTATAGACCCGGCTTTGAATGCGACGATAGCGAGCATCCCGTCGTGAAGCTCTGTAGTTGAGCGGTCTACCAAGAAGACTCATCCGGGGTTGAGTAAGACGACCGCGCTTTTGTCGTTGCGTCAAACTAAAACAAATTACACAGGTACTCAAAGAAACCATAATTAACGCCCCAATACTCATTTACATATAAATCAGACTCTAATCGTACAAACAAATTGGAAACACCAGATGCTCCTATCAACATTCTGCTGATAATGCACACGCTCGGCTACACATTGCTCCCATTGTTGGACTGCTGGAACAACCAATTTGGATAAACCACTACCCAAATAATTCCGACCGGTCCCGTGTTCCTTCGATAATTACTCACGCTATTTTGCAAACTTTGTCGATAACACTACTACCCTCACACTTTATTAACTTGGTTTTTATTCAACAACTTACCCTCTGTTTTTCTATAGTTATATACTGTGATGGGCTACGAATATGTTTAAATTCCATCACAGTATAGAAAAAACGGACGAATTTGAAATATTTTCCAAAAGACGCAACGTTTTGGAAGCGCTGGATTCTCCGTTCTCATCAAAGCAATCGCTAAAATTTTCAAGTAGTTGCCTAGCAACAGTGAAGCTTTACCGGTTTGATGCAATTTTTTAACGTCACGCTTGCTTAACTAGAAATTTCCTTTTTCAAGTGTCAAATAAAATTTCGCCAGATGTCGGCCGTTTTAAGAATGAAATCTGAAACAAAATATTTAAAGGATTGCTCATTGTGAAACGGCGTTCATACAAAATTTATTTACATTTGTCCTTGATTAGTCGTAATGGCCGCAAAGAGTCCAGTGGTGCCCAACTTTTTTCTACGTAGCTCTCTAATATGCGAATCGAGGGTAAATTGGATAACCACCGGTGTCTCTTTTCATGTTGAAATCGTTGGCACTGTGACCCGTCTGAGATTTATTAGAGTTTGAAGAAATGGCTGGGGTTTCAGGGGAAATACATTGATACGGCATATGAGTGAAAAGTCTCTCTTCCATATATTTTTCATTCGATTTTTGATTGGACTGTTGCTCAGTTTCTTTCGACATGTACATATTTTATATCGCTCGGTAATTTTTACAACTCGGGTTCGCTTGCAATTATGAGATGGGCTATATTTCAGCCAAATCGTTATAAGCAGTAAAGATGTCAGTAAATCTTTCCCGTCCGTAGTTTATTTTCGACGTATTACTTTAACATTCGTTTGTGCCGAATGTTTAAACGCGTCCCGTCGACATGAATATATAGCTTTTTTCAATTGGAGCGATCGAATTTCGATTTCCTCTCATCAAGTGAGCGTATGTCGTAAGTGTTATTGCTCAATAAAAACAAAGTGCGTGACGTAACGCGTTAGTCTGTTGTGTTCGGCATCAAACTGCTACCGTCGCTTAACGCTTACGTAATGATGACGTCACATAACCTCACAGTTGCATCCAGCGCGACAAGTCAGGTCAGTGACCTGTCGAGTCATCAGTCGCGAAGGGGAGTGATGAGCTCAGATCGAGCGCACCCGCAAATTCCGCTAAGTAACTTTTCATTTATGAAGCCGTAACCCCAATAAGTTATAAAATATTCTCCATGCTAGTGAAACTTACGAAATCGAAGTCGTAATTTATTTAGCTCGCTCCCCGGACTTGAATCTGCTAGAACAAGCACGAGATTTGTTGGAAAGAGGCTTGTGAACACACGAGATGTTTCAACCCAAATCCAGGCAGCAAGAAATGTTTTGCCTATTTTAGGAAACATATATGTATATCCTACATGATCATACTATATTATAATTTGTTGCATGGCACGCCGAATAACTTATCCTTTGTAGGGAGAAATATTTACTGCTTTATCTCCGAAATCCATTTTTTTACATTTCGAGCGGAGGCAGTGCAACGCGAATAAGACGTTACTACGGAGATAAAACCTTTTTCTCCAATACAGATCGCATTACAGTCGACTATCTGAAGCAACTAGTGTTTAATGCCACTTGAGCGAACTCGATCGTAGAATTAACTTTACCATCGATGTATTTTAAATTGAAACCAAGGGTGATAGTTTTATCACTACTTAAAACAAGTTTTAGTGCTTGGTGGAAACCGTTTTTAAGCACGCGAGTTTATAAAAGGAGATACTCCATGCGCCGATTATAAATCCGTTTTTATAACGATTTTCACTTACCTACATTTCTCGTAAATCAGTCTGTATTTGAATTTTATGTTAGTCACACGTTTACGCCAAAACCTTGGCCCTTTTACAATCTCGTCAAAGCAGGTAATGTGCTGCGGAACGGCATATGGTAAAGATATTTAGATCTTATCGGATCTAAAAGCTTATATACATACGTCTCCCAAATTAAACTCCTTGGGCATAAAATAGAGCTGCGCTAAGCTATATTATTAATTACCGCACGATACGCACACCACTATTATCAAGAACAAGCCAAGAACAAGATCTTTTATTTTCATGCTTCGACGCCGCCAATTTTCAGGTGTTTTACTTTTTCAATTAAATTATTCCGGTAGATATTTCAAAGTCGCTCCTACTTTTCGGATGCATGATGGACGGGATGTAAATGAGATTTTGTGTAATGAACACTTAGTTCTATACCCTCAGCCTCTCTCATGATATAATCCCGATGGATCAGCGAAAACTCCAAAATTATTTATCTCACGTAATTTAATATACCGACTACCTATTTATTATTGTCTAATACCACCTTCGCCTCCATTCTAAACAAATTGCTCCAAATATATCACTACATCGTTTATCAGCATGGCCCCTCTACAAACAGAAGGACACTTTCGCATCAGCATGACGCCACATCTGCCCCCCGCATCTTCCGAACTTTACATTAAACATCTAGACTTTCTCAGACGTCCAGAAAACCACATAAAAAATAACGCTTGAGAAGGTGCCAGAAAGTCGATTTTAATATCGCGTTCTTATTGTTTCTTCTGTTTGTTATTGTTTGTGCAAAGAAACACTTTTATTTAAGATACGGTTTATTTGAAAAGAAATGAACGTAATGTAATAGCGGCGTATAACGTTTAAAAATAATCGATCGACGTATAATTTCCTTGATTATAACGTTAAAAATAGTGAATATGAGGCGTCGGAGTTCATTCATTCGTTCATTTACGTACTTTCAAAATTATGATCCTACATAAACACACATTTTTGCGGCAATTGCTTTGTTATTGTAAATCAGGGAGATGGAAATCAGGAATTATTAATTTTTCAAAGTCTATAATATTTATACGTTATATACAAAAAGAGAACATAAATCACTCATGATCCTACGTGGGAAGTTTTGTTATTTTCGTGTTAAGTCGTTAAAGTGTATATTTTATTACTATTATGTCAAACATTTCTAACACACAATTTCATTTCATTATTGAAATTTACTGGATCGAACAGTTTCCCCCAAACTATTCCTTCATTTATATTCATGCCTCTCCTGTCATTCTAATTTCATCAATCTTTCGCCAGAAATGCCTACAACTCTCACAAGTACAGGGTCATTATAAAATATTGTAGTCAACTCACCTATGAAAAACAAATGAAATTTTTCTCGTGCCGCTAATCACCAAAATGATTTGAACTGTTTTGAAATGTCACGAACGTCCAAACAAATCTGTCAGATGTGTCAAAAATTGAAATGCCCGGTTCGCGGTTTAATTTCATTTTAAATAGACACGAAAAGACGCCAGGCCAGAGCATTAAGGGTTGCAGTGTTATCGAGCATTTGTGAACGCCACTGCAATACATTTCAGTTTCAAAAATTGTAAATTGTCAGAAAAACGTTTAAGGGCTTTGTCATGAATTACACCTTGGAAAGTCGATTGGAGTTGAACAGAATAAATCATCTGGTCTGTTTTGCAAAGAAGCAATAATTTTTCAAATAATGAAATCCAAAAAGTGAGGTTAAGTTTGTCGAAACCAATGAACACGGTAATTATTTAAAAAATTACATTTTTATAGGTACCCTGAAGGTAAAAATTGTGAAAAATCACGTAATGGACAATGGCAGAGGAAGTCTTATCACAGTTAACGAACACTATGAGTACCTAATGAGTTTTTGCAGTAAATAATTTTGCCAAAGTTGTGATCCCGCGAAAGTTCTGTTTGTAAATTGTAAGGAATCGTCAAAATATTGGTGCAGACATGGTTTGTGACCGGTGCTTTTCTCTTGAAAAAACACAACTGAAATCCTTGATCTTCATCCCTACAATAGGTGAAAATTGCTATGTCCAAACATTACCTTCAGCTTTGCAGTTTCTAGATATCTGAAACATGCCAGATCTGCATAACAGGAATGTCAAAAAGGTTCTACCCAAAACACGCCCACATGGCCATCCTAATATCAAGATTTTTCAAAATTTCTATAAGAAAAAAGATGAAAAAACCAATAAAATTTCAGGAGCATAGTGTTAAGAGTTCTGTAGCTGATTATGAGATCTCTTGAAACAACAGAATGTTTAATAAAGATTTTTAACTTTCCTAATAGTAAAATTACAATTATTACTAAACAGTAAGTTGAAGTAAGTTTTAAATTAAGAGAATGCAACTAACACCGAAAGAAAAATGAAAGTTACTGAAAATAAAAAACTTTATTGCAGTACCTACATACACTTTCTACATCTAATTTTGTTTATTGATCACATTCATTTACTTGAAAAAGTATCAGGCCTATGAATCGTCGTCTGCTAACCACACACCAACCTTCATTGCGTGTGATGGTGTTTCTTCAAAAGCGTGAGTATTTTCTATACACCAAATTCTGAAGTTCTGTCAGTTGACATAATAGCCTAACAGATGAAACCAGGCTTCATCAGAAAAGAACGACAAATCGAGAATCCCGTTATCGTCCATATCAGCTTGAAACCAACTACACTACCCAACGCGGCAAGGAAAATCAGCTGGTTGCAGCTCCTGAACCAACAAAATCTTGTATGGATGCATATGTAACTTCTCTTATACGATTTTCTGACATGGGCTGTATGGTACTCCGGACAGTAAAGATTTTTGACAAAGCTTTATTCGGACTTTGTTCCATTCTCATCCTTAAATCTTCAACAACGTCTTCACTAACTTGAGGTCTCCCCGTCGGTTTTCACTTAGAAATGCTACCAGTGTCGTTAAATCTGGCCATAATTCGCCATATAGCGTCTTCAAAGATTCTTCATCAATGACAACAGAACATTTCACTAGATACTCGTTTTTAGACGCCTCCACAGAGTACACTCCATCCCCATCCTCATTTAACACCCCATTACGGTAATAGGCATGATGATTGCGCCAAAGGACTAAAAAAATCATTTGTAACACTGACCATAGTTATTCCTCTCTGTTCATTACCTGAGATTATTCCACAATGATCTGTAGTTTTGATAAAAACTGTTTTTTGAGACACTTATTAAAGTTCTAACAAAGGGGAAGACAGCAAAAATGAAAACAAGACAAGTCAATTAACGCACAAAGTGAGGGAAAACGTACCAGTACAAACGAAAAAATTATTGACATCTGACAGAATTTGATGAAGCGTTGAAACAGTGCAACCGCTAATGTCAACTAATGTGGCGCTAAAAATAAAAATTCCAATATTAGTGTAATCCTTTCCACAAAACTGAAAAAGGCGGCACAAAATGTCACCAAAATCATGGCCTTCTTCGACTACAATATTTTATAATGACCCTGTATAATACCAAATTGGAAAATCATCGACTTTACACGACTTTATACACATTACAATAAAACACATTAATCTTAACTTTAATCATTTCTGCGTTCGACTCCATTGCGATAAACACACATCCTTTCTGAATTTATTTTGACAGACACTTCCGCCGCAATAAAATATGAATGCAGCTGAGAGCTGATAGCACATCTCGTTTCACATCCATTAGAAAATGTGTCAAAACGTATCACTTCATATTCAGATTCGATGTAGCTGTCGTGTACATTTTAAGAGATAACGAAACCCGCATCCGAAAAATCTACAAAGTGTATAAACGTTGGGAATCTCTCGTTCGCGGAGATCAAGTCTTTAATTCGTCCGAACGAGTAACCGTTTCTTTGATTATTTTCTTTGACAGATTATCCTTTGTGAATTTGTTTTGACAGGACACTTCCGTTACGGCAAACTACGAATAGATGATGCACGTACGTCAAGCGTGTTAGATCTAGTTACTTAGGGAGGTTTATTTCGAGAGTTGGTTATTTCGGTAACGTTAAAACAACGCGGTCTTAGAAATTAGTTAGATTAACGTAATGCGATCGACGTCTCGAACAGGTAGCGTAAAACGAACAATCGAGTTCGTTTTAGAAAATTGCCTACAAATATTCGCTTTACTCTTTATTGGTAAAGTCGATACTCAGCAGCCTTGAAAATGTAATTTATAAATCGCCAATCAATTTTTCATTCTTGCCCGCGTAACCGCGATGATGTAAATCTGAATTCAACCTTTTATAAAGTTACATGACAAAAGGGAAAAAAATCGCAAGCACTCTCAATTACGAGAACGCGGCTCAGTAATTTTGTTCAAAGTTGAAAGAAACAGGTAGTTGGCACGGCAGATTATAAACACAATGTTTGCGTATTTATATTTAGCTTAAGAAACAATTTTTCAAGTTTGTACGTTGACTTTTTCGAGCGTCGCATCTGAATCAAATACACGTTATAAAACCTGCGATCAATTAGTATTAAATTACAATTTAGTTATTAGTTAAAATTAATTAAATTTCTGACAGTGACAGCTGTTCAACAGCAGTCTCAGGAAACAAACGTTCCCTCCATAATAAAACTGAAATTTCAGACGGCATTCAGGTAAATGTGTTTTCGCTCGGGTGAATGTAAATAATGCTTTATTGAATAAAGAAAGGATTTAAGAGAAATGCAAATAAAAGTTTGCGATTTGGTGAAAAGCCAACAGATTTTTTAACTCGTCTTTGAGGGTATTTCGAGTAGACAGAATTATGACAAAATAAAAGTTGGATTATTTATAAAACCGCCTATTTACATTCACCAGTTGCAAACGATCCAACGCAACTTTGTCAAAAATATTAATTTTTTTGTTTTAGCTACGTCACCTACGACAAAAACAACGTGTTTGTCTCTTCGCCCTGAAACAAACATCTTCTATAGGATTCACTCCGTAAGTTTCCATTAGTCACATTTCTATTGATTCCTCGCAAGAACGGTCACCACTTGCACGTAATGGTCTTTGTTGTTAACTTGTTTCCACGAGAACTAGATTTTCTCCACAGCATATGCAATTAAATTTGGGATCGAGACCACCTATGAACAACCGAAACGATATGAATAAAGTCAGATAAATGTCAGACTTTCTTGATGCTTTATGCATTCGCGTCCACTTCGTATAATATACGTTTTGTAAGATAAATGTCGGAAACAATAAGACATTTATCTGTCACGTGTAACAGCGGTAACTTTAATTTCAGAACTCGTTCGAACGTTACACATATTCTTGTACAACCACGAATACGTATTCAGCTCGGAGAGCATTAACTGTAATTTAATTGTGGTACGTACATGTTATACGGGGTTTTGTTACACGAATATTGCGCTGACGTTTATTTGTAAATTCAATTAACTTTACGTGACATATTTTCAAATCTGTCGCCCAAAACATGCTTTTTATCTTTATGAGATTCGCTGTATTTTAATTATGGTATGTGCGTGTATGTTATTCGTGTTGTCACCAGACGAAGATTTTCCTTAAAAAATTAATTGAATTGCCTCTTTGTAAACTTAATTAACTTAGGCACACGCAATCCGGTAAAGGGAATGTTTAATAAACACAGCTTGGAGCAATCGTAACAGTCTGATCTGTTAATTTTTAATATAAAATATCCATTAAAATAAAATGGCGACCATTGTAAGTCGACATAGGAAGGTGTGTAAACATATTACATTGTTTGAAGAACAGTAATTAAGATACATTTAGGAGTTTCTCGCCACCATGAGCCATTCCGAATGCATAATTAATTCACTAAACGACAACCCACAGCTTTGCTTTCTCCCTTACATCAGCAAACAAACTCTTGAATTTCAGATTCAGTCCTATTAGGAAAAGTTTTTTCGCAAAACTTGGGACACTGGAAGAAGTTTGTCTCTGACATGAAACAAAAATGCCGTCCCTTAAGATTAAAAAAAAAAACTATCCGGCGAACCAGGTGTAGGAAATAATTACAAGAGAATAAAAAGTCGTCGGTATTAACCGAGATGGAACAACTCGACTTGACATGTATATATTTTCCGATAAAAGTCTAATCACAGTTTGTGAATATAACTGTCTTCGTGAGCATAATATTTACAGTTCGTTTTGTATATTGAATGTAAGCTGATTACTTAATAACCCCCGTACATTTTGTTTGAAAGAATCATCTATTGTAAAATAAACTTAATACTCTTTCGGTGTTCGGCTATTCTTAAAGGAATATTATGTCACTCTTTTATGAAATTTATTTCCGCTATAAATATAGCGGTTTACGACGCCTTTACAAGAATTATAACTACTACGATTACTTAGTAACGTGGCAACAAGACGTAGACGTTTTTTTTTTTTTTCTCAAATTAAGTTTTGTGGAGCAATGCAGAGATTCGACACAGCAAAATGTTGAAAGATTTGTAAAATAACGTGATTAAGCGCTATAATTACCATTATCCGCAATAGTGTGTGTATCGCAGACGAAACGGCATTCTTACCTCAGAAACAAGGGTTTTGCCTTAGTGCGGCAAAGTTTGAAACTTGTTGCATAATGCCGTTCCGCGCTCGCAAGTTCGTAGAGATAAAAAAAAGTTACCACCAGTCAGAAGCGTATCCGTTTCAGTCGTTTTCCTGGAAGTAATTGGTGAACATTTGCAATAAAATATTGGCGGGAAGATAAAAAATACCCTGTAGCCGGTGACACGTCGGCTGCCATGTGCACCGCGACCGGTTAGCGGTAGAGTGCGTTCGCGCGTTACACTGAGTCAAACGCAGCCGGCACCGAACTGACCGCCGTTACCGCCGTTACCATGGTGCCTCTCGGCCAGGTAATCAGGATCTGAATCTGAACGAAACGCGCCTCTGGGCAGGGCGCGTGCAAACGAACGACGCTGCCACGAGTGCACCCGAATTGGTGGCCATGCGCCTGGACGGCCACCTATTCGTCGAAATAACGCTGCCAGGTGCACGTCAAATTGCTCTCCACCTCACCATACGCATTGCTAATTCCGCCGCCGAAGATAAGCCATTAATCACCACTCTCCCGCGGCCGAGGAGATTGTTTATTTAAAGCCAGGGCTAAGGCAAAATCACGCCCTATAAATTCTAACGGACGCGAAATAAATCACCATATAGGTGGCGATTTTTTTCTGAGGCGATAAATCTACATCGGCAAGGAACGCAGCGTTGCCGCGTACGTTACCGTTTTCGCAGGCAACCGGGAACGAGAAGTTTTTTCGACTTGCTCGCATTAGCGAGAGTCCCCGCCGGACACGCTGTTTTTCAATTGCGAGGAAACTTTTTTCATGGGAACTGATTATGATTTTTTGAGACTATGGACCAAAAGTTGCTCCAACAAAAATTAGAAAAAGTGGAATATTTTGTATCCTAAGTAAATTTCAGGTTAAATAGCATGCCGATGAACTGATTCAACACCAATTTTGAAAACTCAAATAACATGAGAATATTCTAAAGTATGTCTGACTAACGAAATATGCTATTTTTGGAGACATGATATTAAAAAAAATAGTCTACAGTTATTTAGACAGAAAATTTACACCACTTAGGGTGGTAACGATGGATAGAAAATTTTTGGTCATTGATCCATCAGAATGATGATAGACTCAAAATCCGTGGTAGATTTCAGAACGAATAGCTTTTCTTATGAGTTTCTAAGTGAAATTTGATCGCAGTTTTGAATTTTTTTCTTTCAAACTTTTTCAAAAATAAAACATCAGGGGCTAAGATTCCTTCAAATTTTTTCAAAAAGTAGTAGTACTAGTATAAGACAGATTTTAGCAGATATTTTATTGGCAACTGACATATTCTCTAAGAAAATAGAGGGTGTTCCATTGGGAAAACACAAAGTATACATAAATTATTTAATTTGTTATACGTGTATTATGGCAAGGTGACTAAAATATTATGTGCAAAATTACAATTCTCCATTTTTCAAAATGGCGGAACAGAAAACAAATATTGTACACAAGTGTGACAAATGTTAACGATTTAAATATTCAAAATTAACATTCAACAGAGAAAAATGTGTGAACACTAGAGATGTACCGACTGTGGGTCTGGCCGACTAACCGACTAGCCGATTGTTTGGCCAGTAAAAACCGACTAGTCGGCCGACTGTTCGGCTTTGCTAAAACCGGTTTATAAATGCGACAGACAGTGTTTTTTTTCTATTTCTCTGGCTACTTTTAAAATTTGTTTTATTTTAATAAAAGGAATAACTAAAGTTCCTTTGTTTTCCAAAAAATGTGTTAAATTTGTTTGGATAATTCTAACATTTAGTTTTTTTGTAGTAACTCAGTACAAAAATAAAAAATAACACAATTTAGGGCCAGTTTATACAATATTTTAACTGAGATTTAGTTGATCGCGCATTTAACAAGGCCATTAGCGGCGTCTGATTGGCGTAGAGTCGGTCACATGGTTAAAAATTAAATCGCAATTAAATATTAATTGAGGTTCTGTAAACCGGGTTTAATTGTTTTATATACTATTTTAATTTCAATAAAAAAAGCCGACCGATCGGCTGTTTAGCCGACCAGTCGCTGACTGCCAACCGACGATGAAAAACGGCCGAATAGTCGGCTTATCCGACCTGTCGGCCACTAGTCGGTACATCCCTAGTGCACACATTTTAAGTGAATTAACAAAACATCCAGATGAAGCAAGAAAATTAAATTTAGAACTTAGGAAAAAGTTAGTTTTGGCTTTTTTTTCTTCTGAAATAAGAAATGAATCTTATAGCAAATAGTACAACAAAAAAATTACGTTTGGCTCTTTTTTCGCCTTTTTTACAGCCCACTCTACAGAAGAACATATAATTAACCCCACCCACCCACCCAGCCTCCATTTCACTGATTAATTTTATCTGCTCTGGATGGACACAAATCTTATACTCACCACAAATAAAATTTGTCGTTATAATGAGAAGAGAGCGGGTGGGCGGGGTTAGCACTTGCTAAGATAAGACTGATTTTGGATAAAATTTGTCGTTACAATGAGAAAAGGGCGGGTGGGCGGGGTTAGTATTTGCTAAGGTAAGACCTTAGATCATATAATAAATAGATACCACCATGCCGTGTTCTTTCCCTGGCAGAGCCTGTGACGACATCCTCCTGTCACACATCTCTCTTCTGTATAGAGGGATTACAATCAAGCTATCCTTGCTTGATCACTATTTGAATTTTGCGCGCCTAAATTTTGGGAAGTATGTCTGAACTAATTTCGTACGAAAGATGTTGACAGCTTGATTTTATAAATAATTCACAGTAGATAACGAAAGGAATAGTAAATTATTGGGCAGCAATTGTGATCCTTTATGATTACATCACTTAAAATAGAATCTTTGTTCTAAATTCTAAAATTGTTTTTCGTACAAGAACTCGAAAGAGAGGTTAGAAGAAACATCTGTCAAAAGCGATTTGTTGCGCTGGTGCGGTACCAGGATGGAAGTGAAATAGAGATATACAGATGAAATGCATATAACAAAGATGAAGATGTGGTGATCACACAAGGATAGCATTATAATACTCCCGTTGACGTAGAAAACGACAACAGATAGCTTCATGTCTAGTCACAGCTTTCAGTTTGAGTATTGGTATCTATTTATTATATGATCTAAGGGTAAGACTGATTTTGGCAGATCTTTAAATGACACATTCTCTAAAAAGAAAAATAGAGGTGTTCCATTGGGGAAAAACACCGCGCACACATTAGTACATAAATTGTTTAATTTGTTACACGTGCATCAAGGCACAGTGATTAAAAAATTGTGTGCAAAATTTCCCATTTTTCAAAATGGCGGAACTGGAAACAAATATTTAGAAAACTGTTAATCAAAAACATGTTTGGTTTATTTGTGTATGTATTGTTATAATCGTGAAAAATGATATATCAGGTGTTCAATTAGAAAAGTCATCAAGCTGGTTGATTTTTTGTAAAAGATGCGAAATTTGTCTAAATTTAACTTAAAATTTAATCGATGATAGCTGAAATGTCAATTGTATAGAGCGGTATGAAGTAATAAAACACATGCGTTTTTCTCTACGTTTTCTTCTATCGAAAAAGCAACGCCAACTTGATAACTTTTTTCGGCGTCAAATTTGCGTTGAATCTGGTGTGAGTCTATAAAAAACAATTAAAATTTTTTGGAAAATATCGCTCGGTTAATTTCTTTATTAATTAGTGTGATTAAGTGATTCTTGAGGAACAGTCTTTCGGTTTTTGGCGAACAATTTTTTCACAACAACATTTTTTGATGACGTCATGAACACTTTATCAAGGACACATATATCAATTTGAATGGGTGTAGTGTAAAAACGATTGGTGATGGGTGTAGCAATGAAGATATTTTTCTCTTAATGTAATATGTAGAAACCCTAGTCGTTTATATGCAAAGCCTACTCGTTTAAATTAACAAAATGTTTTAGCCACTCTTTGTTGAATTAATTTTAGCATAAAATAAGGTGTGCAATAATAATAGTTGACCAGTTTCATAATTTGGGTGATTTGAATTTTGGCCACATATTTTCGAGTTCGTCTTTCTGTGCGGCGCTACTTTCCGGGCAAGAGCGCCGCGGAACTTTGAAGTTGCCGTCGTTTTTAGGGGATGTATGAACTTGAAGCTCCTTATTGCTACTCAGGCGGTGATAGCAACGGCATCGTCGGATCGATGTATGGAAGCGAATAGAAAAGACCGAATTTGCAGACGTCGCTTCGAGTTGTAAAAGTTTATGCAAAGAATGTTTGCTGCGGTAAACAATTTTATTTGATATTTGTGGAAAAAGCGTACGCGTTTGCGCCACAGCAGGCATACACATGTGGGATTTGAAATTTTTAATTTGCCGGAAAGGCGGCGCTTCCGATCGGGCGGTAACAAAGAAATAGCTTTAGTTTGTAATTCGAAACTCTTCAGTACAGTTTCCCCTTTGAGAAGCTTTATAAAGTGAAAGCACGGAAGAAGCAGTCTGTCATCATTATTAAAGACACTCGACTACGTCTTCCAACAAATTAAAAGTCCGGCTATAGCGCTTCTTACCTTTCGGGATCCTTATTAGATTTAGCATCATCGGAGCTGTTTTTGGTGGGCACGTTTTCGAATTCGACTGTTTTTTTCAATGGTTGAACGGTGGCGGTGAGCAGAGGTCTTTGGGACAAGGACGGCGAATCCGTTGGTGTTGGTGAAGATGTTCCAGACGTCATGGTGTTGGTGGTGGAAGGTTAAAGTATCTGCAAATGTATAATATCTATGCTGGTTATGGCGAAACTGAAAGGTGGTTTTGAAGTGTGTTGTGTAAAGCCTGACATTTCGAATATTTGCTGCGGCGTAATGCTACTTGCGTTTGCACTCTCACATTTACCAATCTTATGACAAGTCACTAATTGCCCGATTGTCCCAGAATTATATAACACAAACTTCCGAGTTGACACCGCAATAAAGCACAAACGCCTCGAACCCGGCGCCTCCACCAAAATTTCGGGACACGAAAGCGAATATCTTCAACATTAATTTTAACGAATACTCGCGATTCTAAATTATATTCAATTATAAATGAAGTACGTTTCCATACGCTCCATTTTCGGAAACTTATATCTTAGGACTCTCGACTAATTAAGACGAGTTGCTTTTAAGATCGCTCCGCGTTAATTTATTTACACGGATTGAGTTCTGTTATAAAGACAATCTTAGCAAGGAAAGTATGATTTGAGGGAGGATTATTATAGTGACGAAAACGATGCTTAGTCTAAATTGATGTAGACGGCTTTTCAGAAAGAGACTGAATCACAATTCATTTATTCCTCAACAAGATGTGCTGCCAAGATGGATCAAGTCCAAGAATCCCATCAGTGTCAA